ACACGCAAATTGTAAATAAAATATCCTATATGTAATGTTCAAAATCTGTATAAAATACTACACAGAAAATGTAAAAAAAATATTCGTTGTGTATCTATCAGAACCTCGATAAAATTTCACATTGAAAGTGTAAAAAAAAAATCAATATGAATGTAAAAATTGTTATTGTATAACTTCAGATTTTCGATGTTCATAACTATGGCGGTATGGTTGAGACGGACTGTATGGAGGTACGGATGTCTATATTGGTGAGAGTACGGCTTGATTTAAAAACTTAAATACACAATCAAATTTCTTCCACCTCGAAACTGTATAGTAAAAATACGACGTGTATATGTTCATAACTTGATTCACTATATAACCAAAACGTAAAAAATATTTTTTTATGCACATGTTCATAATAATCCACTACATTAAAAACTTTGCCTAAATATTGTACCAAAATTTATCAAAAATGTTTTCCCAAACAAAAGTCCAAACGAATCCTAACAATGTTGTTGTTAAACTTAGCTTTATCACTAAACTTATGTAACTATAGTCAAGAACCAACTCCACACACAATTTATTATTTCTCATTTCCGTGTGGTGCGTTTTTTCTAATTTTTTAAAAAAGAGAATCAGCTTTTCACCACGCCCATCACACAGCATTCCTATGTATACACCCAGCGTTTTGAACAAAGTACACGTTATGGGCTTAACTATGGGCTCCACCTAGCACCTTTCGATTTAGATCTTGTAACCTCAAAGAGAGTAGAAAGAACCTCAATTAGAGTTAAACCAAAAATTTTCAGACAAACTCATACAAACTAAAAGTCATCAAAAGCTGAATCATCTACTTTTCAAAAAGTAAAAGTAACAATAAAATATATTGAATAGACAAATAAAGTAATATATAAAGACAGAATAGAATTAAAAAAAGAGGTAGAGAGGACATTAAATGTTATTAATTGATGACAGTTTTTCAAGATAAATTCAAACAAGTTAAAACTGCATCATAATTTAATACAACTGCTTTCAAAATAATGAAAAGAGTAATAAATTATATTAAATAATAAAATGCATCATTTAGTAGTGGTGGAAGAGAATTAAAGAAGAAGTAAATAGGACTTTTAAATCAAGTTGAAAACAATTTTCAAAACAAATTCGAACAAACTAAAACAGCATCAAAAATTAATTCAACTAATCTCAAATAAGTGATAATTAAACTAGAATCTATCAAATAAATAGATGGTGTAATTTATAAATATAGAAGAGCTTTGAAGAAGAAGTAGATAAGACTTTGAAATCAGATTGAAAAAAAATTTAAAAACAAATTAAAACAATGTCAAACAGAATCTAAATTTGTTATAAGTACTTTAAACGATATGAAAAGAATAATAAAATATAGTCACAAAACAAATGAAGTATTTTGTTGGACTATTTTAACATGAAGAAGATGATTAGTTGGTGATATTGCTTCCATTATTTAATAGTTTTTATCTGTTGTTATATTAACTACTTTAATAACTTTAGAATAATTTAAATCATCAATGAAATAGCTTGTAAAGTAGAGTAGAATAGGAAGCTCTGTAATGCACATTCGTTTAAGACATCTGCTTTCAACAATTGATCGTAGTAACACTTGGTTTTTGTTTCAAATTCTAAAATCATCGAAATAAATCTCGTCTTTACAAGAGCGAGTCACGTGAACAAATCTTTAATCTTAATTATGGACCCCAAAGACAGCAATAAATGCATTTCTAGTAACTGAAATGGATTCTGCTATGCTGAATTAACCCTACTGTGGTGTTATTTTAGTAAAATCAGTATTTTTCGTTGATTTTTGATAATTACTCAATTTCACCCAGAAAGTCGAAATAAATACCTTAAATTTGCTCGAGATTTGAAGCAAATGTGCAAATATTTTAAGATCCGAACCGCAGTAGTTAAGAGCTTTTCCCTTCTAAATTGGGTTTTTTTTCCCTTCTAAAAAACTTTTTTCCCTTCTAAAAAACTTTTTTCCCTTCTAAATCTTCGCGCATACAAATTTTGTATGTTTTTCCCTTCTAAATTTCCATTATTTAATAGTATGAATACTTTTCAGGTGACTTCACCTTTTACTTAGTTCTCAATCTCTTCCGTAGACATTTAATTCCAACCTGTATTACATTAAGTAGTACTTTTTTATCCAATTCAACAATTATCAGAAGAATAACTTTCATCGACCTTTACTTTCTCGAAAGACTTTACCTAGTAATACCTCAACCAAATACTTTCAGTCCTTAACCTTCAAACTCCTTAACCTTCAAAATCTCGTATCTCGGCCTTTCTAGACGTTCTAAAAACAACCATATTTTCTTTACCAGTAACTCTAGTTATTTTTAATAATTATTAAAGTAGTTTTATCAAACACTTTCTCCCTTATTCAGCTTACACCACAATATTTTCCAGTGCCTCAACTTCTACTAACTTATTCTTCATTCTTTAGCAAAACTCTTAATTTTAACCTACGTACCATTGGTAAGAATTCTAATTTTACTTTCAAGAATCGATATAATATATATCCAAATTATCGAGAGAATTACTATCATCAATTTTTCTTCAAGAATTTTTTCATCATTCAGCTCAATAATTAATTACTACTGAAGTAACCTAACCCGTATCAAATTAGCTCTCGCTTCCCTTTAAAAACTTTTAATTCTAATTTACTTTTCATTAATAAGTTCTCTTCCACTTATCCTATCAATTATTAAGAGAATAACTTTCATCAACTTCTGTATTCTAAAAAGTTTTTTACTTAATAACCCCACAATCAAATAGTTTCGTATCCTTAATCCTAAAAGTCAAGTATTCTATTCATTTTTAGACTCACATTCAATCCATTTTTTCTTTCTAATATTATTACTCGAATTATTAAGGTAGTTACTCTAATCAACTAAAATTTTTTCCTTATTCACCTTCGCCTAATAATCTACAAGTAGCTTTATTTTTATCAACGTGTCCATTTTTATCGTCATAAACTACTAATTCTAACCTATTTTTAATAGAAAATTAATCATTCAATTACGTGCGGTAGATACCAAAGAATTAGACTTTTCAATTTTATTTACAGTGAATTTCAATACATATTACTAACAAATTAAGTAAATATCAGAAACACTAGAACAAGGTTTTTCACAACTAGAGGTAACTCTGACATAAATCCCTAATAAACAGGAAACACTTATATTACAGTATTCTCTTCTACTCAATTAGCTTAATCGCTCTCCTTATTTATTATCTCTAAATTCAAGGTCAGATTCTTTCTAATTTACAGAATTAAATCCAAACAACAGTAGTAAATCTTTTTTCTTCTCTTAACTTTAACAACTTAACTACAATACAAAAAAAACATATTTACTTAAAAGATCTTTTTCTTTAAATACATTAAAACTTATAACTCACAATAATGAATAACTAAACCAAAATCTAAATCGATAAATAAATCATTAACTTATGTCCATATCCAATTTATACAGCTAAGTCAATAGCAGAATTCCACATCTAAATCAATAGCCGAATTCCATATTTAAATCAATAACTAAATCAATAAATCATTCCATAACTAAATCATTACTTAAGTCAATTACTAAATTATGAATTAACAACTAAATTTCGAAACAATACCCATAAACAAAATTAAGAAAATGTACTAGTTATATATTTGTACATAATTAGGTTTCACTTTATGAAGCTAGGTTCCATAACTAGATTCGATAGTTGTTTTCATTACTAATTTCAACTAATTTTACAGCTATTTTCATAACCATTTCCATAACTATTTTCATAACTAGATATACATATCACCGCTCCACAAAGAACTCCGTAATCAAATCTTCAATAACTAACTCCACAACTTAAGTCCATGATTACCGAACAAAGTAACAAATTCCATCAAAATTCAAAAAACTCGTTCTTTAACTAAATAAGTCCTGTTCCAGAAAAAATTTAATTGCCAACTGCACTAATAATCCCATAACTAACTCCATAACTAATTAAATTCATGATTGACTACATAAGCAATTCCATCACAACTTCCATAGGTAATACTGAACTAAATGAAGACTGTTCCATAAAGAATTTCACAACTATTTAAATCACTACTTACAAAACCATTTACATGGCCAATTCCATAATGAAGTTACATAACTAGATACAAAAAAGTGTTGCTCCATAGCGAAGATCCATAATTAAATTTGAAAAGTGTCTTTCCATAATCAAATGTAAAATAGTGTAATTCTAATAGATTGTTAATGATGTTTCCATAACTAGATCTCGTTACCAAAAAAAACTATTTCCATAACCAAAGCTTAAAAGTAGTGAAGTGAGTTTGACCTAAGGGTTCAAGCGGTATGGAGTAGATCTAGGTTGACTTTTTGACTATAATAGACTATTAAAGCTTAACTGTGAACGTCAACTAATATTAGAATCAAAGTTGCACATTATTATTCATGAGCGTCAGCTAGAATTAAAAGTACGAGAAAACAACGTAGTGAAAAAAAATATATCAAACGACTTCGTATTCAATCAAGAGAACAAGACTTTGTCTTTATTGATAAGCTAGACAGAAACAGAAGAGTTAAAAATTTTTCTAATACGCGATTGTGATATTAAAATGGATGAGAAGAAAATTAGATCGTAAAACAAATGGAAATGCTCAAGAATGATTGAAAAGTACTTGGATACAAAAATTCAAAGTCAGTAAAAGTATTATCACGATAATGATAAAGAAATTAATAGTCACATAAATCTTTCTACAAATGAATGATAAATTTAAAAGCTTTCTATCACTATTTTTATCTCATTTTAACATCTCCCATACAGTTTTGGTGATATTTGATAGTATGTAAAAAAATTTGAGATGCAAGAGAATCCATATAAACAGAAATAAAAGACTAGATCCCAAATTGAAAGAGTTACGTTTCATAAATAATTGTTTGTCTAAGTTTTTTGTTTGTAGATTTTATTTTTCCAGATTTTGGCAAGCCAGACTACGAATCTAATAAACGTTTGTTGTATTGTATGGTATAATATTCATTCATTTTTCACTCGTTTCCTAACCCTGCTTAGTCGCTTACACAAAAACTTTGTTTTAAAAATTGATGAGATTCGGTAAAATAAATTTCCTAAATTTTTTGGAAGTTTTTTACAAAATCAAAATAAATTCACGAAAATAACAATTACGCCACTTCGTTTTACCAACAGCAATCCGAGTATCTTCAAAACATGGAAAGACTAATATATTTTCCAATAGATGTTTTGGAAATGATATTTCAACAAATAAACCAACACATGGTTTTGTCTTTGATGCCATTACATTCGAAGTTCTACAAAATCGGTCAAAAAAAGATATTTAAGTTTATTCATATATATCTGAATATTTTCATGAATACAAGCTGGAGAGTTCATAAAGATATATCAAATGACTTTACCAAAAAGTTTACGGTGATTTCATCACATACTTTTCACGTGAACATGATTGAATGTAAAATCAAAAGAAATCAATATATTAAACACCTTAGTATTGAGGATGCCTATTGTTTACACTATTTTAAGAATGTTTCATTTGATTTTGAAACGGCAGTACCTGCATTATTGAAAGAAATTGTTAATTATTTTGAAAAAATTGATTACATTAGTTTTGGAACATCAAATAACCAACTCCAACTAAATGATACAAAAAAAACCTACATTACTTTAGAAGGGATAACTTTTGTAATTAACAAGTATTTAGAAGGATTTTACGAAAGAGTTTTATTTTTAGACAAAATAAATCTCAAGTCATACAATTTTTTGTATAATAACCTCAAAAGTTTAAAATTCCATTTTCGTCCTTCCCATCAAATGATAAAAAAGTACAACGATGATTATGATTTATGTGATAGTATCAATCTTTTCAACAAAATCAATCTTTTCAAAAGACTTGAAGAGTTAAACCTTACTTTTCCATGTCTAGTTGATTTAACAGATCCACTATTACTTGAAAAATTGAATAGGATAAATTGCAAATTGAAAAAATTAGATTTGTTATTTTGGGGTAAACTCAGATTTGAATACGATTTTTATGATTCCCGTGGTAGACGCATCAAACTAGAACCTAAAAAGTGGTTATTTACTTTGAAAGAATATTTCGATACGGAGGAGGTTACATCGTTAACATTAATTCACTATAATAATGAATTTTTTAAAGATCTTTACCAATACGAGGAATTTGAATTCATAGAAATATTGACCAATGCAAACCTACCAAAATTGAGGAATTTATTTTTATCTTCTCATCTATTAGATTTGAAATCAATTGATGTGTCAAGATTACACAAATTAATAGTATGCACTGGTATTGCCAACGATAAATATGCCATAGACATTGCCAAACTTTATTTCATAAATCCAAGTTTAAGAATATCTTGGTGGCCTCGATTTATGGAATTAAGTTCACTAGAAGAGTTCTTCAAGTCTGATAATTTATCTTTATATTCACCTGACTATTACCAGGTAATCTCTTGTCAATGGCCATCATACTTTTTCACAAGCGCCACATTTGCAATTGAAAGCAAAGCATTAGCTACCACCAGACTAGGTTTGTTGGCTCTGAATGAAAAGAAAAAGTTAAACATAGCTTTGAAATCTGAGTATTCAATTAAGGAAATTCGTGACATGGGATTTTTAGTTAAGACCATGATTTGCAAAGAAGTTCTGGAGATCATAAAAAAACATGAAACAATTTAATTGAATGACTTTTGCTCGATGTATTTTAGGTATGTAATGATTTAGGTTCATAATTTTTATGTGTGACAAGACCTTGCATCTAGTTGTGGTTCTTCGCAAACGTTCATGATTTGCGGCGTCGTCATTATTAGTATCGCTTGATTTTTTTGACCATAAACTTTTTATTTCATTCATCAGTTTCCTTGATATATCCTTGATTTCTAGATCAATAATTAATTATTTCCCTTAATCTCCTCAGTCTGGCATATGATAATTATTATTATAATATTAATATTTCTACAATAATGTTATCTATTTTTGACTTCGAAAAGATACACAAAAACCTTGTTTTAATTCTTTATTTTTTTATTGAAAATGTAAAATCTTCATCTTTATTATAGTTATAGTGGGTTATACAACTAATAGTATACCAAAACACGTAGTAATTATCGTGTTATCAATAATCAATTAAGACATAAGTGTGAACATTGCAACGGAAGATCGTAAGACAGAGAGTGTCAGGCAAAAACATTACTTGACTTTTGACACTGGAATAATTGGATAGTAATTTCTTTAGCTTAATAGTGCTAAACTTGAAACATGCGCCATCGAGTGGTATTTTGTGGAAATGAATAGATTTTCATGCCAACTATTTTTGAATGAAAAAAATGAACTATATGAAAAATGAAAATTTGAAACATAATAGTCTTTAGCTGATACCATCACAACTGGAAGAAAATTTTATAAAAAAGTGTTTGCGATAGAGAACCACTGGGAAGAAGGAGCTAGTCTCTGATGAGATAAAAACCTAAGTTTGTTGACAAATTACAAGAAGATATTTAAATTAGCCATGAGGTTCAACATTTTAAGAGATAAACTTCAAAATATACTGAACAATTCGGTGTAATCTGATAGTTTTCGGAGTAAATTTAATCACGTATATTTTTGTTGATTCCAAAATTTATATCACTTGATCATAGATTTCAATTATTCAGTTGCTTTCCAACATTTTAGCTATGCTTAGTGAGTAAAATTTACTATTATCATCACATTAAAATAAATAATCACCCTTGAATATTATAGTTTTGTAAAAATCATAGAATTATAAGTTGAAAAGTTTAGCTTTTGAGATTTCATGTATAATTTTAAAGTGATCTACATTTTATTAATAATTAACTTCAGTGAAGTACATACTATCTATAATTTATAAATAAATAAAGTATATAAATAACTAAAAAATCACCTTCTTTCAAAATCTTCTGCAACAATATTTGATTTATCACACATTTCTCTAAATACACTTCCAGTTTGATTAAATAAATTCCAAGGAGTATCAAATTCTTTTAATGAACCTTTATCCATTACTAAAATTTTATCATAATTTATAATTGTATGTAATCTATGAGCAATTGTTAAAATAGTTTTATCTTTAAATTCTGTTCTTATAGTTTCCTGAATTAAAGCATCTGCTGAAAAATTTATACTTGATGTAGCTTCATCCATAAATAAAATTGAAGAATCTCTAACTAAAGCTCTTGCAAATGATATTAATTGTCTTTCACCTAATGAAAAATTTTCTCCTTCATCTTCTACTGATTGATATAAATGAAATTTTGGTAATTCTTCTGAATCTTTTGAAATATTTTTTGATTTTAAAATTTCTTCATTTGTTAATAATCCACATCTTCTTAATGATTCCCATAAAATTTCATCATCTTTTTGTTTGAAAGGATCTAAATTTGATCTAATTGTACCATTAAATAAAACTGGATCTTGAGGAATAATTGATAAATGTGATCTTAAATCATTTAAATTTAAAGTAGCAATATCAACATCATCTATTAATATTTGACCTGAATCTAATTCTGATAATCTATATAAAGCAGTCATAATTGATGATTTACCAGCACCAGTTCTACCACAAATACCAATTCTTTCTTTTGGTTGAATTTTAACTGATAAATTTTTTAAAACTAAAGGTAAACCAGGTCTATATTTCATATTAGCATTAACAAATTCAATACTGCCATCGTTTGGCCAATTGGGATCATCATTATTATCATTTTTTAAATTATAACCATCTTCTTGATCTAATTTTAAAGCATAATGAATAATTCTTTCCACTGAATTCATATCATTTTCAACTTGAGTAAAAGTTCTAACTAAATTATTTAATTCTCCTGCAACTTGTAAAGTATAATTCATTAATAAACCAACTGATGCAGCATTTATAGCAAATACTCTATTAACACAAAGTAATGATACTAATAATATAACACAATTTGCTAACATATCTAATTGAATACCTAACCATCTTTGATTTGCATTAACAACAAAAGTAGCTTCATTAGCTTTATTTAATAAATCATTAGTTAAAATTGAAAATCTATTTTGTTCTTTGAAAGCTTTTATAGTATTCATACCACTTAAAATTTCAGTAACATTATTATAAACAAATGATCTTAATATTGCTTCTAATCTTTTAACTTCTCTATTTGATGCTTGATAAAAATTAGCAATACAAAAAAATAAAATAAAAATAGCAGGTAAAGCACAAGCAAACCATGGTAAATAAATAATTAATAATATAAATACACCAATCATTTTAGCAATTGATTGGAAAAACATTTTCATATTTTCAGTAATTTCATTATCTAATGCATCTGTATCTTTTGTAAATCTATTTAAAATTCTTCCCATTGGTGTTGTATCCATAAATGACATTGGAGCATGTAAAACTCTATTAATAGCCAAAATATTTAAATTTTTTGATGAAATTGTAGTACCAGTAACTAAAAATACATAAGTATAAGTTAACATAATAACCCATAATAAATTAAACATAACATAAAGTCCAATATAAAATCCATTTGATCTATTTGGAAATTTTTGACCAACCCAAAATGATAACCAAGTATTTGCAAAAATTTCTAAAAATGTTGATATTGATAATAATAAAACAAATACTAAACTAAATCCAATTGGTTTTAAAAATCCTGATCCATATTTTAAATAATTACTATAAATATCCCATTTTATACTATTTATTGCTCTTTCTTCTTCTGTAATTAATTTACCTTTTGATTTATCTTTATTTAAATTGTAATCTTTATATTCTTCATCTTCTTCTGATATAATAGTTTCTGATCTTGTTCTTCTTTTAGTTAATTGTTGAGTTGAATCATGAGATTTTGTTAATGTTGGAATTATTTCAGTTTTCTCATCTATACCACCTAAATCAAATTCTTCAAGTTCTTCTTCTTCTTTTTCTTCTTCAGCTTCAAATTTACTAAATTTCATAAGATTATTAAATTCTTTATTAACTTTTAATAATTCATCCATTGTACCAACATTTATAGTACCATCACCATTTAAAAATATAATTCTATCAGCTTGACCAATTAATGATAATTGATGAGTAGCTAAAATTCTAGTTTTATCTTTTAATAAACCTAAAAAGCAATTATTTAAAATATGTTTACCAACTCTAGCATCAACTGCACTTAATACATCATCTAATAATATAATTTCTTTATTTGCATAAATTGCACGAGCTAAATTAATTCTTGCTTTTTGACCACCAGATAATGTAATACCTTTTTCACCAACTTCAGTATAATCACCACCTTCTAAATTATCTATATCAACATTTAAAGCACTTGCATATATAACATCATCATAAAATTTTTGATCAAATTTAGAACCAAATGTTATATTTTCTCTAATTGTATTATTTTGAATCCATGGAGCTCCACATAAAATTAATGATCCATTAATATCAATTGTACCTGATTCACAAGTCATAAAACCAGCAATAGCATTTAATAATGAAGTTTTACCTGAACCAATAATACCAGTAATAACAACAAATTCTCCTTTTTTAATTTGTAAATTAAGATCATTAAAACCTATGAAATTTGATGATGAATCTTCATCTTCATCTTTTTTATCATCTGAATCAGAATTACTTAAATTCTCCAATTTAATATCTTCATTAATTTGTTCATCCTTCTTTGTTTTATTAGATTTCTTCCACCATTTTCTCTTATTCTTTGCTTCTTCCTTCTCTTTCTCTTTCTTCTTCTTCTCAGATTCTTCATCATCTTCATCTTCTTCATTATCACTAAATTCATCCCATTTAAAAGTTGCATTAGTTAAAACAATTGAATCTTTATCCTTATTATTATCAAAAGTTCGATAACCTTCATATTTTTGTTCTTCAGGAGCAGACAATAATGAACCAATTCTTTTAAATCCATTAATCATATCAACAGTAGTAGATAAAACTTGTGGTATAAAAAAAACCATCATACCTAAAATTTCAAATGATGTAACTGATGAAAACATTGTAGCAGGACTACTTGTTGAACCTTGTATAGCATATAATATAATAAAAGCAATCATTGCACATATACCAGTTAATGTCATAGCTAATGAAAATATAACATTTCTTAAAGTTTGAATTTTTAAAATCATATTAATTTCTTCACCTCTTACTTTCATTATATTTTTATGATAAGGATGTTCCCATGAATAATATTTTATCATTTTTAAATTATTTAAAATTTCTTTCATTAAATTAACTCTTTTATCAGTTATTTTTGATACAATATCTCTATATTCAAATAATTTTTTTGCTCCAATTGATATAATCCCCAAGAAAATAATAAATATAACAACACCAATAACAGCTGAAACTCTAATATTAACAATTAATATAACTATAGCAATAATAATTGGAACAGGTAAACATAATAATAAAGGTTGTAATAAACAAGCAATTTCAATTCTTGATAAATCTGTAGTAATTAAACTTGTAATTTTACTTTGAGGATATTTATGTCTTGATTCAGAATTTAATTTGAAAGATTTATCTAATATAGCTTTTGTTAATATAGCTTTAACTTTTGCACCCATAACTGATCCAATATATAAAAAATGATTAAATAAAATATTACTTATAAACATTAAACAAACAACTCCAATTGAATATCCAATACCCTTTCCAACTTTTGTTACAATCCCCAATGTTTTTTCTTCAACAAATCTAATTAAATATTTAGTAACTAATGGAGTTACTGACCAACAAGTAAATGCAATAACAGCCATTAAAACTGATATAATAATTTCTCTTTTTAAAGTTAAAAATAAAACTAATGCTAAACTTTTTGCAGATAATTTAAAATCTTTTAAATCTTCTTCTTTTGAAATAGTTGAATTTTCTAATGATTCATTTCTACTTGCACATTTCTCTTCTAAATGTTGTAATGAGGCTCTTGTAATTTCTAAATCTAAATAACTTTCAAATATCTCATAATTGCCCTCCAATTTTAAATCATCAGTTAAAATCCATAAATCATTTGGTTGTAAAGTTCTTGTATAACCTATAGTCATTAATGGAGTAGCCCACCAAAAGAAGATTTTAAAAATTAAATTACTTGATTTTTTAGGATGTAATTTTCTTTCACTGTCATTTGGTATTGGGTATATCTTATTTTTGAATAGGAAAGTTAATATTCTTTTTTGAGGTTTATAATGATTATCACCAAATTCTAATGAACTTATATCATCCATATTGTATTGATCTTTGGAGACTTTTGACTATTTGTTGATTGATTGTATTGATCTATGATTCTTCAAATGACTTGATTGATAATTGTATTGATTTAATTGACTTTTGATCTATATGAAATTCTTTTGAAATATTATCATGAAATTTGCAATTATAGATACATTTGATATCGTATTTATAACCACATTTGAAAAATTCAGTTTAATTACATGAAACACAAATCAGTTATAATACATTATACATTAGACATCAGTAACAAGTAGTCTAAAACAAGAATTTAATGTATGGAAATGTGATACGGCTCTGAAAAAAATTCCGAATATTATTTTACCTTATTGTGTTTTAGATTATTTGCATTCATGGAATTGTTAAATGCGTTTTGAACAAAACAAAACTAATGATTCAAATGTTGAATTAATATCATTTAATACAATAACGGAATATTTCGATTGATATAGTACATGGTTCTGATTTGTTTATACTGACGATATTGGTTTGGATTTGAAAATCGTCAGATTCTTTTTCTCTCGAAGATTCAAATCAGATTTTTCGATTAATTTTTCAACGCTTTTAATAAACTTCTTAACAATAACCGACTTTTCTTTAAGCTGTTACGTCTAATTATCGATAGAGAACTATGTTAAAGAAGTACAATTAGCTACTATATAATTAGTGCCTTACGGTTGAATACGTATGCTATTCAAGAAATAATACACTGTAGGTGAATGTAAACCAATGATCATAGACTAAAACTTTATTGCTAAACTCCGCTCATTGATAAATAATTCCATGATTAAAACAATATCAATTGAATTGTTTGCCATTCATTGTGACTAATATGCTGTCGCTAAACAAACAAACAAAAAAACATCGTGGCATCAACAACTCCTTCTTCTTTAAAAAACTTCAAACAAATTTGTTTCAGGTTTCTAACCAATTGAATGTTTGTTTGTTTTGATTAGTCATTATAATTACTCAGAGAAAAAAAACAACAAACAAAAGATATTAGAACAAAGCAAAGTAGATTGATCAAAGAACAATTAGATCAACTGAAGCTAGACCTGTCAAAGTAATCTTTTGAGCCTGTCCTCAACGTGCAATCGGAAGTCTATTCATGTTTCAAAACCTCATGTAGTAACAAGTGGCAAATCTACTTTGAAAATTCAAGAGGCTATTATCAATGCAAAAAGGGTTTTACGAAAATTGGAATAAAACCGTAAATCTTTAAAATCTCATAACTCAAAGCTTAAGCTTAAAACCGTTTTTTAATGATTGATTCCTCTTCTCTCTAAAAATAGAATTTATTATTTAAGACGGAATTGAATGTCGTTAAAATATACTGGATGACATTAATTCTAATAGTATAGAAAGCGGAATATATTTAGTCCAATTCTTACCAGTATAAACATTTTAACAAGTTATAATATTTTCATCTAATCTACGAAGGATTTATATCTCGAAATGGAAATAATACCAAACTTGTATTGAGCAAGCGATTTAATGGACCTGATAAAATTGATAGACGCTGTCCTTATTTTAATGAAGTAAGCTATTGTACTTAACGATTTGAAAGAAAGTGATAATTAATCAAAAATTAGATTTTTTGGAAAGGATTTAAACTTATAGGGAGAAAACGTAGTATAAGACACCTGATAAATATATTATTGTATTTTCCAACAATTACATTGTGAAAGAAAATATTTAAACAATCAAACTTTTAAATTATTAATACAAATAGCCTATACATACATATTTCTTCTACTTTTATTCATCTTCATCATCACTTTCAATAATTCTTTTTCTTTTCCTAGTTTCAGTTTCAGGTTCCACAGTTGAAGATTTTTCTCTATATTTAGCAGCACCTTCATCTTTTAATTTTTTTAATCTTTCAGCATTTGCTTTTAAATTTTCTTCATCATCTTCTACCTCTTCACCTTCTTCTTCCTCATCTTCATTATCATCATCAAATTCTTCAACTTCTTCTTCATCACCAGCTACAAAATCATCTTCTTCATCATATCCTTCTCCTAACCCAGCACCACCAACATCATCATCATCATCATCATCACCATAAGTTCTTGAAAATCTTTTATAAGAACTTTCTTTCAAACTTGGACTTTCTCCTCTTTCCCATTTTTCTTCTTCAATTCTCCTCTTGGCTTCTAATTGTTTTTTCATTTTTAATTTTCTTTTTTCATTTTCATCAGCTAATCTTTGTTGTTTTAATGGATCATCTTCTGTTATAGTATTTAAAATTTTATCTTTTGAATGAATGTTTTTCAAATTTTGTAATAATTTTTTATGTAAACTATTATTTGATGATGGAAATAAATTTATAATTTGATTAATTTGAGAATTTGATTGTAAAATTTCAAAATTTTCTAAAGAATTCACAAGGTAATTATCTGCTATTGGTAATGTTTTAACATCAAACATTTCTTCTCCAATTTTTAAACTTATTGATCCATCATCCCATTGAATAAAATGAGAATTTGATTGTTTTATAATTTCATCATTACCTGAATTATGATATCTCCATCTAATAGTAGTTTCATTTATTAATTTTTCAATAATTCTTTCATTATAAATTTGTTTTGAATTTAATTTTTTTAAAATTCTTTTTTCTTGATTTTCTTCAATTTCATTTTTAAATTCAATTGGATCAAATGGATGTGGTGAAATTTTTAAATTCATTGGAGTTTTTAAAATTTGAGTTTGTTCTGAAATTGAAGATATTGCATGACGTGGTAATGATATATCAAGTATTTTTTTCTGGGTTTCTTCTGGATATTCTTCTTCTTCTTCTTCAGATTGTGATAAATATGTGTTATTTCGTATTGATTGTGATTGTGATTGTTGTGTACGTTCAGTTTCACTTTGTTCATCATCATTATCTTCATCTTCTTCAACTATTTCTTCCTGTTCCCCACCATCTTCATCTCCAAATAAATCATCGAGTTCCTCTTTTAATTCCGATTCATTCTCTGGTTCGGACATTTAGTATTAGTTTGTTGTGAAATATAGTTTGGTTGTAAGTAATTTTTCAAAGAACAAAAAAAAAAATCAATTTTGTGCACCAATTCAATATCACAATTTCTGAACATATAGCTTCATACTTAAAAGTACAATATAAATAATATTATATATAAATTATAAATACATAAAACATACTAATACAACTACATAATTTAATTTATAAAATTTTACATTTAATTTATATCTTACTATTTTCAACTTTTGATATCAGATTTGTAGAAGGAGCAGTAACAACAATTGCAACAGGTTCTTTGTCTTCAATAACTGAATTTTCATTTAAAGATTTATCAATACTATTCCTATGATTCCCACCTCCTAACAATTTCTTTATAGGACTTATATCTCCATTCCCACTATTACCTGAACCATTATTTAATTTTAATTGTTGAAAATATAAATCATCAACATCTGAATTTATTTCATTTTCATCACTTAAATCATATTCTTCCATATCTGAATCAAATGGTATAGATCCTGTTACATTACTTTGATATCCTACAACTAAATCATCATGATTAACTGCTGAACTTAAACTTTTTGAATGTCTTCGACTAAATTTTGGTGGTAATTGTTGTTGTTGTTGTTGTTGTTGTTGTTGTTGTTGGTTTTGATGCTGCTGTTGTTGTTGCTGTTGATGGTTTTGCTGTTGGTTTGATTGTTTTAGTTGTGGTAATGCTTGTGGACTCGGCTGTTGTGATTGTTTTTCTTCTAATAGTATAGTTTGAGGTCCTTCTAATGGAGTTGTACTAGTAGATGTAACATCACTTTCAATTTGTTGTGTTTGTTGTAGTTGTTCCTCCTGCTGTTGCTGTTGTTTTTGTGATAGTGAAGTTGTAGATGAAGGTTTCATAGTATGAGTAGGTAATAATTTATAAGCATATTGAATTAAAAATTCAACAACAATTTGACTTAATGCATATTCATCAGGATCTAAATCATGATTTGGATGAGATAAAATTGAAGGTTGAAAAATTGCTGCTAAATTTCTTGAACTCATTAAATTTTCTTTTGAATGATTTTGAACCATTGCTAATAAATCTAAAATATAAAATAATAATTGTTTTGAAGAATTTGGTAAATCATTTACTAAAATTTTATATTCTTCTATAGCTGAATGAACATCTCTTGTTAATTTTTTATAATTTTTAGATTTTTTTTTGTTTTTTATTAATATACTTTCTTCACTTGGTTGTTGTGGAAGTGATGGTTGTTGATGAATTGTTTCTTGATTTTGTGATTGCAATTGAGATTGTGAATTAGATTGAGACTGCGACTGAGATTGAGATTGATATTGTGACTGTGATTGAGAATGTGATTGTTGTATTGATTCATCATTTCCATTTAATCTTCCCATATTTGCTTCAGTTAATAATTGAGTTGAATCTAAAACATCTTCCTCATTACTTGTTGTAGTTTTTAAATTTTTTGAAGGATTTTCAGCTTTATATTTCATATAACTTATTATTCTTGTTTTATTTTTTAAAGGATCTCTAAACTCATCATACATATTTAAAGGAATTAAAGGTTCAGGTAATGCATTAAGATATCTTCTTAAAATTGAAGCAGCATCATGTACAGTATAACCATCCCAATTTAATTTCTTACCATAAGTTGGTGGAGTATTAAATATAACTTGTAAATCTTTAATTCTTCTTGATGAACCTCCTACTCTAAATATACCTTCAACAGTTAAACCATTTTTCTTTAAAAATACACCACATTTTGCAACTACAATTGGAATCTGACCATATTGTAAACCATCAGATTGATCACCTGTTAAAATTGAAATTTTAGCACATGCTTCATTTAAAGCTTGTTGTAATGGTACACCAAAATATTTAGAATTTTCATCAACTAATGAATTATTTTGTAAAAAACAATCTCTTTGTTGTCTTAAACTATTTTCTGATTGATTCAAAGAATTAGACCTTATTCTTGATACATTATTTGTTGATCTTGATTTATGATTTAATAAAGGACGTAAAAAATCTGATTGATTTGTAGTTGAAGTTGTTGGTGATGTACCTAGATATTGTTGTTGACCGAAAGTAGGAGATTCTTGTTGTTGTTGTTGTGGGTGTTGCTGTGAATGAGATTGATTACCATTATTGGGTATATTTAAAGGACTATGAGGTTGTGGTATTGATTGATTATTACTATTATTGTGATTATTAAATAATTTTGTAGGTGATCTTGAAATTGAATCATTATCACTTATATCATTTACAGAATCATTTGATAATAAATGTGAACGTTTTAAACTTTTTGCCCAACCAAATATAGATCCCCTATTATTTGGGGATGATGAATGACTCATGAAAGGATGTTGTAGCTTTCAGGTGATGAGATGTATAAGTTAGGTTGATTTTGGAGGTGCTTAACGCGCTGGATACTTGTGATTAATGTATTTATCAGTCGATAATTTGATGTTTTAAAACAATTTTGAAACTAATCTGAAAAATGGAGTGAATAAAAAGACCTAAAAAAAAAAATTGTACAGTACTTAAAAATCGAATAAAGGGATTCTCTAATTAAAATGACAAGTATATTGAATCAAATGACGTTTCTCTTAAGTGTTTTTCTTGATGATGGTATTGACTATGATGACGATTATAGTTGAATGAAAGTTATTGCTAAACTACAGTTAATATTAATTTTTTTTGTTGATTGTTGATAAAAATATAAAAAAGTAAAAAAGATAAAAATTTATTTTTAGTACAAGTTAGTTTATACTGTACTATAGTATTGTAATACAAAACGTAAAATATTAGTGTTTGATATAAGAATACTGTATATAAGAAACAGTAGTGTATAGTTTACAAAATAAGTTCTAGATTTATTATTCTGGGGGGTCCAAAATTTTATTTTTATTTATTTATTCTTCAGCCATCTTTTATTTAAATTAATAAATTAATGATGATGATGATGATGTTGATCATTTTTTATATATGAAACAGCAAGAAGTGGAATAAAGAAAAGTTGTACTACAAAGTCAAAGTAAAATTTCATGTAGAACGTTATGTCACTGCTGATCTTAATGACATATCATTACTTCTAATCATACAGTCAATTATATTTGACACCGATAATCCTCCCCTATTAAAGTTGAGGCTATAATCTATTTACAAAAATTAAGTCTAATTAACGTTAGGTTTCATGATACAAAAGCTTAGTTTTACTCTACTTTACACTTTTTTTCTTTAGACTAGGTAACAAACACGTCAACAAAATCAACAAAATCTTGAGTATAAACTGTTTTATTAATCTTTTTTATTGACATCAAAGTAAAGTTTACGGTCTAATATTTATGCCAAAGCGAGGTCGATCTCGCTTTAACTTTGGTACGTAAATTAAAGTTTTTTTGTACCACTACACACAAATTTTAGTCTAAAAACTTTTGCTTAAAAAAAATCTTAATTCAAATTTATTTTGAAGACGCGTTTCAACTATCAATATTAATTTGTCAAGTAAAAATCTAAAAGTTTAACAATATTAACACATTTTGAACCAAACTTAATACTAGGAAAGGAAAGTTGTGAATAGGACTGTATTTTAAGTTTCACACATGTCTCAAAGTATAATTGGTAGATTTATCATAGCTCTCGTTGAAATATCGACAAACAAATCACTCTTACTTGACCAATCTGATGAACTTTGAGTTGGTTTTAACGTATTTGAAATAGCTAAATCCAAAAGTCTAACAAGTTGTCATATATAATGCTAATCAGGGTTTTTGCTTCACTTATTCGACTTTCCTCAATCTACTAACTCTTAACAATCTATTTTGTAATTGTAGTTAGCATGATCGGTGAGTCGAAATTTCAGTTTAAAAATTTTTGAAAATCAATTTCAAAATTGGATGAAATTCGAACCAAATTTATTCATTTTCAAGTTCCGTTATAATTCCTTCAGGTCTTGATTGATTTTTTTTTAATTTCTAAAAGTATTCTTGCACAACATCCGTACACAAAACACAAAAACTACTAGACCTGTTATTAAAATTTGAAATGTGGAGAAAAGAGTACAAATTGAAAAATAGTAACTATCATCATATATTTGAGAATGCAAGTTTTAAACCTCTCTTTCTCATGTTTCTGGTTAAAGGTTTATTTCAGTGCATTCGAAATAGACAAGAAATGGGTTATTCCCTCTAAGCTTTTCATTTTATGGTAGAGGCCAATGAAGACATCAGAAGCTGTTTATAATAGAAGAAATTGACCCAAATGGTTCGGACAGAAAATGGACCATTTTGTTTACTCAACTTTCATCTTGAAACACAGTATCATTCAAACTTTTCCAACTAAAATTGCAACAGACATCTTTCGAAATGCTCAAAGTGAACTAACGAACCTAGTTGATTATTACTTGGATTTCCAAAAAAAAATCAATCAAGTTCAAACCAAAACGTCTGCCCTCTTTTCAAAAAATTATTATTAATAAACCTTAGGCTCATTTCCAAGTCTGAAACCCTCTTCGAATTTGTTTGTAGATATGAATTCTATTTTCTTCGGAAATGTCTCAAGCATTCTCACATACAATTTTAAGTTTTGATTTTACGAATCCCTCTGAAAAAAAGAAAAAAAAAAAATCAGTATTAATCTCGGTTAATCAAAACATATTCGATTCAAAACTAATGAATTTAATAAAACCAACAAGACTATTGTTATTAGGAGCTCCAGGATCAGGTAAAGGTACCATATCCAAAAGACTACTAGATAATTTCAAACAATTAAAATCAATTGCTTCTGGAGATGTATTAAGATCACAAATTTCTCAAAAAACTTCAATAGGATTAAAAGCTGAATCATATTTAAAATCAGGAAGTTTAGTACCTGATTCAATTATGATTAATTTAATAACAAATCAATTACAAAATCAAAATTTATTACATTCAAATTCAAATTGGTTATTAGATGGTTTTCCAAGAACTTTTAATCAAGCAAAAGAATTAAATCATGTATTAGATGAAAACCAAAGTAATTTAAATTTAGTTATTGAATTAAATGTTGATCAAAATATAATATTAAAAAGAATAGAATCAAGATATGTACATTTACCAAGTGGAAGAATTTATAATTTAGATTATAATCCACCAAAAGTTCCATTTAAAGATGATATTACTGGAGAACCTTTAACTAAAAGAGAAGATGATACAGCAGAAGTATTTTCAAAAAGATTAATTAAATATAATGAAGAGATTCAACCAATGAGACAATATTTTCAAAAATTAGGTATATGGCATGAAGTTAGTGGAAATACAAGTGATATAATTTATCCAAAAGTTGAAAAATTAGTGATTTCTGATATCTAATAGTGCTACCAAATTTTGAAATAGATTTCTAGTATGATAGATAAATGATAGATGATTTAGATTTACAATTATATAGACCATCCATAGCAAACACGTAATATAACACACAACCACACGCGTTTCAAACATAATGAAATTCTATATTGATGATTTACCAGTACTATTTCCTTATCCAAGAATATACCCTGAACAATATGCATATATGAGTGATATCAAAAAGACATTAGATGTTGGAGGAAATTGTATATTAGAAATGCCTTCAGGTACTGGTAAAACAGTATCATTATTATCATTAACAATAGCTTATCAAATACATTATCCTGAACATAGAAAAATAGTATACTGTTCACGTACAATGTCAGAAATTGAAAAAGCATTAATTGAATGTCATAAATTAATGGAATATAGAGCAAATGAATTAGGATATGTTGAAGAATTTAGAGGATTGGGGTTAACAAGTAGAAAAAATTTATGTTTAAATCCTTTAATATCTAGAGAAAAAAAGGGTAATGTTGTTGATGAAATGTGTAGACGTGTAACAAATGGTCAATTAAAAGAAAAAATTGAAAGAGGTATTGTAACTCCTGAAATGGAAGAAAAAGATCCTGAAAAATATTCTTTATGTTCATATCATGAAAAATTATATGAATATGATCAACATGATTTAATACCTGCAGGAGTATATTCATTTGATGCATTAATAAAATATTGTAAAGAACAAGGTACATGTCCTTATTTTACAGTACGTAGAATGATACCATATTGTAATTTAATAATTTATTCATATCATTATTTATTAGATCCTAAAATTGCTGATAGAGTTTCAAGAGAATTATCAAAAGATAGTATTATAATATTTGATGAAGCACATAATATTGATAATGTTTGTATAGAATCATTATCATTAGATTTAACTGAAGATTCATTAAAAAGAGCAACAAGAGGTGCAAATAAATTAGCTGATGCAGTTGATGAAATGAAAATTCAAGATAGTGAAAAATTACAAAATGAATATGAACAATTAGTTGAGGGATTAAGACAAGCTGAAGTTGATAGACAAGAAGAATTATTTATGTCAAATCCAATACTACCTCAAGATTTATTAGATGAAGCTATACCAGGAAATATAAGAAAAGGAGAACATTTTATATCGTTTCTAAAGAGATTTATTGAATATTTAAAAACAAGAATGAAAGTTTTACATGTTATAAGTGAAACTCCAACAAGTTTTTTACAACATTTAAAAGAATTAACTTATATTGATAAAAAGCCTTTAAGATTTTGTACTGAAAGGTTAAGTTTGCTAGTAAGAACTTTAGAATTACAAGAAATTGAAGATTTTAATGCTTTAAAAGATATTGCAACTTTTGCTACATTAGTTTCAACTTATGATACTGGTTTTCAATTAATTTTAGAACCTTTTGAAACTGAAGGTTCGACTGTTCCAAATCCCATATTACATTTTACATGTCTTGATGCATCGATTGCAATAAAACCAGTATTTGAAAGATTTTCATCAGTTATTATTACATCTGGTACTATTTCACCATTAGATATGTATCCAAAAATGTTAAATTTTCAAACTGTTATACAAGAATCTTATGCAATGACATTAGCAAGAAGATCTTTTTTACCATTAATTATAACAAAAGGATCAGATCAAGTTTCAATTTCTTCAAGATTTGAAATTAGAAATGATCCTTCAGTTGTTCGAAATTATGGTTCATTATTAATTGAATTTGCCAAGATAACACCAGATGGTATGGTTGTTTTTTTCCCATCATATTTATATATGGAATCAATTATATCAATGTGGCAAACAATGGGAGTATTAGATGAAGTTTGGAAACATAAATTAATATTAGTTGAAACTCCAGATGCTCAAGAAACTTCATTAGCTTTAGAAACTTATAGAAAAGCTTGTTCAAATGGTAGAGGTGCAATATTATTATCTGTTGCTCGTGGTAAAGTATCTGAAGGTATTGATTTTGATCATCATTATGGTAGAACAGTACTAATGATTGGTATTCCTTTCCAATATACAGAATCAAGAATTTTAAAAGCAAGATTAGAATTTATGAGAGATCATTTACAAATTAAAGAAAATGATTTTTTAAGTTTCGATGCAATGAGACATGCAGCACAATGTTTGGGAAGAGTTTTAAGAGGTAAAGATGATTATGGAATTATGATATTAGCAGATAGAAGATTTGCAAGAAAAAAAAATCAATTACCAAAATGGATTGCTCAAGCTTTAAATGATTCAGATACAAATTTATCTACAGATATGGCTTTGGCTACATCAAAAAAATTTTTAAGAAGTTTAGCTCAACCTTCAAATCCAAAAGATCAGGAGGGAGTTTCAGTATGGAATATTGATCAATTAGAAAATTATCAAAAACAATTTAATAAAATGGAAATATTAGAAGAAAAACAAAATGAAATTTCAAAAGCTGAAATTGGTGAACCTAATGTTAATGATGATAATGATTTTATGGATTTAGATGACGCAGATATAGAATTATTGTAATTTTAATTATTTATTTAACTGTATAAATATATTTAATGATTTAAATACTCGGAAAAATTAAAAGAATTGTGAGATCTGTAGATGTCATTAGTATTGGAGATAACATGTACCAAAATTAAAATAGGAATAGTAGGACAAGAACCTGATATAATACCAATAAATTACTATCAGAATGGTATATACTTTCCACCTCAATTTGAATTAAATGATCATGCCATAACACAGTCACAAAGAAATGAAATCATCAATAATCTACTACCGGAAAATAAAGAAATAATATATGATTACAATAAAATCAATTGGTTACCATTAAGAGAATCAAAAGTTTCAAAACAATTATTACAGAAATTAATTCATCAAGTACTTTATGAAAATCTGTATTTTCCCAGAACAGTGTTGGTTATTGATCATGATTTTTCAAATATTTTAAAATTAAATATCGAGGAGATACTAAAAGGTCTCCAAGCTAAAACCGTTAATTTCATACCTTCTTCAGTTTTAACTGTATTAGGTTCAAATAAAAGAGATGGATTAGTCATATATTATTCAATTGAATGTGTTAAAATTTATCTGATTATTGATTTAAGACAAATTAGTGTAGTTGAAGATTTAAGAGTTAATGAACTAAATCATAATAATACAGTAATACAAGAATTAATTAATAAAGTAATTGATAGTTCTCCAATAGATATACGAAAACTGTTAAAAGATAATATAATTATAATTGGTGATAATATAGCTCCCAAATATAGTTTAGATTGTTGGACATCTGCATCAATTTATGGTCTTCATTTAAATCAAAATTTATGAATATTTACAAAAATATCATCAATATTAGAATCAATTAAATCAACTGTTGATTGTTGATCTGATTCAACACGTCCAATTAAATTTGACCAATGATCTGTTCTAGTCCACCAAGATCCTTTTTTAACATTATTTGATTCAACATTACCATCTTCTTCAGATTTTTTTTCATCATCAATTAATTTAAATTCAAATTCTAAAATTTTACACAATGAATCTTCTTCAATAGTTTTATTTTCTTGATTTAATGGGAAAGATTTAGGAATATTTGCAATTGGAATATTTTTTAAATTTAATTCTTTATTTATATTTGAATTTAAAGGTTTTAACATATGAGGTTGAATTGGTACATTTACAAGGGGATAATTTATTTCATTTAATAAAGTTGGAAAATATAATTCTTCAAATTCTAATGTTGGTGAAGCTTCATAAAATTCTTCACTTGATAAACTTTGTTCTTGATCAAGATCAATATTTTCTTTTGAAATTGAATTATTTGTAAGTATTTGATCATTTCTAGTTGTAGATTTGACATTATTAGTGTTTGTATTTGGTAAATAAAAAAAAGTATTTGAATTAACTTTTCTTAATGGTGTTTGAATTGATTGTTTTTGATTATTATTATTTTCAATTGATTTAGAATCACTTGAATTGATATTTTCATCAAACATTCTCTTGTTTTGGTTGTTGTTGGCTGTAAAAGATATAAATAAAAAGTTAAGTTGGTTGCAAATTTACAAAATTATTTTAATATGCTACTGCGTATATTAATTTAATTTTGTTAGACCAACAATACACACTACAAATACATCATATCAAAACATCAAAAACATCATGGATTGAGTAGTTTACTTATATAATCTTGTATATATACCAAATCATTCTCCAATTTATCATTTAAATGTTGTAATTGTTTTAAATTACTTATTAATAATGTTGATTCTTGTTTATATTTCATTATTTCATCAATTTTTTGTTCTTTCAGTTTGTTTGAAGTTTGGGGTTCATCTACTTCATTAATGATCTCTACCTTCGTTTCAATAACTTCATCGTTTGTTTCCTCATATACCGCCAGCATCAATAAATTAAGTGTTCAGCTATACAGCAAATTATCTCGAGACAAATAAAAATCGGATATTTACGATCTTCTAATAATTTTTTTGTTGATAAGAGAGTGACCATATTATTTTTAACTTTACAGCCGACTTAGCTGAAATCAGCACTATATACTCGTACAAACCTCAATTGAAACCAATATACACATAAAAATATACATAAACACATATATAACAACAGAACATGTCTTGGGGAGGGTTTAAAAAAGCAATAAATAGAGCTGGAGCATCAGTAACAGTTAAAAATGTTGATAAAACAATGGATAAAGATTTTGATATAGAAGAAAGAAGATTTAAAACTTTAAAAACAGCAGGAGATAAATTACAAAAATCATCAAAATCATATTTAGATAATATAAGAGCTGTTACAAAATCTCAAGTTACAATTAGTGAAATTGTAAGTAATTTATATGAAGAATCAAAACAAGGTTCATCAGCATATTCAACAGTTGGAACATATTATAAACAATGTGTACAAGAATTTGATGAAGAAACAGTAAAACAATTAGATGGACCATTTAGAGAAACAGTATTAGATCCAATAAGTAAATTTGCTCATTATTTTATTGAAATTGAAGAAGCTTTAAAAAAAAGAAATCATAAAAAATTAGATTATGAACAATGTAAATCAAAAGTTCGTAGATTAATTGATAAACCTTCAAAAGATGCAACAAAATTACCAAAAGCTGAAAAAGAATTATCATTAGCAAAAGAAATATATGAAGAATTAAATGATCAATTAAAAAATGAATTACCTCAATTAATAAGTTTAAGAGTTCCATTTTATGATCCATCATTTGAAAGTTTAGTTAAAATTCAATTAAGATTTTGTACTGAAGGTTATTCAAGATTAGCTCAAATTCAACAATATTTAGATCCAAATAGTAGAGATGATTATGCTAATGGATTATTAGATGGTAAAATTGATGAATTATTAGGACAAATGCAAACTTTAAGTATAACTTCATTAGGTGTTAAATAGTACTTTTTAAAACTCTTTGTATTAATAAATTAATAATAATGATTGAAGGAAATGTTTTGAAATTGTAGATAATTGATAACATAGTAAGTCTGTATTGGTTTCAGATTCTTCCATAGCCCCGTCAATTATTACTCATCTAAAATTTCATGAAATTGGATCCACAATTTACGAGAAATACTACCCAAAATAAAACTAAAAAGTGTAAAGTATATATAAGGCTAACAGTTCGTCGAATAATACTATCTCTGATAAATTCTATTCAATTTCTCTTCAACTCAACTTAAAGCTAAAGATACAATGCCTACTTTATATACTGGACCAACAGGTAATGGAAGAAAACCAACAATTTTAATTAAATTATTAAATGCACCAATTGATATTCATTTATTTGAATGGCCAACAAAGGAAATTAAACAACAATGGTATTTAGATTTAAACCCCAATGGTACTCAACCAACATTAGTTGATGACTCAAAAAATTTAAAATTATTTGAAAGTAATGCTTTATTACAATATATTGCTGTGAATTATGATAAAGATCATAAATATTATTATTCAGAATCAGATAATTTTAATTTATATTGGGAACAATATACATGGTTATATTATCAAGGATGTCAATTTGCTGCTTTTAATTTAGCAAGAGCAATAACTCATATAAATGAAGGTCATAATGATAAATTTACTGAACAAGATGTTATAAAAGGTTTTAAACAAATTTATGAAATTTTAGAAAATCAATTAATCAAAAATAAATCAGGTTGGTTAATTGGTAATAAATTTACAATAGTTGATATTTCATTTGGTTGTGGTAATCATAGAAGAATTGAAAAATCAACAAATACTAATTTTGATATTAAAAATTTTGATACATTATATCCAAATGTTGTTAAATGGTATAATAATTTTTTATCAATTGATGGTATAAAGGAAATACTTGATAAAAAATGAATAAATGAAGATATCTCTCATGAAATGGCTGTACATCTAATTGACAATTAACATTTATGACAAAGACTCTTTTGATCTATCAATCAATCCATCTCTATTTTGTATTATTTTAAAGTTAAAGTTGTTTCGGTCTTATCGATATTAAATTTTAAAGTTAAAGATCAAGAAAAAAAATTATATTGAAAAATAATATTGAATTTTGAACCAATCAGAGTAATGTACTCTTTTTGCAAATAACCAAGGGATATAAAGAGGATATGCTTGTATGAAATAATTGTCTTAACGTGAGGTCTTGTCAACTGTTTCGAAAGTGAGATTTAGCTAAGAATATAGGTGGCTAATTTACTTTAATAGGGTTATATTGAGGAATAGGAATTATGGAACCAAATTAAAGGGCTGAAACTTTTTGTTTTAAGGTTTTTTTGTAACCACCTCCTAAAGTACAAACTATCTTTTAAACTTTCTTGTTTTTAGTCTCCAAATCAACCAAAAACCCCATTTAAGTTACTCCATCTTTCTGATTATACAATATCTAAGTGAACAAATCAAAAGTTGGCTATTTGAAATGGTAAGTTTCACCTAGTAAGCTTTGATTCTTTACTGTAAATCGACCTTACTCATCTACTTCTCTACTTCTTCTCTTTGTCTCTTCTCGTATTTGATTGATCAAATAGATAAAAATGTAAATTAATGCAAGATTTCATATTTTGTAAGTAATTTTTTATTTGTGAAATATTCTCACCAAACAAAATGAACGAACAAACAAACAAATACCAAGTGGTTCACTTTGTCAGTTCAATCAAAACAACCTTGAAGAGTATGGATGATGTCATGAAGATAGACGGGCTGAGCATGTTTGATCTTATGAGTTCTTGGTAATCGATTTCGACCTATTGGAATCTTCCTTTAATTATTCTGATTTTATACTCAAATATTATGTTTCAATTTATTATATTCTGGGCATATGTATAATCTTAAAATTATATACAAATTTAAAATAGAAAAATTTTATTATTTTATAAGATTTATAAATATATATAAGATTAATGATGATACCAGGATTTATAAAAAATTAAATTTTAGGGATTCTATTCAAAAGATTCTTTAAATTTAGTTGATTTACTACCTTTATATTCCAATCCAATCTCATCCTCATTATCCAGTCCAACCTCATCCTATTTTTTAGTTCAGTTTGGCCTTCAATTTACCAAATCATAGCTCATAATGGATTCAACTGATGAAAATAGTATTCCAATTGATATTCAAAAAGAATGGGAAAGTTCAAGAAATACAAAATATCAATGGATAAGTTGTATATTTAGTTTAATAGTATTTTTAATTCATGGTATAATATTTTTTTGGATTCCTAGACATTTAAGACAAAAAAGATTCATTAAATCAAATAGATTTAAACCAATTTTTATTTTATATAATATTTGGAATACTTTTAATTATACTTTATCATTTAAAATTCGAAAAAAAGTTATATATTTCAAACCAAGTATATTAATATTATTTTTATTTTATATTTTGTTAAATACAAGATTATGTTATCAATATACTCTGGATATAACTTATATCCCCAAATATATGGTATTAGCTAAAAGATGGGCAAGAATTGGTATTGCTCAAGTTCCAGTTGTATTTTTATTAATTACAAAAGGTGATTTTATAACAGGTATAACTGGTTTAACTTATGAAAGAACTACTTTTTTACATATTTGGTTTTCATTTATGATGTTTGTTTTAATTACTTTTCATGTTACAGTTGTAAGTTATTATTGGGCAAGACCTCAATATGAAGATTTACATCCAAAATATCCCAAAAATGCTTATGGTATAATTGCTTATATCACTTTTGTATTTTTAGCTTTGGGGAATATAAAAATTATAAGAAAATATGCTTATGATTATGCAATGGTTCATCATAGAACTCAATCTTTTATAATGTTATTAATGGCTTTTTTCCATAATGATAGTACTAAAGCAATGGTTGTTGTTGGTGTTCATTTATTAGTTATTGATAAAGTTGTAGGAAGAATTTATGGAATAATTCATTCAAAAAAATCACCAACTAAAGGTTGGTCAACTTTTGAAATTTTAGATGATGAAATTATAAAAATTTCAATCCCTATTAAAGTTAATAAAAATTTTAATCCAAATTCTTGGTTTGGTTTAATAAAATTTAAATATGGAAATTGGAAAGCTGGTCAACATATTTATTTTAATGTTCGAAAAATTGATTTTTTTCAACATCATCCTTTTACAATTTCAAGTTTATCTGAATCTGGGAAGATGGTTTTGATAGTACGTAAAAAAAATGGTTTCACTGAGAAAATGTTTGAAAAAGTTTCTACTTTAATCGAAAAACAATTGAAAGGTGAAGAAGAATTGATGGATTATATCACTTGGTATAGACCAAAATTAGATAAAATTTTAAACGTATTTAGAAGAACCCTCAAGCTCAAGGAAATTAAAACAGATGAAATTCCAGAATATAGAAAAATTAAAAATCCAAATACTGTAATTTTAAAAGCTGCATTTAGAGGTCCTTCAGGTGCAAAATTTCAACCACTTATAACATTTGATTCAGTTGCTTTCTTTTGTGAAAATTTAGGTGCATCATTTATATTACCAGTTTGTTTAGATTTATTACAAAACATTGAAGCAAAAGAAATTTCAAAAGATTATTTATTTAGACCTGATAAACCAATTATATCAATATATTGGTCAATTCAACATTTTAAAACAATTAATTGGTATAATCATGTTATAAAAAAATTATTACCATTTATTGAATCAGGAAAATTATCTTTCAATGTATATATTGATCCATCAAACGAGATTCAAAATACAGAAATTGAACTTTCAAAACTTGAACCTGAAGAGCTTGTGAATAGTACAATGGATATATCAACAACAACAAATCCATTTAAAACAACATTAGTAAGTAAAACTAGTGAAATAACAACAGAAACTCAAGATATTTCCAAACTTGAATCCAATAATTCATCATCATCAGAAGAAATTGATTATACATTAATAAATAAAACCTACGCGTCATTAAATATAAATCAACAATTAAATAATCATATATCAAATTTAAAAATTTCAGATTCAAATGATGATAAAACTTTTAAATCTTTAGCTATATTAAGTTGTGGAGAAAATCATAAATTTGGTAAAGAAGTTGAATATAATTTACAAAATTATAGATGGATTAAAAATGCTCCAAATATTTATTTTTATAATGAATCTTATGATAGTTGAGGTTAGTTTTTGTTAAATAAGTAAGTAGTTGTTGTAATGATTATGGTGAATATTTATTTTTATGAATTTGATTAGGGATACCGCTTATTATTATACTCTACCGCTTAATACAAATCTTCAATTTTCTTTCTATTATTATCTTTCATTATCCTTATCAAATAGCGCCATCAACATTTGATTTAATATTTAACAGCTACAACTAACCAACCACACAACTTAGTAACTCATACATAACAATGTTTAACTCTGTATACCCAGCGTTAGAAGAATTAAAACAACCATTATCACAAGATCAATTAAATATACTAAAAAATCAATTAGATTCAGAACAACCAAAACCAACATCCCAAACTCAATTTAATTATGCATGGGGATTAATTAAATCAAATCAACATAGATTACAACAACAAGGTATTGATATCCTTGTGAAGCTATATAAACAAGAATCAGAAATGAGAAGAGAAATTTTATATTATTTAAGTTTAGGTTCTTTTAAAATTGGTGATTTTTCTAATGCAAAAAGATATATTGATTCTTTATTAAAAATTGAACCTGAAAATCAACAAGCTTTACAATTGAAAGATAATATTGATGATAAAATTACAAAAGAAGGATTAATTGGAATTGGAATTGCTGGTGGTGTTTTAGCTTTAGGTGTTGGAATTATTGGTGCTTTAGTTAGAAAAAATAGGAAATAAGAAAGACTCTGAGAATGATGTTTGAGTAAATTAATATATGAATGTAATATAGTGAAATTTGATTATGGGTTTAATGATAGATTTAATTGAAATTAGTTTATGAATTTTGTAAAATTTGGAACTCGAAAATTCTCTTTTCTTTTGATTTAACAATTGATGAATAAAGATGATTTGGGTAATAAAATAGCCAAAACAGTAATTGAAAAATTTAATAATTTGAAAATAACATCAGGTAAACCAATAATAAGATCAAATGGAATAAAAGAATGGACTGTATTAGCTAGTATTGTTGCAATAACTAATGATGAAATAACACCAATTACTTTAGCAACAGGTGTGAAAGTTTTACCCAATAAGGTCCGACAATATTCCAATGGTTTAATTGTTCATGATATGCATGCTGAAGTATTAGCTTTAAGATTATTTAATTTATTCTTACTTGGAGAACTGCAAAATCCTAATTCCAATTGGGTAAAATTAGAAGGTGAAAAATTTCAATTCAATAAAGAGATAAAATTAGCACTTTTTATAACTGAACCACCTTGTGGTGATGCATCAATGACTTATTTATCAAATAATTTAGAATCAAATGAACCTTGGGAATTGAGAGAAGGTGATTTAACATTTAATAGAGGTAGAAATAATTTTAATCAATTAGGTATTGTTAGAACAAAACCAGGTAGATCAGATAGTTTAATTTCATATTCAAAATCTTGTTCAGATAAAATTTGTTTAAAACAATTAATTGGGATATGTAATTCAATAACATCAACAATTTTCCAACCTATTTATTTGAATTATTTAGTTGTTAAAAATATTAATGAAGAAGATTTCAATCGTTGCTTTTTAAAAAGACTTGAGAGTGACCATCCATTAAAATTAATTACATATGATTTGGATATATATGAATTTAATAAATCAAATGATAAAGTTCCTTCACCATTATCATTATTATATATTTGTCCCTCCAATACAATTCAAATTTTAAATAATGGTGTTAAAAATGGTTCATATATAAAAAATAAACCTCCAAAACCTGGTGGTGAAAGCATTATTTGTAATCAAGGCTTAATCAAGAAATATCCTAAACGTATAAACTCAAAAAGCTATGATGAATTCAAAAGATCTAACATTGAAAGAGAAACATTAAAATTAAAAGGTCAATCAATCCTACAAAATTGGAAACATTCAGATGTAGATGACTTTAATTTATGAAATGACGTAACTAATGATATCAGTCAGATTCAGATTCAGAAGCTGAACCATCATCTTTTTCTTCTTGTTCTTCAAATTCTCTTAATTGATCTTTTTGATTTTGTTCCATTGATATAGCATATTCTGCACTTTCTAATAATTGTATTAATTTTTCATTATCTCGATTAACATAATTTATTGGTTTTAAACCATCTTTATCTTTAATCCTTGGATCTGATCCAGCATCTAATAAATTATCTATTATAAAATATCCATGATCTGGTTCATTTAAAGTATATTTTACTACTAAATGTAATGGAGTTTCTAAATTTCTATTTTGTGGATCAATTTCAACTCCTTCTATATCTAATACAATATCTATAAATTCCCAATTTCCTAAATTACATGCAATATGTAATGGAGTATTATTTGTAATTAATTCATTAGTATTATTTATTAATTCTGATAATTTAATTTGATCATTACCTAATTCTGATTTAATTTGTAATAAAAGCTCTGTATTATTTCTTCTAGCGGATTCTAGTATTTGTTCTTGATATGAAGCTCCTTCTATATGATTTTCTTCCGTCATTGTTGTTGTTGACCGTTGGTTTGACAACTTTTTGGCTGCGATCGTATTATTTTTGGAAATTCAATTTTGTTGCCGGAAATCTCGAAAAATTGATCTAAAAATTAACCAGAGAATTGATCGACAAAGTTTTAAAGCTACAAGTTTAATTGTATAGTTGTATATTGATGCGATTGTTTGGTAGAATGATTAAGATGCTTGTAGAGTTGTGAGCAATAACTCTTTCTAAAGTCTTGTTAATTTCAAGATCAATTGAGTTAAAGATTTAAAATATGAAACGCACAAAATTACCGATCAAACAAAATTTCTTGATCTTTTCAAATCTATTATCAAAACAATTGCTACTTACAACAAAAATACCTCAACAATAACTCAATAACTCAATGGTTGAATCAATAATATCTCCATCGATTTTAGCTTCAGATTTTGCAAATTTAGGATGTAGTTGTAAAAGAGTAGTTGAAACTGGAGATGTAAAATGGTTACATTTAGATGTAATGGATGGTCATTTTGTTCCAAATATTTCATTTGGTGCACCAATAATTGAAAGTTTAAGAAAAGAATTTCCCAAAGATGATGAAAAACCAATTGTATTTGATTGTCATATGATGGTTTCAGATCCAGAAGAATGGATAGAAGATATAGCAAAAGCTGGTGGAGATTCTTATACATTTCATTATGAAGCAACAAAAGATCCAAATTCAGTTATTGCAAAAATTAAAAAACATGGTTTAAAAGCAGCTATGGGTATAAAACCAAAAACTCCAATTGAAGAAGTATATCCATATGCAAAAGATTTAGATATGGTTTTAATAATGACTGTAGAACCAGGATTTGGAGGTCAAAAATTTATGAAAGATATGATGCCAAAAGTTGAAAAATTAAGAGAAAAATATCCACATTTAAATATTCAAGTAGATGGTGGATTAGGAAAAGATACTGTTGAACCAGCTGCTATAGCAGGTGCAAATGTTATAGTTGCAGGTACATCTGTTTTTAAAGCAAAAGATCCAAAAGAAGTTACAGAATTTTTAAAAAAAACAGTTGATGAAAGTATATTGGCTAGATCTAAATAAATTTTATAGATATAGACTTGTTTGAAATGAAATAAATATTAAAAAATCCCCTAATGAAATGAAATTCGGTATATTTTTAAAATGATTGTACTCCTAAAGTTGTACCTTCTGCATCTGGTAATACTAAAGGTCCATTTGTTTTATTCCTCTCTATTAAATCCCAAAGTGTCTTTTTAACTTTATCTAAATTTGTTTGTTTAATTTCATTATCAACTTTCATCATTATATCTTCTTCTTGTTTTTGAGTTAAATATTTTTGATTTCTTGCAATTTTTTTAGCTCTTTTATTTGATAATGTATTTGTTGTCATTTTACTGACTGGATTTGGTGTTTCACCTGTAAATAATGCTATTGCTCTTGAATCTGTTGGTCTTGGTGCTGTTGTTCCTCTTAATGCATATCGGGAAGTTGATGATCTTGTCTGTATACTATTTCTTGATGCTCTTTTTCTTCCTAATGATTTTGCATGACTTTGTGCCAACATTTTAATTTTAGGTTTATTCACTGCGTTTCTTCCGGCCATTATTATTATGTTATGTATGTGTTAAATGTTGTGTAAGTAAATGAATTTGATGCTTGATTTCACGGTGTCATCTCAATTAAAAAAATGTTTCTAATTATTTCTGATACAAGATCAGTTACACAAAATTAAGTAGATTGTGGACAGAATATTTTGCAATCAAACATGAACAAAACTCAAATAGTTTATTCAATTGGGTGTTGCAATTGTTTCTTGAGACTTCAATGGGAGAGTCAAGCTTTTGCTTTAGTCTGTATCAAATGATCTAATATAACTATTTTGTTGGTAAATTTGCAATCAAATTTGGATCAATACTCAAATTAAATTAAAAAAAGGTTTTAAAATCACTTAAACTAAATTAGTAATTCTATTGATCAAAAAAGCTTCCCGGTTTTATTTCACTCATTCAAATGCATTTAGTTTAGTCTATTTAATGCTTACGTGAATTCAGTTTCAGGTTAGAGTAGTAATCCATTCTTATCGAAAAACACCAGTAACTCAATACAAAATTCAAAAATTAAACGCTACCAACTACCAACTTGAAAATGAAAAATTATTTCAATAGGCATACAATTTTTGATCAAAAGATTCAACTGATTAATATCAATTATCCAATTTCACACATCAACTAATCAAATTCCTCAATAAATATGTCATCAAGCCCACTAATGTCACTAGCTGAAAAGACAGCTCACAAAAGAAACCTAGTGAAAATAAGACTAGCAAGATTTGGTAGAAAACATCAACCAGTATATAATATAGTTGTAATGAAAGCAAAAAAAGCACAACAAAAATTACCAATAGAAGTAATAGGTACTTATAATCCAATAGCGACTCCAAAACCAATACATGATGATAGTATACCTATAAAAGATATATCTTTAGATTTTCATAGAGCAAAATATTGGTTAGGTATGGGAGCTGAACCAACTCCAAAAATTGCTTGGTTATTTAAAAAATGTGGAATATTACCTAATTTTTGGCCTAAAACAAGTAAATTATCTCAAGAAATTAATGAACCTGTTATTGAAGATATTAAAGAAGTTCATGAAACACCAGTGGAGAATATTAGAAGAAGAGGAGATAAAAAGTTTTAAAGAAAATACTGTACATAGTTGAACGAATTTCATGAATATACATTAATTATTAGATAAAGAAATCATTGATTCAATTTTTTATGAAAATGAAACCAACCCCAATGAGATTTTTTGTGTTGAAATAACTTTTTAAAAGGATTTCTAGATTTTGTTTCAATTTTAATATCAAAATCACTCAAATTTTCAAAATTATTCTGATTAAGAAAACTTGGAATCCATTCATGTTGATCATGATTAGGACTTTCTTGATTGATTCTACTACCTCTATTTTGATCTTGAATTTTTGGTGAATTATATTGATAAAAATCTGAATTTTGTTGATCAAAAGATGCAATATTATCATCATCTAAATTTAAATTAGATTGATTTTTAATCATTCTATATTGTTGTTTAAGAATAGTATAATTTAATTTGTTTAAATTATGATAATTCTTGTTCACAAAAAGCACCATTACATCTCTAAATAAAATTTTGAATTCTTCTGTATCATCATCTATTTCATTTTTATGTTTTAAATAGTTTTTAGTCAAGGACATGATGTTAACAAATAAATAATCCATTTCTTTGACTAGTTGACTCACACTTAAATGACTTTTGAGTATTTCAAATACTTTAGAATTTGGAATCAATTCAATAATAATTTTATTTACCAAATTATTTATGGTATTTACATCAGAATCTTTTTTTGCAACCATTTTTAAAGTAAGTAAATTTAATAAACTATCCAAAAGTTCATAAACAAATTTGATGTCGTTAAGTATATCAAAGTTATTTAATAGCAGTAAGATCAATTGAACCAATTTATAGGTTTGTTTGAATGATTCATCTGAGAATATAAAACTTTGTTGGCTTATATTTGATGAAATAATTTTAATAATACAATTCATTCTATTATTTGATAAAAATGCAACAAAACGATCTTTATTATCATCGATATTAATTATTTCTAATATTGAATTGAAATAATAGTACATCATTATGTTAAATTCTTGAATATCTCTTGAAGTCTTGTATGGTGAATCATCAATAATCAGAATGATTTTCAGGAACCATATGTTTAATTTACCTTCATTTGGTAAACAATTAATACCACCTCCATTTGTTTCAACTGAATCTTTAGATATCAAGGCGACATCAGACACAGTAACCTGAGAAGTGAATGAATCATACATAGTCACTATTTGGTGTTGTATAAGTTCTTGTAAAAGTGTTGCAAAAAAATATAAAGATTCTACACAAAACAAATTTCAATAATTTTAGAAGAAATAAAATAATACAAATTTATTGATTATTAAATTTTTATACAAAACTTATCTTTCTATGGATTAGTTTAATCGAATAAACCGAAACCCATATCTTCATCAGATTGTTCTTCTTCTTCTTCTTCAGCAGCGGCTGGAGCAGCTTCTTCAGCAGCATCACCACCAGCTGAAGCAGCAGGAGCAGCAGCAGCATAAGCTTCTGGATTAGCTAATCTATCTTTAATAGCTTCTGAACCTTCAAAAGTATAATCAGTAGCAATAGATAAAGCTAAAACGTTTTTATAGTTATTGATTAATGAGTGACCAACTGATGGTAAGGTTGGGTAACCAATAGCTAATGAGATTGAAGCAATGGTGTTAATAGCACTAACGAAATGGCTGATTAATTCATCATCAGTAATATCTAAGATTGATGATGGGAAAACTTGACCATTATCATAAACTTGAACAACAGTCATACCATAAGTGAAAGGAGAAATGTTTAACATATTTAATAAAGTAGCTTCTGATGGACCAACTTTACCATCTTTATCAACAACTTTAACATCTGAAACAATTTCAATTGTACCTCTAGCAATTTTAGTTGGAACACCTAAAGCTTGAAAGAATGAAGTTTTACCTGGTTCCATACCAGTGTTACCAGCTGGAATCCAAACATCAGCTGGAGCAACAGCACCAGCTCTTGCTGGGGCAGCAACAACATTAGCAGTAATAGTATCTCTAATAGTTTTTAAATCACTATTTGTGAAAATGAAACCAACATTACCTTTAACAAATGGTAATAATTTTTCATAATCTGGTAATTCTGAAAGGAAACCTCTTAAAGCTCTTCTAACCATAGTATTTTTACCCATTAAAACTACAGCATCATTTCTTAAAGCTTTTCTGATTTCATGCATTTGTTGTGAAGAAACATTATCAACACCAACAACAAAAATTGATTTGTATTCTTCTAAAAGTTCTCTTAATTTGGAGAAGTATTGTACTTTTTTATCTCTGGTACCACCCATTTCGACTTGATATTTAATATGACGATAGGAATTTAATGGTCTATGATGATTTTGAAAGAAGTGAAATAAACTATGAGTTGTGTTGATAATATAAATTTTTCAATAGAGACGATATTTTTCAAGTGCGAAAAGCCCTAAAAGTCATGTGACTCAATAAACATGGTAGCAATACTTGTTTTATACTATTAAATTTTCGAAAGACGTATTTACTTACAGTAATTACCTCTTCTTTAATGTGTTTAGAATTTAAGGTATTTCGAAATGTTCATGTTAAGCTCGTTTTAGTTTGGGTTTGTTTTAAATATCGGAGAATATGTTTAGCAGCACCAGAAAAAACATATTCTTCGATATTTGAAACAATTTATCCGATAATGAAGATTTACATAAAATACCGATAAGAATCAAGATGTCCAAGACTGATTTTGTTCGAATGTTTGGGAACGTATAGAATCGACGAGGCGGACTTGAAGTGACTGATACAACGTTGGAAAACTTGGACGAAACTCGAAATCGTCCAAAATCTTTAACCTTCGCTTCAGAGCTTTTTTATTTGTTTGACATCATCGAGTGCTAATCAGTTACTTAACACGTATTTCATTATGAAAGTACTTCAATCAGATAAAAGTCAAGAGTGATTGAAGCATAAGGTTTCAAAAGAAAAGCATTTAAAAGAATAAGATGCCGTTACACAAAGAGTAAGTATGAAACAAAACACAAAATTTACATTATCTTGAGCATCAGTTGCAAAATCATTATTCAAAGTACAAAATATTAGCATCAATTACTATTATAATTTTTAACATTCAACTGAATCTTGAGAAGACAAATTATGATCTAAAATTGGTTTTTCAATTTTAGTAATTGGAAAATGTTGATCTTGAATTTTTAAAATTTTTGAATTGATCAGATTCAATTGAATTGAAATAGTTTCAAGTTCAATTGAATCAAGTTTAATTTTTGAATTTAAATCTTGAATTGTTGACTCAAAATCTAATAAATCATTAAAAGCATCATTCACAAAGTCAATAAATTTTTCATCTCTATTGTTATTGTTATCTTCCAGAAACATGTTAACAATATAATCATCAAATGTATTATATTCCTTTGTAATACTTCTTTTCAACCCAGTACTATTTCCTAAAAATTTTAAAACATTATTAACTGAAGTTATTTCACTTTTATTTTCATCATAATTATCACCTAAATTTTGTAAATCCAAAGAACTTATAAATTCATAATTATTTCCTGTATTATTATTTAAAGCTTTTAAATCTGGACTTATCAAACAATCAGTTAATTCATTCGTATCAATATTTAATAAAATTGAATCTGTTTGATTTTGATTAGGCAGATCAGTTAAATTTCTTCCGTATTCGATTTCACTTGAATATGATTGATTATATTTTGGATCTAAAGTACTGTAATTTTTTAAATTTTTATTAGTTTGTGGAATATGTGGTTCTATTGGAGTTGAGTGTGATAGTTCAACACTTAAAAATTCTGGAGTTGAGTCTGATGTGGAGGACATTGTGGTTGTATTTCTATGTTGATGTAAATATGTAAATTGGTTGCCAAAAAATTGAAATAATTTAAATTTTGCAGCAAAAAAAAAGAAGAGATTATTTTATCATACAACTTCAAATCAATGTACGAGACTACAGTTTTAATCATTATTTTCATATATTCATTAAAATGTTACATTAGTTAAAAAACCTATTGATTTAGTCTATCTATTCTCAAAGTTTATCATCCAAGTCCAGAATTTTCATAACCAGAACTAACAAAAGTATTTTTTAAATAAATATTCCAAATTTTATCTAATTTAGAATCACCATCTTTTGGATGTTTACCCTTTTTACCTTTTTTACCTTTTTTATTTTTATGGTTTTTCTTTTTTAAGGTCTCAACTTTAGATTTAATTGGTTTACCTAATTTTCTTGCAAATTGTAACCATCTATCAACAGTTAATACATCTAAATTATAAATTTTATCATCAGTTTCATATTCAATTTCATAACCAAATTGTTTTTTACCATCATTTATTGATTTTAAATCTGCATAATATTGAACATATCTTTCTGGTGTGAAAGTTTGTGGAATATAAGCTGGTCCTAATTTTGCTGTTTTTGGCATTGGTTTAGGAAAAGTTTTATCTCTTTTTTTTAAAAATGACCAAACACTATTATCGGAATCTTCTTCATCAGTATATTGATCTTGTTTTTCAATTAATGTTTCAATAGATTCAAAAAATTTATCCCATGGTTCAAATTTTGTTTTAGTTATTTCTTTACCTAAAGTTGTAATATTATATTCCCATACTCTAATACCTGGATTAAAAGTTGGTACAATTGAACTTGCAACATGAGATATTGAATATCTTTCACCAAATGAACCAGATTTTTTTTTACCTTTAATTTTTGCATAAACTTCCTCTCTAAAAGTTTCCATATAATCAACTTTATATTCAGGTACACCACCTTGAATTCTAAAAAATGAATCATCAAATTTTGAATCTAATGCATGATAAAATGATGAATCACCTATAGCATCAGTGTCATCATCTTCATAGCTATTTTCAAAAACATTAATCATATTTGAATTTTTAATTGATTTATAAGCGGCAACACTATCTAAAGGAATAAAATGATCTAAATTCATATGACCATATAATCCACCAATTATAACATCTCTAAATTCATAAATCCAAACAATATATTTTCTTAAACAAGTTGGATCATAATTTTTTTCATTTGGTGGTACATGACCAGTTAACCAAACTTTCATCTTACGAGCTCTCATTTCTTTTAAAACATAACCTAACCATTCAAATAATTTATAACCTGGTTGTTTCTTTTTATCACAATTATCAACTAATGGATTTGATTGATATAAATATAAAGTATTTATTGATAATATAGCTAAATGACCAGGTATAACTTCTTTAAAAAAATAAGCACCTCTATTAAAAATATGTAATTGCAGTTGTGGAATAAATTTTTGCCAAATTTGAAATAATTCTCTTGTTTGTAAAGTTGGACCTATAGAAAATAAATTATGAGGATAAACATCATTATTACCTAAACTTGGTATTAAATCAATTTCTAATTCAGGAGTGTTTTCCTTTTTAAAAGTTTCATACATTATATGACTTACTCTTTCATTCATTTCAAATATATTTTGTTCAGTTCTTGGATAATTTCTATCATTATCATGACGAATATTATCTCCTGTCCATATAATAAAATCAATTTTATCTCTTAAATTTTGTGCAATCCATGATATTGTATCATTCATTAATATCATTGGTGAATCACAACCACTTATTGCATCTCCATATTTATGAGCTGTTCCTTTTGAAGAATGACATGCATCTTCAAATGATGAACCTTCTTTAAAATAAGGATCAGGATGAATATCAGTTATATGAAGAAATCTTCCATGAATTATTTGTTCACCTTTTTCATTTGATATTATTTTAATTGGATTTTTATGAGTAAGACCTAATTTTGTTAATTCATCTTTTTGAAGTTGAGTTAATTCAATAATTTCACTTGATTTCACTACATTTTGATTGTTTTGTTGTTTTGAAAATGGTAATGAAATGTTATTTGGTGAATAATTTGTAAATATTCCACTAAGATATAATAGTGTTATTAATATTATCAAAGGTATAGTGGTTATACAAATTCTTTTAAAATATGATGATAATTTTGGTCTATGATGATTATGTTTCTCATCTAATGATTCCATAATGTGTTTCTATACATATGTCTATCTAGAATGATATAAATAAGTGAACCGGTGTTATAGTCTATCAATGATTATAAAACTGATTGAAGAAATTAGTTGATACTTTGATAACTCAACATCATCTAAACTAGTTGTAAATTACAATATTCAAATTGCTTGAATGAATATTTTCTTAACTTTAATTTTGTGTAACTTCTAATATTTTCTTCTAACTATTATTATTTGGTCGACTTAAGACATCGAGCACTACTTACGCACAATAATTATCGCCCTATCTGCGGTACAGTATTATAAAATTGTAAATCAAATGAAACACGTGTGGCGTAGTAAGTCCGCTTTCTTTAATATGATTATCTATAAATATCTAAGTCTCAACAACAAACTAATATTGATAGCATGATCAGTCTGAAGATGAGATGTGAAATAAAGGTAATTACTACATGATCAACTTCAAGAAATTAAGTTTTCAAAATTTACTTTTGACTGCAAAAAAACAAATTGATCTTTACTAATATATCCGCATCGGTCTTATTGAGTTTTACTGAATAGGCAAACTTCAAACTCTTGAAAAGACGAAGCTCAATGAAAGTTGTTTACTTAAACTGTTTTACTTTAGTGATATAGAGTTCCCTGAGCTATTCAAATACATTTGTCATCGATTAATTGATCGTCAATGTGCATATTCTATTACACCCATTATTCTACATATTTAATCTATATCCACTTGAAAGAGACTTTCAATATCTGAGTTAATGAGTCAAGATCATAATCTTCTTTTGTCCCATACAATGATAGATTATCCTCTTTAGATGAGATGCCAAATTGTTTAGTAACAGATTGATTAAGTATATTCAGAATCTTTGGGATCTATATTTGATGAAAAGGCAGTTAAATTTCCCTGAGGGTTTACTTTAAACATGTTAAAACAAGTTCTACTTCAAATTTCAAGAGCTTTCACTTGATCTCATTGAACTAAAACTTTACAAAAGATGAAAAATATGACCTTAAGTATGTGGTGATAACAATTGGTAAGACTCAAATATAATGAAAGAAATGTTACAAATAACTTTAATTTATTGTACCCCACTTTATTTATGAAATTTCAAAAATATATAAATATTTCAATTTTGCCACTACAATTTATAATTCAAATTATTTCCACAACAATTACACTTCAATCAATTATCATCAAACTTCAGGTAGTATTGAATAACAAATTACTAAATGTCATAATCTCAAGAAGAATATTCCAAGTATCCCACACAAGAACTAAAAGCAAGTATCAGAGTAACATATAATCTAGCGAGTTTCGTTAACCAGCAATAATGTTATGAACTATGGTGATTAAAAAATCGCAATTGGTGTCAACTAAATAGCTACAATCAGAAACTACATGTCAATAGTTCTTATTTGCAGAATTTGGATTTGATTTCATAGGTGCGTACACATAACGTATCTAAAAGTTCTGGCATTGAGAGGATTGAATATGTTTAAGGTTTAGCTGTTGCAACTGGATATACACACTAAACTGGGTAATCTGAGAAGTCAAGTCTCCAGTGGCTGAATTCTGAGATAGGAGCTATTAGTATGTATTTTTTGATTGTATTTTGAGTTGTGCTATTTATTTGACGATCTTTGAATTTTGGATCACCATAGTTCATGATGATATTATTGGATCAAAATCGACGAAGCTTATTAGATGATTTGTTACTCAAATACTAGCGTGATATCTTTCGAGGGTAATTTGAAAATATTTGCGATATTTTTCATCAAGTAAGTATGTTATTACCATTTTTATGTAGTCTAGTATTTATCGTTTTAAGATTTAAAATTTCAAATATGAAATCAATAGTTGTAAAATTGAATCAAACTCCATAAGCTAAATGGATGTCTTCGTACTAAAGTGATGGAAAAGAAATCAAACTTCAGATATATATCTTTACATAAGCAAATGGCCCTTACGCTACGCTTGTGAATTTTAACAAGCTTAAAAGTCAATTAACTCTTAAAAGCGAATCATATCTTGTACTATACTCTATCTCACCCTCAAAAACGATTGATAGGGGTTAATTTTTTCTAACCTTTCAATTCAAAACATGATTGATCCAACGAAAGGTAATATTTAGAATTTACGAATTCAAAGGTACGAAAAATTTAATTTTATTCACCTTATTAAATAACTCTAACCCTTTTTTTGATTTTTTATACGTATCACATATTATAAAATATGATATAATATGAAACCTAATTATATAACTTCAAATAGTAAATTAATTACTTAATTTAGATAAAATTGAACCTCTATAGTGATGAATAGTTTGATTTTGTAACTTGAAACTTGAAAAATTTAAAAAAATAATAAATATCGCGTAACTTTAAAAATCAAAACATAAAACCTGTATAGAAGTAATAATAATAAATAAACCCTATTTTAAAGAAATTGAAATTATATAATTGGATGAGCCAGTAATTCATACATTACATACTTTGTAAAAAATCCCATCCGGTAGATTATTCATTCAAATACATGTAGAGTTTCACAACTGGTAAAAGCAAAATTCTATCTTTTATTCGAATTTGAGCAAAAAAAACCCTTTAATATGCTAATTGATTAATATGAAAACAAAACACATTAAGAATATTATTCGTTTTTTAATTGATTAATTAATTGCATAAGAAACACCTTTTCAATTTAATTTAGATGAGATTTGTTACTTTAAGCATTCTAATTCTATGCTTCTATGCTATTAATTAAAGAAATTGGGTATTTGTGTAATGAATCTATACTAATTAATTTACTTGTTTTGATTTTTAATTGAATTTCTAAATATCGCGTTTGTTTAATTTAAGTTAATTAAGGGAACTTCTTACTTCTTATTAGTAATATATATATCCTCAATTTCCACTTTATATTTATCAGTACCAGTTCAGTTTCCATTACTACTTGTATATCATCATCAATTGATCAAAAAGAAATCAATCTATACACTCATTTAGACATTTCAAATTCTTCAACTTCTTACATTCGTTTATAAAACACACACACAAAAATTATGATTCATTTACAAACACCTAAAAAATTAGATCAAAATCAACATACTTCAACTTCCGGTTCATCTTCATCAGCTATACCTTCATTTGGATCTTTACAACAATCAAATACAAAACCACCATATTCATCATCATCATCATCAACAAGATTTTCATTACCTCCTTTATCATCTATATTATCGAATGCAAATACAAGTCATTATAAAGATCATCCATTGACAAATACCAATAAACAAGTAGTAACATCATCATCTTCTTCATTTCCTTCAATTGATACTTTTAGTACAACTGATAGTACATGTTCAAATACTCCAATAACTACATCATCTCCATTTTTCAATAATAATGAATATAATCATCAACAACAACATTTTCCAATTCATTCATCATCATTTTCATCAATTTCTTCAATATCTTCATCATCTGCCACTGCTGCTACCACTAGACCTTCTCCACCTCAAAGGTATCATTCATATACTACTACATCATATCAACCAAAAACTATGCCAACACCACCACCTTCAACTATTTCCAAGTCGCATTCATCCATACATTTATCATCAAATAAATCAATAAATGAAGATTCCTCAATAATGGATACAAGTATATTAGAATTACGTAAATCTAAAACCAACAACTTAAAATCAAATTCATCATCATCATCATCAATAGTAACACAATTTAAAAATTTAAATAATGAAGATAATAAACAAAATAACAATTCAAAATCTTATGCATTTATATCTCATTCACCATCAACTTATCCATCTCAAGAACCATCAATAGATAATGCACCATTAGCAAGAAGAAAAAGAAGAAGAACTTCACCCAATGAATTAAATATATTAAATCAAGAATTTGAAATAGGATCAACACCAAATAAATTAAGAAGAATTGAAATTGCTTCAAAAGTTTCAATGACTGAAAAAGCTATTCAAATTTGGTTTCAAAATAAAAGACAAAGTTTAAGAAAATCAAATATTATTGAAAAAGAAATTTGTGAATTACCTGTTGTTAATATAAGTATTAATCAACAACAAGAATTACAAGAAAAACTTCGTCAACAACAATTACAATCACAAGGAACTGAAGAATATGAAGGATCAGAATCAGAAGATACAGAAGAATCAACAGAATCAATAGAAATTACAAATCAAATAATTGAAAAACCTATACTTCATAATAATATAATTTCTTCAACTCCATTAAAAACAAATTTATCAATTCCTTTAATTTCACCATCACCAATAATAACATCACAACCACAACCACAAATTCAATCAATTCAAAAAGTTGTTGCTCCAATTCTTAATAATAAATTAATTGAAACAAATAAAAAACAACCTTTTGAATTAAATGATAATAAAGGTACATCAACAATGACATTTAAATTAATTCCTTCTAAATTAACTCAAAAATTACAATTTGAATCTTTGAATTCTAATTCTTCAATAGTTAGAGATAGAAAAATTTTAGGTGACTTAACTAATAAATTTTAGGTGGTTGATTGATTAAATCTAGTGTTTAGTTCTTCTTTTCTTGTATTTTATATAGGTGTCTTAATGATATAATCATCTTTTATGAATGATATAATTCTATTCTATGTATATTAAAGTGATTATCTTTATATTTTCAGTTAGTTTATTGATGGGTCTGAAATTGAAATACATACAATGAAAAAAGAAGTCTTTTTTTTCAGTAATGAAATTCCCTGCTTTCGACAGGGTTTAGGATGAGTTTGAAACTTTCAACTAATTAGTATTTCATCCTCTTTCAAAACTTGGTAAAGAAAACTGCTTTTTTTATAGTATGATTATCTATTTCAAACCCATCAAATTAATTTGTTCCTTTCCCAGGTGTTTCAAAGATAATAAGTATAAACCAAATGTTTGTTTGTTTTGATGTTTGGTGGGTACCTGATGTTGCCTGCTTTACTCTTCTTACGTAATTATTAATGATCTATAGTGAATTATCTACTATAAAACTATATGTATTTAATTTAGAATGATACGAAACTCTATAAAAAATATCAACAATTTATGTTATCACGTGCACTACTCAAGTAGTACACTTAAATTAACGCAGAAATAGATTGATACACAATCGCGTATTTTAAGTCTTCAATTGTATTGATAACAACCATTCAACGAAACTGAGATCCTCAATTTGACCTAGAGATAACTACAATTTTAAACAAGTATTTTCTTTTTAAGTGTTAATTAAATTACATGAAAAAGTATATAGAACCTAATGAAATTTAGAATTAATTATAACAGGTCAAACCTCAAATATTAGTGGCAATCCATTACATAAATTACTCTTTCCCCTCTGTTGTTATTTTTATCATGAGTTATGAAAGTAAATGACAAACAACCATTAAATTTATCTACCTCTTGAAGTAGTTTTAGTATGTTGACCTCTAACTTTTAATCCCCAGAAATGTCTAATACCTCTATGAGATCTAATTTTTTTTAATCTTTCTAAATCATCTCTTAATTTACTTTCTAAATTATTTGCTAAAACATGATAATTTTTTCCATCAACTTGATCTTTTTGTCTATTTAAAAACCATGAAGGAATTTTATAATTTGTTGGATTTTGCATAATTGTAACAATTCTTTCTAATTCTTCTTGAGTTAATTCTCCTGCTCTTTTATTTAAATCAACATCTGCTTTTTTACAAACTAAATTTGAATATCTTCTTCCTACTCCTCTAATTTTAGTAAGAGCATACATGATTTTAATTCTACCATCAATGTTGGTATTTAATAAACTAAAATATTTGTTAGTATGAGGTTCATATACATCTGAGCTAAAAAGGAGTTTGTATGGTTTTTTTATTGACATCTTGGTGAGAGTTTTGTTTTAAACTTTGATAGTATATGATCGTGAATCTTTGTAGATGGATTCATATTTAAAATATCTAACCAGTTGGTTCGATCACTATAACTCCTAGATGATTCATTGATTTTAATGTTGAATTATTTGATCCTCAATATATCAATACTCTGTTATCCATGTGGTAGGTCTCTCAAGTAATAAGATTTATTCAATCCGATCATCTTGTTCCATCTTCGAATTTGTTTCAATAATAACCCCTTTGCTCCACTCTTTTCTCTTCTTTCTGTTTTCAATGAACATACCGTAAAATGTGTTGGAATGAACCTTGTTCTTGAACAACTAATGGCATGTTGGATATTGGTTGTTTATTGATATATGATTGATTGAAAATCTATGTAAATATTTCTTTCAAAAATTCACTTTTTTTCGTTAGTACTATTTTTTACTATTGAAAGAAGCGTACATACAAAATTTTTCAGTAAGAGAGAGAGAACAGATTTTGTGACACAAAAAAGTAGTATACTAAGTTAGTATAAGCCTATTGGTAGCGTTTAACTACAGGGCTTTAACCCTAAGGTATCAAATACTGAAACAATTAACGTCTCATAGTCGAGTATGTCTAAGTACGTCTTACCTAAGCTTTATCATCAAATATGCTATGTCATTACTTACTATTTACAAAACCTAGAAATCGTCAATTCGGGGTCTTAAACACTATATTCACTAATAAACCATTCCAATGCTGGTTTTTCAATAAATACTCTATTAGCTTTTAATAAATCTCTAACTTCAACTTGATCTTGTATCAAGACTTTCCCTTTAACTTTAGCAATAGCTTTAGCTTTCTCTCTTTTACTTAATTTTGATAATTCTTTATCATTTAAAAAGAATTTTTTTAAACTTTGTTGTAAGTTATCTCTTTTATCAGTAGTTATAAATAATAAATTTAAATTATTTAAATTATGTGATGATACAAAAGATTGAGTTATTTCAACATTATTTTGTTTAAAATCACATTCATTTTTTACCACTATTAAATTTCCATTTTTATATAATGATATAAAAGCAGTTTGAATAGCTTTATTATAAATTTTTTTAGGTAAATCAGTACTCCAATCATGATATCCCTTTATAGCATGAGCTTTTATTTCATTATCCATATGAGGAGAATTTGCATCACCTAATCTTGCTCTACCTGAACCCTTTTGTGGACGTAATTTTCGATTAGAATATGGTGAATCAGATTTTGTTATAACATAATTTGATCCAACTCTTGAATTATCTGCTTCATATACTACTGTACTCCATAATAAATCTCTTCTTATTGGTTGATCTGTATTAAAAAATTGATAAGGTAATGGAATAAATGTTTGAGGTTCAAGATTTGGGAATGTACGAAGTTGTGCTAATGTATATTTTGGTGGTTGTGATATGTGTAGTTTATTAGATGAATTTGTTATTGTTGTGGGTATGGTTGAGATTGGTTGTGATATTATCGGAGTAGCTTCTGTAGCTAGTCTTCGTATCGACTGCCTGAACATTATAGAGCTCATGTTTTTATAATTAAATTTGATTTAAATTGAATTGGTCTTCTTCGATTTAGGTTAATTGATTTTTTCAACTCGGTTGATAATATTTGGATTCGAATGTCGTAAATTTTGTAACATTTTCCTCACGACAGCGAAACATCATAATTTTAAATCTCTATATTTCAAAATTGTTCATTTTTTTCACACATGATAATCGCTGAGATTAATGGGAATTCACAGTTTTTTTGCTCGAATCAACTAAGAGAATCATGTTCAGTTTAATATTTTATCTATTCATAAATGTTTGAATGAATATTCAGTTGTTGCAGAAAGTAGAATCGATCCAATTAAACATGACTTCTCCTTGGAAATCTGAATTTGGTCATAGCCATTTGAAGACTTTATAAGACTTTTAGTGTTTATGATCAATAATCAAACAGCGCAACCCGGGGTCAGGAACTTCAAAGGAGACAGAACGGGAAGTAGGCGAGACTTAATGATCAGACCAGTCCTATTTCATTATAGCATGCAAATCAAAACACGGTGGTATACAATTATTAGCTGCTTTTACGGCTAAGAGATCAAAAAACAGTCACAGCAATGAAAAAACAAGGAAAGTATGGTTTTTTAGTATGTAATAATGGAGCTCCAAATTAGTATGAAACATTTAAGATTAATTTATGAATTTCCTGGTGTCATTAATCATCAAAAAGAAAGTTTGGTTACAGTTCTGTTGGATGATTATATCAGAAAGGCGCTAACTGAGTTTGATATAATCATTCACTTGAACTGTAATCAGACTTACCTTTTAGCAAGCAGAAGTTACTGTTTCAGTGGTATATTGAGCAACATTAATCTGTTTCGTGATCTTTCCACAAAATTGATACTTCATCTAAACCACCTGCACAATTTAATTTGAAAATCCAAATTTCAAAAGTTGATGGAAGACAATTGGAACCATACCTATTGGCCAACAACCCACAAGATACTAAACAGTGTATTACACAACATTAGGATAGTTTTCTTAACTCAGTTTTGAAAAATGACAAATCAGTTAATATAGATATCTGAATTGACTTCTCATTTCGCTTAAACCATTTTGAAGAAGAATACTTAATTGCATGATTCAGACTTACCAAAAAAGGTAAGTACCCAAAACGAAGTCATTTGGTTAGTTTGATCCGTGCGATTCAGTATTCTTTTTCTCTATGGTTTAGGTCTCTTATTTAAACATTAGAAACTTTACTAAATTAAAAACACAGTAAATATTATCAACCATGTCATGCGTCAGTATGTCTATTCTACGAACTATCTGAACCAAGTGGAACCTGAGATACGTGTTATTATCATTGGGAATCCAAATCAGTTTTAAGTAGAAGATTGTCTCCTTAGATTAAAGAGAAGATTCAATAATTTAAATTCATTAACCATTTCATTTCATATATTAAAAATAAAAATTCATTACATCTAAACATCATCTTTAATTTCATTATTGTCTTTCTTTGTATCATTATCTTTATTCGGAGACCTACTATCTCTCTGTGGTTCTTCTTCATCATCATCATCACTACCACCTATTATAAAATCATCTAATGGTACATAATTACCAACTTTATTACTATTATTATTTTTCCCACTCAATTTATTAAATGCCTTTGTAAAGATCCCATCATCATCATAATTTTTTAAATCTTCTTCTTCTTCAAAACTATCTAATTGATCTGCCCATTGTACATTTTTTTTCTTGTTGCGGGATGTTTTTTTGATAATTGATGATGGTCTTGATTTATATGATGAATATAATATATATATACCCCATATTACTATTATTATTACCGCTAATTGTATTAATCTTGTTATTTTATTACTTGTTGGTTCATCATTTTCAATAGTTGATGAATTTGGATCAGTTGTTGTTGAATTTAATTGAGTTGAGTTTTCTATTGTTGTAGATTCAATGGAGGATGATTCTTCGGTATTTGAAGATGTTGCTGTGTCTGATGATTCTGGTTTGTTCTCCTCTACTGGTGTCTCTTCTACACCTTTAGCTTTAACACCTAATGGATAAGTTCTAATTTCATTATTTTTTACATCATAGTTTCCAGTTATAATATCAATTAAAGCTCTTGAAACATCAGGTAAATCATAAGGTACCATATGACTTGAATTATAAATATTTATAAATGTTAAATTACTTTCACTTAAATAATAACCTACATTTGAATCATCATGAATCCAATTTAATTTTGCTGTATCATTTAAAAACCCTTTCTGATCTTGCCATTTTAATTTTGATAAATAAGATAATACACCTTGGGTATTACATATAATATCATTATCTCCATTAAATAATATTATTGGTAAATGTTTTGTTAGTTCAGGTAATAAATGAATAGAAGGGAATGAACGTCTTGCATTAAAATTTCTTCCAACTCTTCCATTACATTCACGCCATGTTTTCAATTGTTTTAAATTTAAATCATGTTTTATATCATTATCATTTAAAAATGGATTAACATATTTTAATTCCATTGGCCAATTCATTCCACAAGAAGGCCATGAATCTCTTAATGTATAATCATACATATTTATACATTGTTGATCATTTCCTACTGATTTATCAAGTGTATATTCTAATAATTTAGTTAAAATATTTTCACAAACTGATGAATCTATTTCAATTGGATTTATTTCTTTATCATTAAAATGTGAATCTACTTTATCAACAATTCTTTGACATTCTTCTTGCTTTTTTAAAAGATTAAGAATTTTAGGATGAGTTTTATCAATTAATCCTCTTTCTAAAAAAAATGGTAAATAAGCTAAACTTTGTTCATTTGGTGAAACCCAACCATTACCAATTAATAAACCTTTGAGTTTATATTCTTTTTGATCACTACCTAAATTTTTGTTTCTCTTTATTATCGCAGTAGCAATATATGGAATATATTGACCAGCATAACTTTCTCCTGCAAAATAAATATCATTATTTAATTCATCTGGAAATAATTCATAATATTTTTCCATAAACCTCAAGAAATAAAATGCCATTACATCTAAATCATGTATAAAAGAATCTTGATTTGTATAACTAAAACCAGTACCAGCAGGTTGATCAACATAAATTATATCACCACTTTTATGCCAAGTTCCATTATTTAATATAATTTGTTTATCTTTATTAATTCTAAATGGTCCTGTTTCTAATAATGCTCCATCCATTGATGAACATCCTGGTCCACCATTTAACCAAAATATTGTTTTTTTTATGGTATTATCTGATTTTTTTGAATCTACAAATTTCCAAAAAAAATAATTAGTGTTATTTTCAGGAAATAATTCTAATTGTCCTGAATACATTATTGGTTTATAATCATCATCAATTTCGGATAATCCAGGTAAATTTGTAACTAAATATTTCTTTGTTGGATCTGAGTTTGAACCTTCTTTTGGAGGTGCTGCCAGTATTGATGTAATGAAAATGCAAGTAAATAAATATATTACGTTTATGAAGTGCATGGTGGAATGTGTGATTTGAAAAATTATACCATAAATTTAGGAATAGTGAAGTGAAGTGGAGTAGATGTTGTTGTTGTTGATAATTCGGGTATCTAAAAAAACAGTCGGTTAAATGATTTGTAGATGGATGATGAATGACTATGGATGATTATGAACTCCTATGATTTGTGATATACACTCCAATAGTAAGTACAATGACGATGGGTTGATGGAGTAATCGTTGGTTGTAAAATTAATTATTTAAGTTGTTGATAATATTTTATATTACTTAACAAAGTAATCATTTGTAAAAGCTTAATTTTAAAAGTATTATTATTAAGTAAGAGACTAAGTAGGCTTATCATGTTAATATATATATATTTCAAATGCTACCAACCTAAATGACTCAAAATAGTCAAATTGACACTTAAATCAATGTCAGGTCATACTCCTTAATTTTGACATAAATAAATAAGTGACTTCACTTCACTGAATTTAATTTATTTAAACCAAATTGCATTTTAAATTATCAAATTAATTTAGTTCATAACTTACGAACTTGTACATCAATTCGGAAATATCTATAATTAGCATCATCTACCGACACCACTACTTCCTTAAAAGTGAATCTAATAGAGGTACAAGGAGATTCAAAAGTCCATGAACAAAAATTGTATAAAAAAACGAAACCTATTTTTATTAACCTAATACCCACAAAAATCTATAAACTATAAACTACCAAATAAAATACTAATCAAAACAACTCCAAAAATTAATGAAAATTGTTGTATAAAAAATGATTTATCTTTATTATTACCAGCACTTAATAAATTTAATTTAATAGCATTTGAAGTACTATTAATAGATCTAGTAATAGAACTAGATTGACTTGAACCTGAATTTGAATTTGAATTTGATCTACTATTTGAATTACTTTCATCTGAAGTTTGACCTGTTGTTAAAGTATTTGCTTCCCATGCTGTTTGAGTACCTGTAAATCCCCATTGGTTGAAACTAATTGATCCTGTGCCTGATGGTTGAGTTTGTTGAAGTGATGCAATTGTTGATGTTTTTGCTATAGTTTGTTGTGATTGTTGTGAATTGACTCTGGTGGTTGCAGTAGATTCAATAGTCGTACTTGGAGTCCACCAAACAGTAGTTGATCCAGTTTGTTGACTTTGAGTTTGAGCTTGAGTTTGTGATTGTTGAGTTTGTTGAGTTTGTTGTTGTGAATTATTTTCTGTACGTTGTTGACTATTAGTATTTTGAGTATTAATTAAAACAAGACTTTGACCTTGATTATTAGTTGTGACAGTGTTTATAGTATTTGTTGGATTTTGAGTAGTCACAGCTGTATTTGTAGCTTGAGCATTTGTTGTTTGAGTAGTTGCAGCAGTCGTAGTTTGTCCTCTTGTTGATTCTTCATTATTATTATTATTATTTCCAGAATTATTATTTGAACTTCCATCTAATCCACCTAAATTATCAGCAGCATTAACAATTGTTAAAATTGATAATATTAAAGTTATTTTTAAATTCATTATCATTTTTCAGGTTGTATGATTATTTTATAAATTTGATTGATCTTGATTAATTGCGAAGTAAAATTGAATGATGTTAGATTCCTAACCTGTAAATTTGATGTGATTGAAAAGAATAAAAAGAGATAGACCAAATTTATGGAAAAAAATAAGGGATCAATAAGGGTTTATATATTGACAAATTGACATATTATAGATCAAAATTCAATGATTTAAATCAAATCAACCAGCCATGTTCCATTTAGTGTTTCATGTTTTTTGATTTTGTGCCATATTTTTTCCTTGAGGTTACACAAAATCAGAAAATTCATAAAAATTGAAACATTAAACAACCAGCAAAAATATAAATCATCTACGTCATTAGAAATAGAGAAATTTTGAGTCTTATATCAGATGAACTAATAGTATATTAAACTAAACAATTAACTAAATCCCAACAATGAGAAACAGCAATTTCATCAATATCATCACCACAATTTTCAAATTCATTTATAATTTTTTCTAATTTTAAAACAATTAAACTTATATATTTTTCATTTGATAAACCATGATCAAATTTACTTAATGATTGTTTTAAACTTATATAATCATCAGCATCATCATTATCATCAATCTCTTGCTCATCTTCATCTTCAAATTCAATTGGAGAAGTTGAACGAACTAATCCATAAGCAATAGATATACAATGTTTTAAATTATTTGATGAATTTTGTTGAATGGATTTATATAAATTTTCTAATATTATTATTTCTGTTGATCTTTTTATATAATAAGGATCTCTTGATGGTGATAATGGTGGTAATAATGGTATATCTAAATAAAAAATTGAATTTGATTCATTTGATTCTGTATGTGTGATATCTTGTGGTTGTGCTTGTTGTTGTTGTTGTTGTTGATGTGGTTCAATTAATTCTAGATTTGTAGTTATTGTATTTGTTATTGATTTAGAATTATGATTAATCGTATAATTTAATATTGGTAAATTTTCTAAATTTTTATTTCGTATTATTTGATTTATTTTTAAATTAATCATTATATTTTTATTAGTTGATGCAGTCATATTCTTTATGATTATTGAATGATTTGATGAATTAAGTGATGTAATTATACCATTATTTTCAATTGATGATATACTAATTCCCTCAATTGTATTTAATTCAATTTTTAAATTTGGTATTATTACATTTTGTAAATTTTTTAATATTGTATTAATTGAATTTAATGCATTTTCATAATTATCAAATCTTATAATTGATTCATTACCAAATTGAAATGAATTTAGTTTATTAATTGAATTTAATGCATTAATATGTTTACCAATTCTTAAAACACCTATTGATATATTTTCAATTTCTTCAATTTTTAATTCTTCAATTTTATCATCTTTATAATTACCACAATTTAAAATTAAACATTTATTAATAACTGATTCATTTGATAAAAATGGAAATAAAGTCAGTAATTTATCCAAGGCAATTTGAAATTCTTGAGTTGTAGATTTAAAAGAATTAGAAACTATTGAAATTTCATTAATTAAATTTGTCCAACCATCCCAATTTACAGGTATTGATCCAATAAATGTACCATCAATATAGGCATTTCTATTCATATCAACCCCCAAGAATATTATTGATAGAGTATCTATACCTCTTAAATTTTTTAAAGTTTGTTTTATAAAATTTTGAATCCATTTTCGATAATCTTCATTTGTCATTGATGATTTATTATATAATGGAATACATAATATGAAATTTATCAGTAATGGTTTTGGAGGTGGTAACAATTTGGAAATATATAAATTAGATAAATTATCATCATCATTATTAACAGAATTATTAAATCTTATTAAACTTGATGGAATTTCAAATTCTAAAAATTCATTCCAACAAGTACTTGTAAATTGATAAAGATTAGTTGTTGTATCTTTTTGATTTTGAAATAATGAATTTAAAAAATATTCCCATTTTTCAATTATTATTGAATTTGAATGATAAATATATAATTCAGGTAATGAAACTTGACTTAAATTTAAATTCAAAATTTTATTTGTATCTTTTGATAATGAACATAAATCATCTTCTATTGATATCATACCTGCTAAAATATTATTATTATAAAATATTAAATAATTTTGAAATAAATAAATATGAGAATCATCCCATATTTCTCCATTTATACTTATTTGTAATTTATCAAATATTATTAATTCACCTAAATTTGAAGATAATTGTAATGATTGTTTGATATGAGTTGATATTTTAGATTTTAATTGATGTTCAGATAAATTGAAATTTGTTGATGATGATTCTTTATAAATTAATGGTGGTTGAATATTTAATATGTAACTTATTTCATTGTTCTCATTAACTCTTACTGTTTTAGTTTCAGATATACATGAAATTTTTGGTAAATATAACTCTGGATAATTTGTAGTACTTTGTGATTTGATAATTGGTTCTGGTTCCTCTACAAAATCATTTATTGGTGGTTTAGTGAAAATTGGAGTAATTAATGAAGGTGAATTAGTAATTGTAGTTAAAATAGATGAATTATTTGAATTTTGAGGTTCTAAAAATGGATTTTCTTCATCACTTGAAGAAATACTATTGAAACTTTCGTTATTATTATTTAAATTTAAAATATTTTCAATTATTAGCTGATGAATATCATTATCTTTTATTTTTGTAGGATTTGAACAAAGTTCACAAATTGGTAAATTTTTTAAATTTGATTTATCAATTAATAAAGTAAAACAATCTTTATGACATGTATGATTACATGACATTTGTAATATGACTTCCCCTGGTAATGTTAAATTTAATGAATCATTACAAAAACAACACATATTATCATTATAATTTTTGTGGTTTTTTGTTTTGGTGATGGGTGTTGAATTAATTGATGGTAGCATACTTGCTTCTGTTATTACTGTATCTGGTGATGAAAATTGTTGAAACGACATTGATGATGAAGAATTCATAGTTGGAGTTGTGAAACCATAATGATAGTTTGATGTAGTAGCTGATTTGGGAGTGAATATTGGTGAGGAAGTTGAAGAAGAAGGTGATACTGTGACATTTGGAGTTCTTGGAGTCTTTGGAGTTTTTGGAGTTTTTGGTGTTTTTGGTGATATATTGTAACAATCTGTAGTTGATAATGAATTTGATTTTTTAAAAGGTGAAGTTTTTAACTTATTCATTATCGATGATCTTCTTTTAGTAGACATTGTATATATTAATTTGAATGACTATTGAATTGAAATTTGAAATTGAATTGTATAATCAAGTTAAAAATTGAATCATATTTGATTCAACACAAAAGAATCTTGTTACATTATATATTTATTGATAATAGATAATGAAACGAAAATGATTTCTTAATTATTATAATTTAAGTTTTAACAATTATGAAACAATGAAACAGAATTGAAAAGTCAATTTTTTAACCTAATGGTAAGTAAACAGGGTATCAATGTAAGTAGTAAATGAAATTTTTGAAACCATACAAAAATCATTAACATATAAAATTTTGATTACGATGTCAAGCAACTAATTTTGATTTCAAATACTAAACTTGTAAATCCATGAATTAATCATGTAAGTCATCTTATTCTGTTTACGTACCCTTTTTAACATGAATTGCAGGTCTAAATTGAAAAAAATTGATTATTATAATTGAATTATAATTTGCTTTGTGAGATTTTCAAACACAAACACTGAGGAGTAGCTTCTCCTTCTAACATTGTGAATCTGTATCGACTACTTGAATAAGTAATAACTAAACCATTGAGTTAACTTTGAAGTGATGGTTGTATGTTGCTCATTGAATAAACTATTACCAATTTCAATTATTTTCAAAGTGGTTGTAAATTAATGTATTCGATGTACATAATATTTTGATAAGAAAGAAAAAATTAGTGTACAATGTTCAATATGCAAGTAATTAAATTTTATCAAACTATAAAACAATAGATTATTGATTAACATATACAACATATACCCGTAACCCGTGTTTTATACTTCCGTTCCATTCTTTTCATATGATCAATCGAATTTCAAATTGAAAGGAGAGACAATTATAGGCATATCATTACATTAGACACCACTCAAAAGCACAACACGTAACTGTATCAATAAGACTCATTTACAAATATTGAGACATGAATTTATTACAATTTCGAATTGGTTACAAGATCCTTGGTTACAAATTGATCATATCATCACAAAACTTCAAGTGTTAGTTGTTGTAAAGAAGGTAAAAGAAGGAAGAAATCAATTAATATTATATCAGTAAACAACACAACTAATTACTTATGTAATCAAATCTTGATATGAATTATTATACAGTCAAGTCGTAAATTTATAACAACTTTGTAAAAATATTAAACGACATCTACTAAAGAATTTATCTCGAACGAGAATTTAATTTATCACAAAAAAATTTTTTATTTATGACGAAACTGAATAAGAAATAATCCCCAAATTTATTATGAGAGTCGCATAGTTTAGGTCGAGAAAAATAAATTTCACATTTTGGGATAAATTGTTTTAAATTTAGATATTAATTGATAGTAAATGTCGTCATAAATTAGCACTCAATTTAGAGAAAATAAAAAAAATATTTTGGGATAAATTTACGACTTGACTGTAATTGAGAATTAGATAGAAATAATTAATACTAATTTTGACCATCTTACATTTACATCGATAGTATTAATTGAATTTGTGATTGCTTTTGAAGGCCTATGAATTTTTGTCAATCAGAAACTTAATTTATGAAATGATGATGAGATCAAAAAAGTAATTAATTAATCGTATTTATCTAATCAAATTAATCAAAAAGGGATCTAAAAACTCCATGGATTATCAATATTATTAACTTTATATCAGCTATGAAATATGGAAAGTTTAAATTAAAAGTTTTTGTAAATCCTTTAATTAAACTTCACAAATTTCAAGTATAACCTATGCCTTATTGTTTTCAAAGACGTTTCAAAAATAATTTTCTTTCTTTTTCTTACAGACTTTGAATTGCCATTTCAAATTTCATAATTTTGCAAATCTTGAAACTAAAATTATATTTCCATGTGAATGAAGGATTTTGGTTTTTTTGACTTCATGATTATAATCAGGAAGTATTACCTCTGTTGAATAAGTGATTGTTATTAAAACAAAATCGACAGATCAAAACCAGCTTCAGCATTCAAGTGACCCCCACCCCCAGTTTGTTACTGGAAATCAGTTGCTTTAAAGAACGATATAGAGCAACTAGACAATTTGAACCAAATATAAAACTTGGTATCCAACGCCACTTTTGAGGTTTAGTCACCACATATACTACTATTATCGTATAACGTAGATGTGCTAGATTTTTGTAAAAAACAAGTCTTAGTTATCTACCTAATGACTTTTTGCCAAATGTTTATTTTTCGATTCATAACCCATACATATAAAATTTCATATTCGAAAATATTATTTTAAATTACTAACACGTAAAAATTTGCAATTTTGTATTTCTTTTCCTCGTAAGGACCCTGTGCCATATTTTGTGGCATATTTCCGATGCGATTACGGGGCAAATGAAGGTTAGTGCAAAATGAGGCTAGAGAGTAATACAAGCCACTAAAGACAGCTAGACGCTAAAAATTACTAACTAAATCAATCAAACTCTGAATTAAAACTTAACTACACCAATTTTTAGCTCGAGGTTTGTTTTTTATTTTTAGTCTTGACGATAAAACAGTACAGTTGTAATTTTGTGTTGATATAAAATTTTTCTCAATAAAAATCATAAAAATCTAAGCGTATATGCAAATCATTAAACCAAATAGAGTAATTAAAAATTATTACTAGTCAGTACACAAACAGTAATATCGTAACAAAACTATACGATGCAAGATCCTTTTTCAAAAATCGGTGTAGCCTCTTTTCCAAAGTATATATCAATTACGATCTTCACCGATACGTCACCCATAGCCAAGATCTAAAAATACAGCATCATCAGTTTGTAGTGAGTTGTTATAAGAATGTTGGTTTATAATATTATATCATCATTATTTCAAATCATTTCTGAAACATCCAAATATAATAATTTTCGTGATGACTATCAAAAAGAGGGATCTTATACGATTCTATTTAAAATCTGAGATCTAAAATTCTAATACTGTGAGATCTAAAATTTGAGATCTAAGATCTGAAACAGTAGATCTAATCTGTGGGGTAGTTAATAAAATAATTATATTAACCTAATTGGTAGTAAGTTGAAAAAAAATATTAGATCTTGTCACTCTTTTTAAGAGTTGCATATACGTTATTTTCAAGGATCTAAGACTCCAGATCCAGATCTTTCACGATATAATTTTGGGTTTTAAGTCACGAAGCGTTGATCATTTTTTTCAACAACCATTAGACTAAATTTGATTTTGTGAATCTTACTCCGCTTTTTAGACGGTTTTATTTGATGTTGACGATACAAATTTTGTAAAGTTGATTGAGTAAAACAAACTTAAAACTTATTACTGCTTGTCGGCTTCGTACCTTTCAGTCTTAATTTTATGGGCAATTTTTGACGAGGGTTTTGAGGATTGAGTATTATTTTGTTACAACGCCGTTTCAAAATTTTTGTAAGAAAAAATTCAATCTAAGACTACATGCCTACAAATTCAAATCTGAAAACATAATAAAAATAGTTAATCGAGTTGTAAAAAAGTCACTTTCATACTCACTTCTAATAAAATCTCTATAACAATAAATGATGACCAACTCTTGAAACAGTTGAATCCAAAATATGAACCCATTTAACAAATCTATCAAATTCTTCATCTTCAATAGCTTCATTTAATCCAGGTAAATTTTGACCAGCATAACCAGTAAATCTACCACTTGCGAAAACAATATGTTTAAACCATGATCTCTTATGAAGTCCTTCATGATATAAAAAATTTCTTTCAAAATATTGTAATCCTTTATTATGATATTTAATTTGGAAAAATAATTTAAATTTTTTCCATATTGGTAATTCATCTTTATTATTATATTCTAATTGTAATTCTTCTGATTTTAAATCATATGTTTCTGTTACATTATTAAAAAAAGATAATGTTTTATGAGTATGATGTAATAAATCTTTTAATGTCTTTTTATGATGTTGGTTGTTGTTGTGCATAACTTCACCATTATCATGAATAATTCCCATTTGCATTGGTTTACAAATTGGTGTTACATAATGACCTTGAGTAATTTCTTTCATATATTTATATTGTTCAAGATTAAATTTTGGATGGAAATTAATTTCTTTATCTAACCAATTTTTAGGAACTTTATAAATAGTTTGATTATAATAACTTGATAAACCTTTTGCATAATCATTTAATTTAAAATGAATTAATTCTTTCTCACTTAATTCTAAAGCTAATAAAGCTAAATATTTTGAAGCAACATTATGATAAATAAAATCTTTATCTCCATATTTTTCCATCCAATGATAAGAATCATAATTTGAATGATAATGATATATTGGATCATTTTTACCACCTGAGAATCCTAAATCAAATGATGGTATACCTAAATGTTCTAAGAATACAGTATAATCTGATCCACTACCTAAAGTTGGAATATATTTATGATTTGAAATATAATGTTCATATAATGATCCTCCTTCTGGATAATCTATTTTCTTAGCTGTTTCTAATAATAAGTCGTTTAAAACTGGTGATGATCCTAAATTTAAATTTTTGCCACTAACTGAGACATCCACATTAAAATATGCAACAACTTCCTTCTGATACTTCTTTGCATAGTATTCTCCTTGCTCTGTACTTCCGACGACGCCAATTTCCTCTGCGTCTAATGACACGAGGACGATAGATCTCTTGAATTTATGACCTGCTTTTTTTAAATCACCTAAAGCTCTTGCGACTTCCAAAAGTGAAGCCGATCCACTATTTGGATCTCCGGCACCTCCTTTAATCCATGCATCTCTATGATTACCAATAATAATGACTTCATTAGACTTTTCTCCTTTTATTTCAGCATTTACATTCCATATGGGGGTGATATTAAAATCTTGATAACTATATAAATTTAATTCATATTTTGTTGGACCAGTAGTATAATTAAATCCATCTAAATCACCTTTAAATCCTTCTATAGTTTTTCCATGACCATTTAATTTATGTAAAATTGGTTTAACCTCACGATAAGATATTGGTAAAACTGGAATTTTTCCAATACTTTGATGAGGGTCTTTTCTTTCAACTCCTGGTTTACTAGCATAGCCAGGGGTAGTTGGATCACCTGGAGCAGCACCTTCACCTCCTAAAAATTGTACACTTCCTCTTTGTACTGAGCTTTCTTGTCTAGCTGGTCCTTTTGGATATTGTTTATAACCATTTTTTACAGTTATTTCACCATCATCACCAGGATCAGTATAAATCAAAACACCAATTGCTCCTTCATCTTGAGCAAATTTTACTTTTAAACCTCTAAAAATTCTTCCATAACGTACAACAACAATTTTTCCCTTTACATCAATATCATTTTCTTTTAATAATTCAAAATCTCTTTTTGTACCATAATTAGCATAAATATATTGACCAGTAACATTACCATTAGCTGCATATCCCAAAAATGTTGGAATAGTGTCATTATGAGTAGTTGGATCTTCATCAATAATATCTTCTTTTAAAGGAGCAGTATAAATTATTTTACCCTTTGGATCTAATAATTTTAAATCATGATCTTTTGGATAACTTAATAAAACTTCAAAAGTTTCAATTGAAGTATCAAACCCAAATTCTTGAAATTTTTGTTCAGTCCATTCAACAAATGGATAATTTGTACCAGCTAAATGAGGCTCTGATGTATATTTTTTTGACCAATTTCCAGCTAAATTAATTTCAAGTGAATCTAAAATAATTTTACTTGGATTTAATTCGGGTGAATTAGTTTTGAAAATTGAAAATGGGAATGAAATGTTAAAAAAATTGAAATAAAGGATTGCAATTATAGTCGATATTAATAATCCTTTAAAAATAGATATATTTTTTCTAGCTCTAGGAGCTTTATAAACTTCAGTTTTTTCGTCTATCATTTTGAAAATATTCAAACTTGATAATGAAAATAAATTGAAATTGCTGAAAAAGAAAGGAATGTGGTGAAAATATTGTTGATTAAAAATTATTAAACAAGGAAAGTTAATGGAATTTAAATGGTGGCTCGCTTGAAAAATGGAATTAAGACGGAATTAACTGGTAGCATTTACGACAGGTTTTATCTTATCAATTTGACGTATTTTTAATTACACGGCTCTAAAAAACGACAATTTCTACATTCTAAATTCTGAAGTCTAAATTCAATCTTAAGGTCTATTAATTATACCTACTCAACAATTTGTTTGACAAGGTCATCGATTGATTCTTTTAAAGTATAATACTTATCAAATCCTAAAATCTCTTTACTTCTTTTATCATCTGGTAAAACAAATTCAGATTCAGGTATTGGTTCCAAAACAGGTAATTTATCAGTATATTGTGGGAAATCTTTTCTAATAATATTAAGAATATTTGGAGTAGTTAATTTATAAGCTTCAACTAAAATTCTTTGATTTGAAGCTTTTGGATTATTTAATACTGCAACATGAGCTTTTGCAGCATCTCTTACATCAACTCCACCAGTAGCTAATTCTGGTACATAACTATCTTTATTTAATTTTAATAAATCACCAACTGTTTTTGTTGTAGATGGTAAATGATCTAAATTAATTTCACTTCGAAATACTACTGGACCAGTTAAAAATGCTGGTAAAATTGAAACAAGATCAAATTTTGGTTGATTATCCTTTATATGAGCTAAAAGTTTTTTTTCACCTTCAATTTTAGAAACAATATATGACATAAAACGATCATGTTTTCCTGCTTCATAAGGAACATTTGACCAAGCTTCAGGATCATCAATATAATGTTTAGTAACAGCAAATAGATCTTGTGGAGAAATCATTGTAGATGAAGATGAAGTATATATAACTCTTTCTATTTGATGACCATGTTTTGAAATTGAATGTAAAGTATTTTCAATAATAAAATCACTTTTTTTTAAAACTTTATTTTCTAATTCTTCTGGTTCACAAGTTTGAAAATCAGTAACTGCAGCACTTGCAATAAAATATTTAGCTTCTTTATGTTGTTTTAATACATAATCTAATGCTCCAGGTTCTTCATATTTTTCAACAACTTCTGTTTGTAAATAAGGATGAGCAAATAATTTAATTAAATTAGTAGCTGCTATTTGAGTACGAGCAGTTGCAACTACTTTATATTCATGTTTTAATAATTCAGCAATTATATGTTGACCTAAATAACCAGTACCACCGGTAATAATGACAGTTTCTGACATTCCTTTTGTAATATTATAAGGTCAATTGATCTTGATTTTTGAACTTTTATTGATATCTTTGAAGATGAAATTTCAAATTTTAAACGGCAAAAAATACGATTTTCGTTTAATCAAATCAATTTATTCTTTGCTTCTAATGCACAATGTAATAAATTGAATTTCCATTTGATTGATTATTTCAAATCATATTTCCAGAATGATTCAAAAATACATCAAATATAACATTAGTGAAATCAAACACGACTGGACATTATCTTCAAAAGCTCGATTGGATGACCTTAAGATTTTATTCAATGTGCTATAATATTTGTGGATTTAACTAAAATCAAATTATTTCATGAAAGAGTCACAAAGATGACTAAATCTTTCAAATCTACCACGCAATTGTATGATGGAAAGTTTTCAATTCCCGTCCTTAGCAAATGTTTAAATATCAAATTCTATTGATCGCTTCACTCAATTATGTACCCGACCACAATCAATTCCACCATATCTTTCTTGAGATATTGAAGCAAGTATGATATCTAAATCCGATAAAAGTGGTAGCACAAATTATTGTTATTATTGACATCTTCAAGCTGTTTCACAATCCATTCTTATCAATCCTTCATGACTACATCTATATATGGCTGAGTCAATAGAACTGATCTACTCAAGACTCAGCATTGATGAGAGAGCGTCAAATCAAAATACTTTAAATTCAGAAACTCCACCTTCTTCTGGTGAAGATGAACTTCAAAATGAAAATGAAAATTCACAAAATCTGTTAATATCAGTTTATCCAAAAATATTTCATGCTTGTCAACTTGGAGATTTCGATGTTGTTGATTCATTACTAAGTACTCCAGATTTGAATATAAATGAGCTTGACGAATATAATAATTCCTTACTTTATACAGCATCGCTACGAGGTTATTATGATATTGTTGAGTTGTTATTGAAAAGGGGTGCAGTATGTGATAGAGATACTTTTCAAGGTGCAAGATGTATATATGGAGCTTTAACTGACGAAATTAGGGACTTGCTTATAGGTTATGATTTTTCCAAAGCGGTGGATGTAAACCAACCTTTCGCTGGTCATGTATCATCATTTTTAACCAGTTCTTCAAACAAAGATATTTATTTCAAATTTAATCAAATGGATCTAAATTCTGACTTATCTGGGTTTGCTTTGCATAGGTTTTTGTTAGCCGCTAGAAGTCCATATTTTATGAAAAAATTTACTAATGATTGGAAATCTTTATCAGTAATACAAATGCCAAATGATATTGATCCACAAGCATTTAAAGGAATAATTGACTATATATATTTAAGAACTGACTCAATGGCCATAACTAATTCCAAACTTCATCTGAAAATACTAGCGTTGGCTAAAAAATATGAATTGCATGATTTAGTTGAAGGGGTGAATGAGGTATTCAGCACTGATGATGAAAAAGAACAATACAAAATTAAACATGCTTTGGCGTTGAAATTTGTTGAAAAAGCTAGAAAAGATTTACTGGCTTTATTGGAAAATGAAATCATACTTCAAAAACATAGTTTAAATTTAGCCTTGAAAGAGAATGTTGAATTGGAAGATATTGATTGTCAAAATTACATAAATGAAGAAATAAAGGAGAAGTTATTGAATCTTAATTCAATACCAGATGTGATTCTTGCAAATATTGATTCAGTTAATGAAACAATTACATATTATCCAGCACACAAATCCATTCTAGCAAGATCAGAATATTTTGACACTATGTTTAAATCTGATATATTTAAATATGCTGAAGAAGACATACCTACCTATAAAGAAGGACAAATTTCTGTAGTGAATAGACCCCAGTTGGAGGCAATGCATCTACCAGTCATTAGGCTTTCTTGGAGCAGTTCTAATGAAAAAGTCGACTCAATGGTGCTATCGTATCTATATCACGATGATGTTGATACAATTCCTTTAGAAAACACAGTTGAATTGCTTTTTGCTGCTGATGAATTATTTTTGGAAAGATTAAAAACAATAGCCGCTGTTAGAATTAGTTCACATTATACCAAATTCAGCTACAAAGAATTTACTGATCTCAAAATTGATCTCGATTATGACGCTTACGATTTAATAAGAATTGCATGGCAAACTAGGTGTGATAAACTAGAACAACATATAACGAAAATGATAGCGTATAATTTGCAGAAGATTTACGAAGATGATCAAGAAAGTTCAAAACTATCGACTCTTATCAATGACTCAGCAGCTAGAATTAAGGAGAGACAAGTTACAGATACTATTGAACTTGTTGATGATATTAGATACTATTTATCTAAAAAATATGCATTAGGTGATGATCATGAAACTTTTGATCCAGCTATTGGTTTATCTGAAAAAAGGGAAAATATAAAGTTGTATCAAATGGCATTGATAGATTATAACCGGGATATTGAAGTTATTGATCAATATTTGGACGCTTTAAACCTTGACGCTTAGATTGTATAATTATATCGGTAATAGAAATGCGTGTTCACGTGACCACTTTTTTGAAAATCTCATCTCTATTATAAGATGCATCAAAATTCAAATTTAATGTAGAACATTATAATCATTCAATAATCAATAAATCCACAGGATGTCAGAAAGTCTTGTACATAGCCCAAATGATGGCGATCTTCTACAAGATAGGCTATCGAAGATACGATCTCAAATGAATTCAAAACTTGAAAATCAAAAACATTTAGCTATAATATTATCAGCAGTTGAAGAAAATATAGAAGAACAAAAAAATGATAAAACACCAGTAGCATATTTTGTTTCATTTCTTTCATTATTAGATCAATGTATAAAAAATGATGAAATTATTGATAATGATTTAGCTACAACTACAGCATATTTTCTTGATATAATTTTCCCATTTACTCCTAAACCATTATTAAAACAAAAATTTAATGATATATTATTAAAATTATCACAACCATTGAATTTAAATGGGGAAGCACCATTAATTAGATCAACAATTGGAGCAATGGAAAGCTTATTATTAGCACAAGATAATTCACAATGGTTGAAAAGAAGTGCAGTTTCTCCAAATAGAGCATTTATGGCATTTATTGAATTATCATTTGATCCAAGACCAAAAGTAAGGAGAAGAGCTCAAGAAGCAGTTAAAAATATTCTATTAAACCCACCACCAAGTCCTAGTCCTGTTCATGTAGCTGCAGTAGCGGCATCTGATGCATCATTAACTCAATTAATATCACTTTTAAATGAATTTAAGAAGCAAAGAAAAAGTAATCCAAATAAAGATTTCAATACGAAGATTATTCATTGTTTACAATTAATCACCATTATTACATCATCAAATTCATGGCCAGTTAAAAATATTGAAAAATTATGTGATGCATTATTAGAAATTTCAAAAACATCAGATCAATATTTAGTTGGGGCTGCATTTGAAGCATTTGAAGGATTATTCAAATCAATGACCAATTCAATTGATGTTGATAAATATACAAAAGTATTAAATGCAATTTTTGATTTAAAACCAAGTATTAATGATTCTCATTTAGCTGCATCCTGGTTAAGTGTTGTAGCTAAAGCTTTAGAAGGGTTTAGTTCCTTGTCACCGATTGAATGTTTGAAAAAGATTAGTCATGTATTAACCATAGTATCACAATTTTTAGCATCAGAATCAAAAGACATATATACAAGTGCATCACAATGTTTAATTGCAATAATTGTTCAAACAATCCCAGATAAATTTTTATTACAACCAAATAAAGAATATGAAATTACTGAAGAAATTTATAACTTAGTTGATGATACAATTACATTTATTGCGGAACTAATAGAAAAAGAATTATTTTCAATAAAATATCAAAATGCAACTGGTGAAATATTACAATTTGTAACAGCGACAATTTTAAAATTAAAATCAAGATCAAATCCAGATTTTTTAAATATAGTTGAAATAGTTGGAGATTGGAGAACAAATGAAGCAGATAATTTCCCACATAATAAAGAAGCAGAAGATTGTATTGGTGCATCAGTATCATCAATGGGTCCACAAGCCGTATTAAGTATATTACCATTAAATTTAACTGGTAAAGAAGGAGGAGCAGGTAGAGCTTGGTTATTACCAATACTTAGAGATAATGTTAAATTTTCAGAATTAGAATTTTATAAATTACAAATATTACCATTTATTGATTTTTTTGAAACCAAAATTAATGAATCAAATAATAAAGAATCAATGAATAATAAAATTTTTCAAACTATAATTGATCAAATCTGGTCATTATTACCGAAATTTTGTGATTTACCAGGGGATTTAATTACTGCATTTGATGAAACTTTTGCAACTAAACTATCTGATCTAATGTTTGCAAAAGTAGAACTAAGAACTTTTATATGTCATGCATGGAGAACGTTAGTTGAATCTAATATTGCTTATCGTGATGGAGCATTTGATGATGATTTATTATTACAACAAGAGTACCCGAAAGAAAAAGCTGTTAAAGCAATTGAGTATTTAAGTTCAATATCATCTAATATTTTAACTGTTTTATTTAATGTGTTTACATACACAATGACCGAATCAAGAGGATTCGTATTAGAAACAATAGAAGCTTATTTGAAAATTACACCACCAGAAGAATTATCATCAACATTTGATAAAGTATGTGGAATGTTAAAAAATGCATTAGATGAAGAAGCTGAAGATGAAAATAACAAAAAGAATAAAAATAAAAACAAGAATCAATCAACTCCTGAAACTAGTGTAACTATGATGGATTTAATTGTAGTTATGACAAAATATTTACCTGATTCATCACATAATGCACTTTTTTCAATATTTTCACTTACAATTTCATTAGAATCACATCCATTATTACAAAAAAGAGCATATAGAATTATTTCAAAATTATCAGAATCTAAAATTGGTAAAGAATCAATCCTTAAATATATCACAAACATTGAATCTAAAATCATTGAAACTGCAACAATTACAAATCAAACATCAAGAACTGCAAGATTACATGCTATTTTATTAATTATTAAATTATTACCATCATCAGAATTATATTTTATACCATCAATATTACAAGAAATAATAATGGCTACAAAAGATGTAAATGAAAGATCAAGAGGATTATCTTATCAAATTTTAATTAAAATGGGTGAAAAAATGATTGAAGGTGGAATAATTGAAAATTCAAAAGTTCCAGGATTTGATTCATCAATTGCCCCCACTGAAGCTTCATTAAATGAATTTTTTACAATGGTAAGTGCAGGTTTAGCATCACAAAATCCTCATATGATTTCAGCAACAATAACAGCAATATCATGTTTAATATTTGAATTTAAAAATAAATTATCAGTTGAAACATTAATTGAAATTTCTTCAACTATTGAATTATTTTTAACTCATAATTCAAGAGAAATTGCAAAATCTGCTATTGGATTTGTTAAAATGGAAATTTTATCATTACCTGAGCAATTAATAAAAGAAAATTTATCAGAACTTTTAAAAAAATTAATGAAATGGTCTCATGAACATAAGGGACATTTTAAAAGTAAAGTTAAACATATTATCGAAAGATTAATTAGAAAATTTGGTATTGAAGAAATTGAAAAATGTATACCTGAAGAAGATAAAAAATTAGTCTTGAATATTAAAAAGAGTAAATTAAGAGCCAAAAGAAAACAATTACAAGATCCTTCAGAAGCAGAAGATTCTAATACAAACTCAACTAACAAAAAATTTGTATCAGCTTATGAAGAAGCATTATATGATTCAGATATTTCAGATGATGATGAAGAAGAAGTAGATATTTATGATGAAGATTCACGTAGACACAACAAACAAAATAGAAATAAAAAATCAAGTAATTTTATATTAGAATCAAATGATGAACCATTAAATTTATTAGATCGTCAAGCATTAGCTCATATATCATCATCAAAACCGAAAAATCAAAAATCTGAATTAAGATCAAAAACAGAAGAATTTAAAACTAAAAATGGTAAATTAATATTTAATGAAAAAGAAAATTCAATTAACGAAGATCCATTAAGTAGCTCAAAATCAGGCATTGATGCTTATTTAGATGCTGTTAAACAAGCACCAATAAGAGGACAAAAGAATAAATTAAAATTTAAGAAGAATACTGGAGATGATGAAGAAAATTGGTCAAATGATGAGGAAGATGAAGAACCAAAAAGAAAAAAATCAAAAGTTTTAGGTAGATCAAAAATTCAAAAACCTATAAAGAAAAGATTTAAAGCACAAAAGAAATTTTAAAGAGTGCTGTATAGATATTTAGTTAAATAGATACTGAATCAAAAAATTAGTTTATTAAAATTACAAATTAAAAAATTAAAAATATAAAATTAAAAATGTTAAAAAAAGTTAAAGCACCTTAATTATCATAAGCACTAACAAAATATTTAAATAATTTTTCTTTAAATTTATTTGGTTTTTTATCCTTTTTGGATTTAGATTTTCCATTTTTCGATTTCTCTTCAACTATTACTCCATTTGTATCACCATTTACATCATTTTCGTAGGCTTGTTGTTCTTGAATTGGAGTTGATTCTTCTTGTAGTTGTGATGCTTGTTGTTCATTTCCATATTTTGATTGAGTTGTTGGTAAAGTATCAGCACTAGGTTGAACAAAAGAATCTTGATCTTGATATCCTGATGAATAAGTTAATCTTTTGTTACCTTGTGATTGAATTTGTGAATTTGCAGTTGTTTGTGGTTGTTGTTTTGATTGAGGTGATTTATTTTTCACAAATTGAGATCCAACTATATCATCACCTACATTAACATGTTTGGGATCTGAAACATTTTTTGAGTCTTTAACAAATGCCAGTGGATGAACTTCATGTTTAGAACTTTGTTGATTTGATTTTGGATCTAATGTAGGTACAGCTTGATGTTGATGTTGCGCTTCTTTTATGTCAGTTTCTCTTGTTTCAGGTTGATTCGATTTAAAAGTTGGAACAGCATTAACTTGAGGAGTTTTATTGTTAACTGTTGAATCATCAAATTTAATAGGTTTAATTTCTTCCAATCTAACATTTGGATCATTTTGTAATTGTTTCAACTCTTCTTCATTAACAACATCATAAATTTCTTCTTCTTCTTCTTCACCCGCAATAGCTCCTGGTTTTTCATTATCTAAAGGCGTTTCAAATTTTTCAACTTTTTCATAACTTTTAAAAGAAGGATCTTCAATCTCAGGTTCATTTTCAAGTTCATCATCAATTTCATTTAATTGAGGTTTTGGAACTTTAGATAATTTTGAAGATTCAACAATGGGTTCAATATTATTATTAGGCTCATATGAATCATTCATAAATTTAGAATTTCTTTGACTTCTATTAATATTTGGCAGTGGCAACACTTCATGAGTCTTAGGAGTTGATTTGTTATAAATTTCTTCTTCTTCTTCTAAATATGAATGATTTCTTGGAACTGATATTTTATAATATTCACCATCATCAAGTACAACTCCTTCCGTTGGTAAATCTTTACGTGGTGGAATATCATCATCTTCAACTTCTCTAGTTTCATTATTAACAGCACCAGCGGGATTCAAATATTCAGGTTCATTCAATGGTTCTTTAACCACGGGAGGATTTAAGACTTCATTTGAAATTGGAACTCCTTCAACATCAACAGTTCCATATTCATTAGCTTCATCTTTAATTTCTTGAACTATATTATCAGCTTGAGTTTCTAATGCAGGTCCTAATCTTTCAACTTTCACTGGTTCGCTAATATCTGGACGTGGTGGAATATTACTTTCAGGTATTGGTTCATGAGTAGTACCAGTACCAGTATGAGTGGGTTCTTCATTTCTTATATCTTTGGGATTATTAATTGCATTGATATTAGTTGGAACTTCTTCAACAACAGTAGTTTCATTAACAACATTGTTTGTAGGATCAGTAGTAACAGCAGTAGTTTCAACAATTGCAGAATCAGGTTGTTGCTGTTGTATTGCACCATTTTCAACACCATTATTTTCACCAATAGGTTGTTGAACATTTTTTCTTTGACTTTGTTGAGAATTTCTTCCAATAGCACTAGGAATATTATTACTTTCATTAGAATAAATAGATTGACTTGATTGACTTTGTCTTTTATTTTTATTAAAAATTCCTCCAAATATTGGTTTTTTATCTCTTTTTTTAGCTTCTTTAGCTAATCGCTTCTCTTCATCTGCTTGTTCTTTAGCTAATCGCTTGTCTTCAGCTTCTTTTTCCTTAGCTAATCTCTTTTCTTCAGCTTCCCTTTCTTTAGCTAATCGTTTATCTTCCTTAGCTTGTTCCTTGGCTTTTTCTTTTGCTAAATGTCTATTTTCTTTTTCTTGTTCTTTTGCAATTTTATTTTCTTCCTTGGCTTTTTCTTTTCTCATATTTGATATTTTTGGTTCATCTCTCATTGAATGTAAGGGGAATTCTCTATGATGATTTGTATATTCATAATTGGAAGGAATTGATTTTTCTTGATTTACTATTGGTGTTGGTATTGTTGTTGGTGGTGCAGCAGTCTGATCACGTTGAATTTTAACTCTTGTTGATGAATCTATTGATGATGTTCTTTCTTGTGGATATTGTTGTTGTTGTGGAGCTTCATAATTTTGTGGAGTTGGATCTTTTCTTGGACTTAATGGTATAAATCCAAATCTTGATTTACGTTCTGGTGATTGTTGTGGTTGTTGAGGAGGAGTTAATGGTTGTTGAGAATTAGCTAAATTTGGAGAAATTGGTTGTTGAGAAACTGCATTTGGATCACGATCTCCATAAACTTTTTTATAAGCAGCTTGCATTGCAGCAGCATAAAATTCTGCACTTGGTTGTTGAGAAGAAGAAGAAATTGGACCAGGAGGTGTTGGTTTCTTGGATTTTGATTTAAATTGAGGTTGAGTAGGAGGTGAAGATTGTTGATATTGTTGATAATGTTGTTGTTGTTGCTGTGGATAATGTTGTTGTTGAGGATAATTCTGTTGCTGAGAATAAGCTGATTTATCATTAAGTATAGGTATGGTTTCAATTTTATCATCAAATTTAATTGAACTACCAGGAGAATGACTATAATGAATATTATCTTTTGGGGATGATATAGGTTGTATTGGTTTTGTTGAATAACTACCACTAGATCTAGTTGATTGAGGAATTTGATTTGGACTTCTTAATGAATTATTTGAAATTTGTTGTTTTTGTTGAACTGGTTGAGATTGAGATTGAGATTGAGGTTGAGGTTGAGTTGGAGTACTTTGTGTTAAATTCTGATATGGATGTTTTGATGATTTTGAAGTTACTTCATTTACGACATTTGAAGCTACTTGGGGAGCAGCTGCAATAGGTATATTTTCAACACCAACTGGATTGTTTTGTTGTAAAGTTGGTGTTTCATCTATACTATTAGATTGTTGTCTTTTTAATATTGATCTTAAAGGTTTACCTTGACTTGTAATAGAAGAAGTTCTATCAGGTGTATTTATTGGTCTTGGTTTAGATAAATCATCAGTAAATGGTTCTCCCAATTCTTGTTTAGGAACATTACCAAAATTTCCATTTCCTTGCTCAATTTCTTCTTCTTCCTCTTCTTCTTTTATGATATCTTTTGGTTGTGCCTGTATATGTGATGGTTCTCCAGTATTTAATTTCAATTTATTATTATTTTGATCATTTAAATCATCAACTTGATAATCATAATCAAAATTTTGTAAATCTTCATCAATTTTTGATAAATTAATTGGTTGATGAGTCATTGAATTATTTCTAAAATTTGCTGAACTTAAAGAATTTGATCTTGAATTTGATCTTGAAATATTTTTTGTTGCTGTTTCTATAATATTTGAACCATCTGGAAAAGTTTTAACAGTTTTTGTAATAATTGATTGAGTTCTACCTTGAGAATCAACAACTTTAGTTGTAGTTGTAGTAACAACATATTCTTCTTCTTCTTCATTTTCATTACCTTCTTGAATATTATAATTATCATCTTCTGTATCTTCATGTATATAATTTTGTGGAGATTGTTGTTGAGCTTGTTGTTGTTGTTGTAATTGTCTCTGTTGTGATTGACTGGATCTTGTTAAACTACCTCTGCTATGAGAATTTAAACTATTGAATCTTTTAACACCTTGATTAATATTATTTGAATTTCCAACTTGATAAGAAGCTTGAGGATTATAAGTATATTGTCTTAAAGAATTTGACCTATTAACATTACTTAAAGAATTTGATCTACCATATTGTCTTTGAGCAGCAGTTTGATTATATTGTGTATTACTTTGACGATTTTGATTATATTTTTGTTGTTGTTGTTGTGAATTTTGATTTTTAATTGGTGAACTATGTAATCTTAAAGCGGCAGCAGCTGCTTGACCTGCACTTGTTAAAGATTGACTTCTATTCAATTGTGCTTGTTGTGCTTGAGGTTGTATTGGTAAGCCAGCATGTTGTTGTGAATTATGATATTGATTTATTTCATGAGTATATTTACTAAAACCTTGATATGAATCTGGTCTTCTCTAATGAGTTTTAGTTAGTATCGCTGGATCTGTAGATTTATGAGAATTTTGCAAGTATTAATTCATTTCAAGATTTTGCTGAAACGAATTGAGTTTGCAATTGTAATTATAATTCAACCCTTAAAGTTCATTATTTTTTAAAATTAAAGATTTTAAAGTAACATACTCTTTTATTAAATAATCCAACCATTTTCAGTGTATAGATTCTTCTTTAAAATAAGTTTGTAGCTGAGTATAATACTTTATTGATCAATGGGTCTCTTAACTACTTTCAATATTAGATTCTTGTGACTCAATTGGTATTGGTATTGGTGGTTGCTTAAACTGAAATGTGGTTGTAAAAAATTAAAAAAATATTTAATAGAGAAATTGAATTACTTAAAATATTATTTATGTAATTAAGTAGTTTTGTGTAACTTTTACTTTTATATCATCATCATCCGGAAACTGAAATTTCATGTTTGCGTATTTTAGTTTGTTTGTTTTAGTTTTGTATTAGCTAAATACTATGAAAATAACACACATTAGGCAACCCTAAAATATAAGAGAGTATTTGTTCATGAGTGAATGATCAAACTTATTGTCTTATTGTTATTATATTGTAAGAAATTAAAATAGGAATGACATAACCGTTTTTTTACAATTTGTTTATACTTTAATAACTATTACCTTCTATGTTCACTATAAAATTCTATCAAAAGTGATTCTCTTGGTAAAACACATACTGAAACAATCAAGCTCATGTATCCTTTTTTAAACCAATTAAACTATGTAAATATGAATCAAACTACTTCATGTTATTATTCATATTTATTGGTATATTTTTGTTATAGAAATTTAAAATTGCTATCATAGTGCATTATAAGGTGAGAATATGTATATATATTTTGGTAGCATTGTATTATGCAAATTCTCGAATTTTACGAGAAAGAAAGAAAGAAAAAAAGCCGCACAATATTATCAAACACAAAACAAATGAGAAATATATCGAATTTCACAAATCAGAAGAGCGTAATGTATCAATTGTGTCAAAAATTATCTGAGGTAATAGTACTATTCAATCATTTTCATAATGGATCAATATATAAAATAAAAGTATACTTTTAATTTTGGTCATACATATTGCTATTATATTGATGATACTATAAATTATTATTATTTTATTCCAAAGCCCCCTTAATTAAATTATTTTTTTATTTTCTATTATTTAAGTAACCGAATTGAAAAAAAAATGTATTGAGAAAAATCTTATATATTGGCGGGTTTATTATCAAGCAATCAATTAATTTTTGATTTAAAATCCAATTAAATCTTTGGTGTTCTGTCAAAATTAAACTTCTAATAAGCATGTTGTATTCCTTCCGAATGCCAATCTAATTATATGGAGAGAATAGTCGGAAATTTACATTAAAGCAATTGATTATCTTCGTCTACTTATCAATACGACAAGAAGGATTTTCATAATGAATTTTGATAGAAAATTTTAGTTTGCATCATAAACTCAATAGATAATCAGAAGAATAGAAAGGAAGTATGTCTAGTGGAAGTTAAAGTCATTACAAGTTTTTAATTAAGTTCAATCTGATTTATTATTAAGTTTTCGTTCAATTTTTCCTGACAAAAAAGATCTTAGGATTAATTCATGCAGTAACTTATTATTCTCGATTTCAGTCAATCTTGGCGAGATTGATTTCCTCATAATCAAATAGGAAGGTTTTAGAGGTTCTTTGAGATGACGAATAACTAGAAATATCATAATATATATAAGAGGTAATGTACCGAACCAAACCAAATAATTGGAAATGGCCATGAATCACATCAAATCAATCACGGGTTTTTTTGAAAAGAATATCCACTATTGAAAAGAATATCCACAAAGATGATATCTAAAAATGTTTCTCATAAGTAATGAGATCGGGCAAAATATTTGGATGCCTTTTAACGGCTAAAAGTAAATACCAAAAACTAGTAGCTACACCTTGAAAGATCAACAATATATAACTAGAGAAGAATTCTAAAATTTAAAATGAAGTTTGAACATCCTTCATCTCAAATGATGGGTGTTCAAATTTCATTTTTTAAATGTTATATGTAATTAAATCGACCTCAATTAACCTTTATGATTTATGATATCAACTTTAGAAGAATTTGGCTGGATTATCAAATTTGGTTACTGCCGATTTTGTTCTTTGGATTGTATTTTATATGCAAAATTGGACGAAAGAAATTCAATAATCAATTGAATCAAATCTTTAGGATTTCTTGGAAAATAAGGCTTGTGATGACTTTACTAATGGTTTTTCAAGTACAGATGTGTTTTTCATCGTCTGGTTTTGCCAAGTCAGCTTTCCAATGTTTTCCTAGTTTTACTTTTTCTTCTTCTGCAATTGGTCTGTCATAGGAGTTAAGATATAGGATTAGACTATCAATAAACAGACAAATACAAACAAATTTTTCGTTATTTGTACAAGTTGGAAACTTATGTCTAGAATTCTGTCAAGATATTTGAGGTACAATACGGGAATATTAAAATATTGTGGCAATTTTATTAGGACCAAGAATTTGCAACACCGAAACTAATGATATGGCTTGATTAAACCTAGTTCGTCTGATTAATAATCAACTTTCCCAATCGGAGACTAATTTTGATATTAATTTCACCAAATCTCTATTTCAACTAATAGTAATCAATAAAAAGCGGATTTTAGATGCTACATTTAATTAAACCCCCAAGTTAGAAAGATTACAAATTATACAAATTATTTTTGAATATTTCCTCTATAACTTCAACTTATTTCCATACTGTTCAACGGGCGAGATTATTGGCTTACTAAACAAGCATAATCGATGAAAAGAGTAGAGCCTTCGAAATATTTTTCAAAACTCAGCTATGTGTTTTAAATTATTTCGAATTTTGCAGCAAAATATGCTATATATTAACAGATTTTAGTTTGACCTAAATTCAGCCATAAGTGAGTATTTCTTATTTTTTGCAGTATGAATAATTCAGATTTGACCTTGCTTTTTGAATAAATATCCTAGAGCCCCAAAAAAAAAACGTTTACATTGATTAATTATCTTACGCATGCTTAGTTTGTATATTACTTTTATTTGAAACATTGTCCTGAAACATTATCTTACGACTTATGTCAATTCTATGCAAAAAATGACATTGAATCTTCGGTTATAAATTAAACATCATAGTGACACTAAACCTTAATTACTGTTAACAAATACACTACCGCTATTGGGTTATTGTTTATTATTAGTTTAGTTTAGTTATGTTACGATAGTATATATGTCAAAAAACCTGTAGCACAGCTTGTCCACCTTTAACCTGTTATCTTCTTCACCTAGCACCTTCTACCTTTCCACCATGAAAATTTTTCCACCATAAATCTGCCTACTTCGCACCAACTTCCTGCATATAACCAACTTACTTATCATATAATTCAACACTTCCCCGAATTATGTTGATTTGTTTCAACAGAATTCCTATTTTGATATTTTATGATACAAATGTCATCTAATTTTTCTTGTTCAAGTGCGTAACTCATTTAAGACCTAGCGGTTTTGTCAAAAGACCTTTTCATTTGTCAAATTTTCTATTTTAAGAATTTAGGTTCACAACTTTATCTCATAATATGTATCTATTTCAAATTAAACCACTCCATTGGCATAGCTTCTGAACTTTAATTTTTCGAACTTTCATAACCGCAGTATTTAGTTTGGTGCCTTGTCTACCTAAGACTTTGATCAATGTTATAATATTTTTAATTCATTTTACAACATACCAAATTTTAAAGTTAATAATATGCACTTGATGTTATATTTTATGTTTTCCTCATGGATTACATGGACCGATAACTTTGACTCCACCAGTACGCAAACAAAACCAAAGATGGATCTTCCCCGAACATTTGAAGCAAAAAAAAACGTCGCAAATATGGTCTTTATATTAAATTCTTCTTAAATCTGAACCATCGTTAGCAAAACATGCACATAGACAACAATAATAATGTCTTTTCAATAAGGAATTTTCAATAGAAACAGCTCTTCCCCGATTTTGATTTCACATAAACTTGAACACTTACGTAGATTTTCTTCATCATTAACTCTTGCAGAGACAATAAAACTCTCACCTTCTTAAACGCATCGATGATGTTACTCGTTATTTTCACTCCCCTTATGCATCATATTTTTCAAACTTTTAGTAATTTAAGCATCAGTTTTCTCCGAGTTTAGGTCTATTTCAACTGTTTTATTTAAGACTTATAGGAATGTGGCATTACATCTCATTTTTCGGCTCAGCATCTTTTACAAGGAACAAATTCTTTTTATTTTTCCAGTTTATTACTTTTGGTTTTGAGAACACCAAGTATGTTCTTGCTAAAATATAGCAATTACTTCAATATTCGTTGTAACATCGAAAGAAATATTAGCCGCATTTGCAGCCTTGCAACAATAACAATAGTGGCCTTATTAGTAGCAGTAGCAGTAGCAGTAGCAGTAGCAGTAGCAGTAGCAGTAGCAGTAGCAGTAGCAGTAGTAGCAGTAGCAGTAGCAGCAATAGCATCAGCAGCAATAGCATCAGCGATAGCAGCAACAGCAATATCAGCAGCAATAGCAGCAGCAATAGCAGCAATAGCATCAGCAGCAATAGCAATAGCATCAGCAGTAATAGCATCAGCAATAGCAGCAATAGCAATAGCATTAGCAGCAGTAATAGCATCAACAGCGACAGCATCAACAACAATAGCATTAGCAGCAGCAGCAGCAACAGCAGCAGCAATGGCAACAGCAACAGCATTAGCAGCATTAGCAGCATTAGTAGCAGCAGCGATAGCAGTAGCATCACCAACAGCAATAGCAATAGCAATAGCAATAGCATCACCATAACCATTAGCACCAGCAGCATCACCATCACCATTAGCACCAGCAGCATCACCATCACCATTAGCACCAGCAGCATCACCATAACCATTAGCATCTTTAGCAACAACATCTTAGCGACAACATCTATAACAACAGCATCTTTAGCAACAGCATCTTTAGCAACAGCATCTTTAGCATTAGCATCTTTAGCATTAGCATCTTTAGCATTAGCATCTTTAGCAACAACAGCACCGGCAATAGCAGCAGCAAAATAATCAACAGTATCTGCAGCAACAACATCTTTAGCATTAGCGTCCTCAGCAACAAGTTTCTTCACCAGAAACATCAATAACCGAAACAACATATACATTATTCATTGTTTCTCAATTCCACTTCGACTTCCCCGAATTGTGATACAATGATTAATCCAACAGCATTAACTTTATTACATTAATTGAGGATCTCTGTCCCAAAGAAAATAGAAAGAAAAACTTGTAGGTAGAGTTGGTGCAGCAGATTTTCAACTCGAATTTAAGCGGCTCTCATTTATTTATTGGGCATCATGAGACAGAAGTCATGCATTCCTTCCATGGTCCGATATCATGATTGTGCAGTTTTCTAAAACACACTCAAACTTGTGTCTTGATTCATCCTTTATACCAAAGTAAACATCTGAAAGTAATAGGTTTGAAAAACTTTCGGTAACTCAGAAATTCACCATGTGTCATTTCCATAGTGTGCAGCTAGCTCTTCATTAATTGAATAAAAACTTCTAAAATTCAGCTTAAGATGTCTTGGAACATCTACTTCAGGTCCAGTAATTAGTAATTATGTTACATTATTCTAGCATTTCCACCAACAACTCACAAGGAATCATCTTTGATATCATTGGATAATTTTAGTTTTTCAATCTCACCAGATCCTTCAGCATTAAATAAAAAACTAGCACTTTCATAGTGACTTTTACCATCCTCACATTTTCATCTAAAATATCCAATACTCTCCCCTCCAAAAGTGATTTCTGTGTAGCACAAGCAAGAAACATCAATGTTAATCCCTAACCTATAATATACTGATGACAGCCCCAGGGTTGATGTTGTAAAATCATCATATTCATCATCAACAAAATCAAATGGTGATACATCCGCCACTGTTGACCTGTTAATACCTGAAAAAAAAAAAAAAAAAAAAAAAAAACACTAAAATTTCCTTTCGCTCTTTCTTACCAAACCAATCAACATCTTTAATTTATCATTTTTAAAGCAATCAGCATTTTTATCTTATCTTTTTCATTGAACCAGTCAAAACAGCTTTGTTTCATTTTATCTTAAATCAATAAACAGCTTTATTTTACCTTTTTCATTTAACCAATCAGTAGTTTTATCTTATTTTAAATCAATAAACAGCTTTGTTTTACCTTTTTCATTTAACCCATCAACAATTTTTATTTTATTTTTAATCAATAAACAGCTTTATTCTAATATTTTCTTGTACCATTCTCGGCTTGAACCCTCATATAATCAGGGTCTAATTTAATTGCATCTAATACTTCTTGAGCTGTTGGTAATTTGATCTTATTATCTTTTTTGTATTTTTGATAATAAGGGTAATAAATCTTTAATGCAATACCGTCTAGCCCCATTACCTTATAATTTTATGTATAATTTAAAACATGAAATGCTGAATCAGGCAAGTCTGTCACAAATTTCTGTATTGAGTTTTTTCTTGATTCCATCAATCCTCTTGATCTATTTGCGTAACCCAAGAAAGAATCATTAGGTACGTCGTTTACCAAACATTCAGCCACAAATTTAAATCTTCTGTCAAGGACACTAACAATGTCTGGACTATCATATTCTTTAATGAAATTAATTATATGACCAACTTTAACATCATCGCAATTTATATCTTCAGGTCTAACCTTTTGATGAAATTCAAAATTTAATTTTGATTCTATAGTTTTGGCAAATAGCCGTTGGTCTTCTTGTTTTTGATAGAAACATGGAAACTTAGTGAATTCAAATATTTCACCATCCATGAATCTTTTATCTGCCAAAAGATCCATTAATTCTTTGGACACAATTCTGGAAATGGTGTCAAGCACCGTTTCATAATGCATCACATTCTCATATGAATGTGGGTCTAGGTTGTGTAGTTTTTTAATAGCAGATAATGCAGCTTCCCCTAAAGTATCCTTTGCTTCTTCTCTGACCATCTTACGGTGTTATTCTTTCTCTGACAGCATCTTTCTTATAGTAAATTCTTTGTTTTGGTTGTTTTTTATAGCGAAATGGTTATCGCTTTTGACTTCTAATCTGTTAACAAATACACTACCGCTATTGGGTTATTGTTTATTATTAGTTTAGTTTAGTTATGTTACGATAGTATATATGTCAAAAAACCTGTAGCACAGCTTGTCCACCTTTAACCTGTTATCTTCTTCACCTAGCACCTTCTACCTTTCCACCATGAAAATTTTTCCACCATAAATCTGCCTACTTCGCACCAACTTCCTGCATATAACCAACTTACTTATCATATAATTCAACAATTACTAAGATTATTAATTTTATTTATTCTATTATAATCATTAGAAACATACCAAATATGAATTTGTAAAAATATTTATAATATGAGAAACTACATTACATACCTTTACTAAGATTAATCTAATTATCTGATTTCAAACAGATTGATATAAATATCATTTGAAAAAACTAGAAGAATTGAAAACATTCTATTTGAGATCTTTTATTCTTAAATGAAATTATATTTTACATTTATACCAATTATATTATCAATTATTTATTATTACTTTATTGTTAAAACTAATACAATTCAAAAAGATTCAATTATAACAGATACAGATAACAACAACTCAACAACAACAAACACAATGTCATCAGTTGCAAAATATATAAAAACAACAAATCCATTACCTACATTTTTTTTCAGTCATGGAGGACCAACATTTATGTATGAAAATGATTCATTTGGTAATAAAGGAGCATGGAAAACAATCAAGAAATTAGGAACTAAAATAAAACAACAATGGAAGCCAGATTATATTATAGTAGTATCAGCACATTGGCAAAGTTCAAAACCAAATCTTATAGAAATTGCAACAACATCAAATGATGATAAAGAAAATGAATTAATTTATGATTTTTATGGATTCCCCAATTATATGTATAAAGAAGAATTTCATACAAAAAATAATAAATTTATTGCAAATGAAATTAAAAATAAATTAATTGAAAATGGATTTAATTCCACTTTAACTAATAGAGGTATTGATCATGGTGTATGGGTTCCATTTAAAGTTGCATTTAGTGATTATACTACACAAACTAAACCACAACCACCCACCACCAAGGATTTGGATTTACCAAATACTTCAATTATTCAAGTCAGTTTAACTTTTAATGATAAAGATTTTAATTCAAATTTTAAATTAGGTGAAATTTTAAATTTTTTTAGAACAAATGAAATTTATGATACTAATGAAAAAAGATATTTAAAAGGTATGGTTATTTGTTCAGGTATGTCAGTACATAATTTAAGAGACTTGGGGGTTGCAATGAGACAATCATCACAAGTTATGCCATATGTTAAACCTTTCAATAAATTATTAAAAAATATAGTAGAAACAGAAATTGTTACTGATAAAGAAGATTCAAAAGAAGAAGATTTAAAATTAAAAAAATTTAATGAATTAAAAAATTTACCAATTTTAAAACAAGCTCATCCAACTTTAGAACATTTTTTACCAATTATTGTTGCAAGTGGTATTGCATCAAATTCTAAAACAAAAATTAATGAATTATATAATGATGAATTTGCAAGTTTAGGTTGGGGTATATATCAAGTAGGTGATTCACCAAAATTGTAATCCTTTAAGTTACATTATTTTTGATTCTGTATAAATTATTTATTATTACTAATATACAAAACATCCATTAAAAATATCGTTTTTTAATTCTATAACTCGATTCTCCTCTCCTCCTTCAATTTCCTCACTCTCCAAATATTATTCTTACCTTTTCAATACTTCATTAAATACATTTTCAACTTCATTTTCATTTAATCCATCTAAATTCTTTTTAATTTCTTCCCCCTTTTCAAATCTAGCAGTTAAACTTGGTGATATTCCATAACTTTCTCTAATCAAAATGGGTAATTCAAATTTTGTTTGTGTTTTTAAATTTGAATAATTTTTTATTAAAAAATTTTGTAATGGTTTTGATGTTGAACCAGTTTGTGATAAATGAAATCTTAATTCTTTTAATGTTGTTGGTATAATAAATTTTGACATTTTTAATTCTGTTGAGTTATGCTATGTTATGTGTGATATTTACTGGATATGAGATGCTTCTTATATGCGTGATATGTTACGGAATGTAATGGTGGTTGATATTTGGTTATATAAGTATGGTTATTGATGTTTGATTATTACCAATTTTAAATTGATTGTAATATAACTGGTCCTACTTTTTTTTCTCTAACAATATATAGTCAGGTCGTGTAAATACATACAAAATATTTTGCAACTATTTTAAACCATACCAATTACAAGAGAATAACATGCAATAAGTTTGAAGTATTTCGGTCCTTTTATATCATCATCATTAATCGTCTATGAATTATTTGCTTATTTACATATTTACATATCATACCATATTTTAATTAATTCTTCACTAACAGCAGAAGGAGTTAATACTCCTAAATCAGTAATTAAAGCAGTAATATATTCATGAGGTGTAAAATCAACAAAATGATTATCTAGTAATTGATTATCTTTTTCATTCTCACAATCATTACTATTATTGGCACTTTCAATTATTTTTTGTTCATCATTATTATTATTTATTAAATTTTGATGTATAAAATTATTCATATTTGGTAAATCATTTGGAGCTAATGGAAATAATCTAACAAATTTATGAGATTCAGTAATAACATAAAATGGTTTATTATTAATTTTAGCTAAACAACCAATTTGATAAGTTCCTATATGATTTATTATACCACCACTTTCTGCTACACCTTCTGCTCCAACTAATATTTTATCAACTTTATGTAATACATACCCCACTGCATTATCAACTATTACTTCACATGAAATTCCTGCATCTTTTAATTTTTTAGCCATTATGTACCCATTTCCCGTAGGTCTTGATTCAGTAATTATAACTTTAAATCTTGTAAGTTTCTCTAATTTTGATTTCAAAAGTAAAGTTAAAACAACTCTTGAATAACTATGAACTAATATAATATCATCATCTTTTATAAATGATACTCCAAATTCTGCAGATTTAATTCTTGAAATTTTAGCTCTTTTTACAAATAATTCACCATTTTCAATAAGATTTTTGGAAAAAATTTCCCAATCATGATAAATATTTGTATTTCTTATTATAAATCTCATAAATAAATCACATCCAGCTGATAACGATATATTATTAGGGATTGAATTTTTTAATATTTCTATATTTTTTGAAACTAAATTTATAAGCTCTGATGATGTTGATGGTTTGTTTAATCTTAACATTGTTACTAATGATTCAATTGCTGCTATTGGCATTGTTAAATCTTTATCATCTTTTAGAAATTTTAAATAAGTAGAAGTTATATCAAATGTATCTGAACTCATTGTTGGTTGTTTGTAGTTAATGAGTAAGATCTATGTATAATTTTTTTGATGCAAAATATCATCACTTATTAATTTACTTTTTTTGCATCAATTTAGTACTAATTACAACTCACAACATATCATACACAAATGAGTCAATTATTTGTAGATGAAGATGAAGATATGGATTATAAACGAGGGTATAAACCTTCAACTACAACAATAAAAGAAGAAGAATTAAGTGATGATGAAGAAATGTCATTTGATGATAGAATAAATAAAAATTCATTAAATCTACCTAATGATGATGATGAATATCAACTACCTCCAACAATACCACGAGAACAAGAACAACAACAAGAAGATGAATCAGAAGAAGAAGACGACGATCCAATAATAGAATCAATCCCATTAATCATAAATCAAGTACCCAAAGAACAAAATAAATCATTACATCTACTTCAATATCCAGGTAGACCCAAAACAAGATCTCTAAGAAATCAAACAGTAATATCATCAATAAAACCAAATTCAAAATATTTAGAATTAAAATTACCATTAGATGTCAATAAATTTTTTAATAAATCAAAATTAGAAGAATGGGGAGAAAATATAAATTTACAAAATATTTCAGGAGTAATGGATCAATTTGGTGGTGGAAATTATATTGGAAAAATTATAAACAACAAAGAAAATAAAGAAAATCGTAAAATTGTATTAATTCCATTAGATTCAAGTGTTCAATTACGTTCTACATTTAAATATATAGATGATTTAGATAAAGAAAATTTACAAAATCAAAGAAAATTAAATAGCACTACCCAAGAAGATGTTGAAAAACCAAGTATTCAAATATTACAAACTGCTGCAAAACATTCAACAAATAATCAAGATGGTTTTAATCATTCTTTGGGAGATTCATTAAAATCAATAAAAAAATTTGATGAAGAAGAATGGAAAATTTTAAATTTTAAACTGAATTTGGGGGATGATAACGATACTAGAGAGTTTCAAAATCAATTAATTAATGGTGCTGATGGTATAATATTAGAGAATCAAAGTAATTATGATGATTACATTGATCATTTGTATAAATAAGAAGAATCAAAATGTTTGCATTATAATTATATTCATAAATAAGTTCTATTCATTAGTAATTATATTCATTTGTAGAATTAACAGCTAATTTAGCCATCCTCAACATTTTCTTTCTTGGATCTTCTTTTTTAAATTTATTTGCTCTGCCATTTTCAATTTCATTATTAAATTTTTCATTATTTTTATTTGATTTTTTACCTAACGATTTTGGAGTTTCTCTTAATCCAAAACTTTTAGCTAAATGACCTAAATGTAAATTTTTAACATTAAAAAAATTTCTTTCTTGTGATAAATGAGTAGCATAAGCTCTTATATGAGAAATGAAAGCTTGACTTGCTTTTGATAATGCTTGAGAATTTTCTAAAACCCATCTTTCAACTTCTAAATGCCATGTTGTTGCATGAATATCCCAATTTCCTAATTTATCATATTTATTTTTGGTTGTTGAATCTTTTTCACTGAATGCAGATGATAATATATTTTCATATTTAATTATTCGAAGATTTTCTTTTCTTGGATGTACAATTTTTAATTTTGATTCAATATAACCTTCTTCTAAACCAGGTAATAAAAATAAAGTTGCTATCCCCTTTTCACCAACTCTTGCTGATCTACCAATTCTATGTAAATGATCATCAATTGTAAAAGGTGGATCATATTCTATAACATTTGAAATATTTGGTAAATCTAATCCTCTTGATGCAACATCTGTACAGAATAAAATCTTGTTGGAGAATTTCGAATCATCTTTTATAAATTGTTGTAAAATTGTTGTTCTAGTTTGTTGAGTTAATGATCCATGTAATTTATAAATTATTGTATTTTTATTTATTATGGGGGAAGTTAATTCAGCATCATTTTCATCATTTTCTTCATTTATACTATCTTCAGGGGATACTAAAATAGTCTTGGTTTCACCTGTTTCTTCATCTTTAATTTTTTTAAATTTTTTACCATTTCTTGTAAATATATCAAAATGATAGTTTACAGAATCTGAACATGAAAAAAATACAATTGTTCTTGAAGTATCTTGGTTTTTGTCTATCTTGTTTGAAATATTTACTAATTCTGCATCTAATGTAACTAATCTTAATTTTGGAGGTACAATTAAAATATTTTGAATTAATTGATCTGGTGCAAAAGATTCATGTTCATTATTATTATTACTTATTTCCCCTGTTGGATCATCATCAAATAATATTGTACCTTCAACTTCTCTATCAACAGATATCATTTCTGGATTATTTAAAATTATATTCCCCAATTGTTTAACATTATTTTGTAAAGTAGCAGAACATAATATATTTATTCTTTTTGTAGGTAATCCTTGCCATTTATCGATAGTTTCATTAATTTTAGAATTATTATCAATAATTTTTGTAATTTTTGAAATAGTTTCTTCAAAACCTAATTCAACTAATTTATCACCTTCATCAAGCACAAGATATCTTAATTGACTTACATCTAAAGTTTTGGTATTTTCTAAATGATCAGCTAATCTACCAGGAGTTGCAACTAATATATTAACACCTTTTCTTAATCTTGCTTTTTCACTTTTTTTCTTTTCTCCACCTATAACTATACCAGGTACTAAAAAGGGATAACATCTATTTAAATTTTCTAATACTGAATATATTTGATTAGCTAATTCTCTTGTTGGTGTTAATATTATTGCAAAAACTCCTGAATCTCTTCCAATTTTAAATTTATTTTCCATCATTAATTTATGGAAAATAGGTAATATAAAAGCCATTGTCTTACCAGATCCAGTTTGAGCTTTTACAAATATATCTCTTTGAGTAGTTAATAAATTGGGGATTACTAATTTTTGAATCTTTGTTGGATATTTAAATCTTTGATGATTTATTAAATGATTTGTTAATTTTTCATTTATTCCTAATCCATTAAAAGTTGTTGCATCCTTTATAGGTGCATTTGATGGTAAATAAGTTTTAATTTCTTCTTCTTCTTTTGACGATGAGTCTTTTTCAGGTTGTGGTTGAGTTGATTCTGAATTATTTGTAAATAATGATGAAACATAAGAATCATTTTTACCTCCATGTTCACCTTTAGTTTCATTAAATTTAGCTCTCTTGAATTCACTCTTCGATTCATTTGTATTTGATTGATTAGTTGAAGGTTTTGATACTTTCCTCGAAGAATACTCCTCTATTCTTCTTTTCCTATTTAAATCTATCGGTATACTATTTGACCCTTTCATTTTTTTCTCTTTTGGTCTTCCTTCTAATTTTAATTGTAGAGTTCTTCTATCTTTCCATCTTCCTCCTCGTACTTTAACATTTTTTTGTTGTGTAGTTGTGGATGTAGTGTCGGGTATAGCAAAATTTAGCATCAAGCCATCATCATCGCTCATCTTTGATTATGTATAGTAGTTGTTGAAAATTGAATTGGTTCGATGTAAGATATAATGATTATACTAAATAGGAAACTCATCGGAGATTAGTTTGAAACAGAGATAAGCTACCAAATTTTGGCTGCAAATTTCAATACCGTCAAAAGAGTAAAAACTCAAGTACATTTTCAATGAGTCGACTAAAAAATATGTTTACAAATTCACTGACATCATACAAACCATTTTTATTGGAAAGTCAAGTTCTTTTATTCAATTGGTTGACTAGATAGAACTTTATCTATATCATACCTTATACTTTTAAATTCATCTTTAAAAATAAGATGTGGTTTTTGTTCAGCTAAATATAATATAGTTTTGGAAAATTCACTATTTGCCCAAGAAAACCACAGTCTAGTAAAATCCATTCCATATTTAGAATTAACATTAATACTTTCATGAATAAGTCCTAAATCTCCCGTTGTTTCCATAATCAAATTTAAAGCTTGTAAAATTTCTTCATCATTATTCGAAGTTCTAATTCTAATTAATAATGACATTGGCCAAGCATTTCTTATACCAACATGAGGTCCTCCTATACCTTCAAAATATTTTCCTTTTAAATAATATGGATTACCATCTTTTGATAATATCATTTTTCTTGTATTTCGATATATTTCATGATCAATTGTTGTGAAACCCAAATCAGGGAGAGCTAATAATGATGGAACATTTGCATCATCCATAAATATAGCACTTCCATAACCATCTACTTCATATGCAAAAACTTTACCATATTTTGGATGATTAACAATTCCAAATTTTTCAATACCATTTGAAATAGAATTTATAAAAAAATCAGTTTTTTTAATTAAAATTTGAATTTCTGATTTTAATTGAGCATTATCATCAAATTTTTTTAAAATTTTTTCATTAAGGAAATTTTTTCTAATATTTTTTAATTCTGTTAACATATGAATATTTCCTGGTATAAAAAATTGTAAAATACATGAATCATCACTTGGTCTAAAAGCACTTCTAATTAATCCTGTTCCATAATTTACTGGATTCCCAACACCACCCAAGGGTAAAGTTTCTGATCCACTATTTGTATTTCTTTGAAATAAATAATAATATTGTAAAGCTTGACCAGTTTCTTCATCAAATGTTGGTTCACTTTCTCTTCTTAATACAATTAATAATTTTTCATAAGCATCAAACCAAATTGAATTAAGAAAAGATAAATCACCACTATTAATAAAATATTCATTTGTTAATGTTAAAAATGAAGCTAATGAATCTATTTCATATTTACATTCAAATACTCTTCTCCAATCTGGTCTTGGTTGAACATTATCAAAAGCTGTATCTCCCTTTTTTATACCTGATCCAGGTGGAGGATGAAATGCATTACAATATGGTGAATTATTAACATAATAAGCTTGAGTATTTATAGCTCCTAAAATTAAATTTTGTAATTTTGAATCATATTTAATTAATTTTTGATATAATGATAATTGTCTAGCTGAATCTCTTAACCATTCTGCATGAATATCACCAGTAACAACAAATGTTTGAGGATATGTTAAATCTTTATGAAAATTTGTTTTATCTTTTTTTGATTTATGCCATAAAATAGTAGTATCTAAAGTATTTGGTAAACAATTTTCAACTAATCTTGCTAAATCAGGATCTTTAATTTTTAATTTTAAATCATCTATTAAATTTTCAACAGCTTTCGATGTAAATGTTCTACATTTTGGTGCTGGTCTCATATAAGGATATTTATATTTACCTGATGAATATGGTGGATGTCTAGTTTGTGAATATGTGACATAATCTGGACATTGTTTGGTTTTTTTATCTAAACTTGTTAAAAATATTGAATCAGCTTCTCCAGTTTCAATATCTTTGTATTTATCATAGTTTAATTTAGGTAATTGTTTATCCTTTTGATTATTTAATTCAATAATATCAATTGAAGTTTGAGGATTATGATTTAAATATAATGAGTAAAGTATTAATAATGATAGTATTGCAAGTAATGGTTTTAGATATCTAGGTAGTGTAGATTGACTTATCATACTATGTTGTCTTGTTCTATTAATATCATTCATATAGTCAATCAATTTGAGTTTTGTTGATTATTGTTTCAGATTATTTCATGTAAGAGATTATTTTCAATTTCGTAAACCTATTTACACAAAGACTTAAAATTATACAAAGATAAATTGAAATAACCATACGGCTAGAAAGAGCATTTACCTTCAAAACTTATATCAACATTCATCTCTATATCCTTCTATTTGCCAAAGTCCATGGTTTTCTCCCAACACATAACTAATTGTCTTCTTTTTGTAATAATCACCATCTAATTTCAAATTATCAATTACGTCATCTAATAATATTGCTTTACCGATAGCTATTCCATCTCCTAAACCTGGATGATGAACATTAACAATATGTAAATGAAAATGATAATAACTCGGCTGATAATGAACGAAAATTTTTAGTTCATCTGGTGATAATCCAAATTTTTCAAACGTAACAGTCCTTATTATAAATTGTAAATTCTTTAAATATTTCACATCATCACCCGAAAGATCTCTAATTGATCCAATATCCATTCTATTAACAATACAACAAAGATATAAATTTTCTAAATTAACTTTATCCCATTTCATATCAGGTAATAAAACAAATCCATTTTTTGATTTATCATGATATATAACAGATTCAAATTCTTTACCTTCAAATAAAATATTATAAACCCATTTTAATCTATCACCTTTCATTGTTTCAATATATGGAATTACATATTTATTATACATTTCAGGTGTTTCTCTAACGTAGTGTAATTTTTGTTCATTATATTTTCTTATATGAGTTTCTGTAGCTGGATATATTAAATTTACTTTTGCAGCTGGTAATTGACTAAGGTCTTGTTTTAAAGTTGCTTTAGCCCAATTGTATACATCATTTGAGTTGATTAGTGATAAATTTTGGAATATTTCCAAAACTGCTGAATTTCGATTATTGATTCGATCTAAATTAAATGGTGATTTTTCTATAATTAAAATTGCATGTTTCTCATCGATAGTCCCTAATATCGCTATTTGTTTTGTCTGAGTATTGGAATTTAGTATACGTTCTAATCTGAAATCATAAATTAGATGTATTATATTTACTTCAGTCATTAAGTTAAACTTTACTTTATGAAAAATTATGATCGTATATTTGAAACGCGCTATATACAAATTACAACAGATTTATCATCTACACTATTCACCATCTTCTTCATTTAAATCAATACAAATCCAACTTGGCCATGCAATTTCATCTCTTAATATATTTCTTAATTGTTCCATTAGAAATTTCTCAACTTTACCAACATTCCTCAATACATTATTTTCAACTTCACCAATTTCACTTTCAATTCTAATCTTTTTTAAAATATCAATTCTTTCTTTATTATTATTTGAATCATTAAAATAATAATCAACAAAATTACCACCACCACCACCACCTGCTGGAGGTGTATGAATATTTGAAGTTGTTTCTAATTCATCATTTATATCACATAAAAATGAAAAAAATACTGAATTATTTAAATATGCTATTGTTGCTATTGAATGAATGAAAAGATCAGTAATATGTAATTTTATTGGTAATGATATAAAATTTGGTGAAGGATAATTAACTAATAATGTTACTAATAAATCTATATGTAAATCTCCTTTATATTTAATTTCAACAATTAATTGTATATCATTAACATTTTTTTCTGAAATTTGTTTTTGATCTTTTGTTATGATCTTGGGGATAACTCTTGAAGATAAGATTTGTTGATTTAAAAAATGACTTGGGGTTTCTGTTCCACTTCCACTTGTTTGATTATTTGATCCTAATATACCTTGAACTCCTAAAATAGTTTGAAATGAATCTTTTGATCTTGTTAAGGTAGGAGGACCAAGTGAAGTTGTAGAGCTAGGTAGTATTGGTGGTCTCTGTAGATTCTGTTCATCATTGGAAGCAATAGTATTAGTTGTTAAATCCATCATGGTTAAACCATCTGCAATTGTTGATAATTTATCATCATCATCATCATCATCGTCAGAATCATAATCATCATCATTTTGTTCGTTTTGTTTATTGAAACTCGGTTGATCTTTCAGATTATTATCAGTTTCATCTTTATTTTCATTAAAAAATTCTTCAAATGGATCACCAATATGTCGTATTGTTATCTCAGGTGGTATATCTCCTAAATTAAAATCAATTACTTGTAAATTTGAAATAAATGAAGGTAATGTTAAATTATCAAATTGATCTTGTAAAAACCCTGCTATTGAATCATTAATTTGAGGATCAGATCGTAGTGTTTCCCAGTTGATGTCAAAAGACATTGATTGTAGTAGTCATGGAGATAATTTATTCAAAACAATCGCGCAAAAATAAACAAGTCAATACGCATGTTATCATTAAAGATTAGATTAGAGAAAATGGAAAATGAAGGCAATAAATAACATTCAAGTAATCTATATAACAAAACTTTCAGTATGTAAATATATTTCTTCAATATCAGTATTTCTTAAATCATTATTAAAAATTAATGATTGAAATTCTGATATTTTTTCACAGACTTGAGATTGCATTGATTCACTACCTGAACAAATAAAAATATTTCTAATTGATAAACTTTTTGTTAAATTTGATAAAATTTGAGTTATATTTGGTTTACCATAACTTATTGGAAACTCCTTAGTGAGATTATCCTTAAATGCCATTGATTTTTCAATATCACTAGAATCATCAAAAGTTTTTAATTCTTTTTCATATTCAACTACTCTTATATCTAATTGTAATTTTGAACCTAAAATTTCTTTACAACGTTTTAATTCATCTGAGATCCAATTTATATCTTTTTCGTTTCTAACAACCCAAATGAAATTTACACATTTTAATATATTTGATTTTTTTGATTGTTGAGATAAATAATTTAAAAATGGTATAGTTGCAGTTACTCCTGTACCAGACGCAACAAGTACAACTTTTTCAAATTTATTTACATCTCTAAAAGTTCCTCCATATGGACCATCAAGATAAACTTTTTGTTTCATGGATATAGTTTTATTAATAAGTTGATGTTGTGATTTTGTAATCCCACTTTTAGCAACAATTATAAATCTCATACCATCTTCAGTTTCATTACTACTACTTATTGAAAATGGATGATTATCTAAGATTCTCAAACCTTTAAATCTTAAATAACAATGTTGACCAGGTTTCCATTTATAATCTGAAACATTTTTTATAATAATTTCATAAGTATTATCATCAATTCTATTTAATTGAGCTTCTCTTGATCTTAAAAACATTGTATTTGGTTTAAAACATGTTTTAATTAATATTCTATAAATTATTTGAGTTGACCAAAAAGCTAAAGCTCCCCACATATAATTTTGAGCTCCTAAAGCATTATCAATATGCCAAATTAAACAACCAAAAAATGCAATTCCCATCATCCAATGTAAATGCCAAAATAATTCATATACTTTTTTTCTAATGAAAGCTTTTGATAAAATACATAATAAACCCATTAAAATTAAAGTTGGTATCCCACTAATATAATAACTATCTGATATAAAATATTCATTTAATAATGAAGAACCACCTTCTTGTAAAGTTTGATATATAAAGGGTATTGTATGAATAACTCCCAATATAAAAGCAGCTACTCCAACAAATTGATGAAATACATTTAATTTTTCATAACTTATACCTGTGAGTAATGAAATAATATTTGATTTACCACCTAAAACATATATAAATGGGACTAATGCAGTTGACATCATTCCTGCACGAACAGCTAATGGTGGTGAACCAAATCCAGCACATCCTCTATACCAAAAATGAGGAACAAAACAATAACATGCTAAATATAATGTTGAAATCATCATAAATAAACTAGATCCAATTGATTTTGGAAATGATAACCAAAATCTCAAATATTTTGGAGTTTGTTTATACCCAACAAATCTACAATATGATATTAAAACATCAATAGTTGAAACCACAGGATTAGTAGCTTTACCATCATAAACAGATGAAACATATCTGTAGTCTCTATATCTATAATAAATATTTTTTAAAAATGATATAAATATAATAACAACTCCAAAATATACTGTATATTTTGCATAATTTGATTGAGATTCCCAAGATACTTCACTTTGCAGTAGATGTTTATATTGCATATATTTTGGATCATTCATATCTGCCATACAATCTAGTCCTTCATATTCAACTGATCTTTTATTAAACATGATGATGTAAGGTACTGTTTGCAGAATTTAATTATTGATTGAATCTTATTTGTATAGTAGATCTGATACAGATTTAAGAAACTGCAATTTAATGTAACTATTCAAATATTTATTTTATGATTGTATATATGAGATCCAGCTCTATATATATGTTATTGAATGAAAATTGACTTTATCAATGGTTGTTAAGTATATTTTCTTCATTTTCTTGATTTGTATTGCAAATTTACTCAGGTTAAGATATTTGTATGGAATAATTTTTTTAGGCTAAAAAAACTTGCTCAAACTCAATTTGGAGGAATTTCAATTGACTCAAACAAAAACATTACTGATGAGTGGATTACTTTTTTCGAACGACCAAAAACTAAGTTCAAGCATGTTTCACCCATAATTAAATAATTAATGCTAGAGCTTTGGAGTGATTTGAAAACCGTTCCATCGTTCACTGACTAGATTAAAATGCTAGTACTTCACTTAAATGTTAGTTCTTTTTTTGTAGCTACCAATTAGCGTTTTAAAAACACGTGATCTGTAAGTCGACTAGCACTTTTTGTATGCTTTTGGTCATGTGAGTTTTATCTCGGAAATAAATTTCCATTCTCTAAGTACTTCGTATTTAATTGCCTAATAAAGTTGAGCAAATTACGAGCAAGATTGAGCAAATATTTAAAGTCAATTAATCTATTAAAAAATAAATTATACATCTATTACAACTTATTGAGCTGATTAATTCAACAAACAGGATCGGTTAGACCTACTGTCCAATTATAAGAACCTAATATTAGTATCATGATTGCAAAACTAATCAAAGCAGAAGTAGCACCATAAAAATAACTATGAATAGTTTTTAAACCAAATAATTCGGCTACGAATGTGCTAACTGTAGTCAATGCTCCACAAAATCCATCATCCAAACCAGTTAATATATGACATCCCATAATATGTGAATTGATTCTACCTTTACCATTTGGTAATTTTCCTCTTCCAATTAATGTAAAAATTGCTAACAACAAAGTACCTGAAACATTAGCAGTAAAAGTTCCCATTGGAAAATTTTTAACTTTTGAATTTACATATTTTGATAAATAAAATCGTAGTATAGCTCCAAAAGGTGCAAAAAACATTGAAAAAGTCCAATTTCTCCAGGATCCATTTGGTTTAGTCCCAAGTAGTACACAAGTGATGATTATTAAACAAACACCAATGATCATCAGTATCTTCTCTATAATTTTATATGTCTTGTGGTTAATCGAAGGTAAATAATTATCAATCAATGTCAGTATATGTTTTCCCATATGAAAGCCCATTATAGATAATCCAAATTCTGCTAGCATTACTGCAAAAAATTGCATTATTCCATAAGCTGCATTAGGATAATGATAATATTTTCCAATCTGAGTGTCAGCGGTTCTATTGAAAGCATCTAATATAACTGTTGAAAATGATGAAACAGTTCCACAGAATCCAGTTGTTATACCAGTATAAACTGGTATAGCTCCTTTATTTGGGAAAATATCATTATCTAATAATTTCATCCAAAATACACCACTATCAATAGCTAATCCCATTATTAAACATGCTGTAAAATTTGCCCATATTACACCAGATAAATAAGCTCCATTATATGTTGTTAATTGCATTAATCCTTTTCGAACTAAAACACCCCATATCGATCCATGAATGATGTTTAATATTATTGGACTATATTGTTCATATTTTGAAATGATTTCAAGTTTTGGTGGTATCTCTTCATAACCTTCACCTTTAAATCCTTCTGGTAATGCATCACCTACTGATTCAGCTTCGGCATCAGCTAATTCGCTTTGAATTGTTCTTCTTCTTTGTAATCTAGATTCTTCATAGCTAGCTCTTCTGTCCATTACAGTTCAAATGTAGGAACATTAGCAATAAATTAAATAATATCTTCTGGTTGTTGGTCTGACTAACTGAAAAAAAGATCTTATCACGGAATTGATAAACAAAAAAAAAAGAGCACAATATTAAACATTCACATTCATAATCAATTTATCCTTATTCACTTGATACTCATATATCACCTCAGTCACATATATACACATATATATAGAACAATCAAAAAATGCTACGACTAAATTCCAACATAATGATTCAACTACTACTATGCCTTTCAATATTTATCAACTTAATCAATGGTTCACCTACTTCTTCCTCAATTGAACCAATTCCAACCCCTTCATATTTAGTAGATATACTATCTTCCCAACCACAGTTTTCATATTTCCTACGTCATTTACAAAGAAATAGAATGATTCCTCAATTAAATCTTTTAGAAAATGTTACATTACTTGCTCCAATAAATCTGGCATTTGTTGAATCGCAAGGTCAAAATGAAAATATATTATCAAATGAAAATCAATTATTAAGATATGTGGTTAATCAAACATTAGTAGTTGAAAATATATCAGATACGTTAGTAATATATGATACTTTATATAAACCAAATGGTGAATCCTACCCTATAAAATTTCAAGTTAAAGATGATGATTATATTGTAGATGATATTTCAAGTATTGTTGAACCGGATTTACTTGCAAAACATCAAAGATCTTATGTACAAGGTATAGATCATTTATTACCAATTAAACCAAGTATATGTGAAGTTTTATTAAATTCAGAGAATAGTGAAATTTCAATAATTGGAGATTTGTTTAGACTGTTATTTCCTGATGAAGTTGTGATAGAGCGAAGGAAGAGGAAAAAGAAAAAAAAGAAGAAGAATAAACCAAAACTATTACCAAAGACATGTTCTGAATTTTTAGCAGGGGTTAAAACTTTAATAGTTCCTAGTGATGAAGTCTTACTTGATTCTTTGACTGAATTGCAGTTGAAATATTATTTGGCCAATTTAGCCGATGAGAGATATAAAACAACTGATGATGCAATCGATGAGATTGATAGAGACATAATTTTGTTATTAAAAGAATTAATGTTTGATCAGTATATTGGTGGAGTTAATGGCACCACAAGAAAATTAAAATCAACAACTGGTAAAAAATATCATTTTGAGTCAAAACATGGTAACCTCTCAATTGGAAATTTCACATCAAACACAAGTCATGTGTTATCAAATGGAATCATTCAAGTATTTAAAACTGGTGATCAATTTTTTCAAAATTTAAATATCCCCACAGTTGAAATGATTGCAAGAAAATCATTATATGCAGCTCATTATTCTAATTTTGTTAAAGAATTAAAATTTAGATCTTTGGAAGGCCTCATAGATGGATCCATTTCAAATCAAACAATTCTTATTGATGTTGATCTGAGAGATGATGTAAGTGAAGACGAAATTTATACTTCATCGTACAGTTTAAAACAAGAATTAATGTATCATTTTATTGATGAAACAGTAGATCTTTATAATTCATCTTATGTATTAAAAGATTCAAATTTATGTTTAAAAAAAAAATTAGGAGGTTGTTATAAAATAAAATTATCAAAATCAAAATCAAAGGGACATCTATCAGTATCAATTAATGATGGGAATGAAGTATTAGAAAGAATTTTAATAAATAATGGATCTCAAATTTTAATAATTAATGAAGAATTATCACCACCTGTAAATTTAAAACATTCATTAGGTGATTTAATGTCAACTGGAGCAATACCACGTCCAATAGATAATATCCAATTAGATAGAATTCAATGTTTAAAAACTTTAAACTATTTAAATGATTTTGATTTATATTCTTTAAAAGATAATGATAAGGGTTATACTATTTTTTTACCTTGTGGAACTAAAAGATCAAAATATCAAAAGGGATTATGGGATGAATTAGGTTTAGTATTGGATTATTTAGAGTCTAAACCTGAATTATTGAAGGATATAATGAAAGGAATGTTTTTAGAAAAAACTATTTACACAAATTATAATGAATCTGGAAGTTTCAATAGTTTAACTGGTGCCAAAACTGAAATAACTGGTTCAATTTTAAATGATCATTATAATAACATTAAAATTAATAATGATGTTTCATTTAATTTACCTTTAAATTCAGATGTATTATTTAATCAAGGAGTAATTCATGTTATAAATGAAGTTTTATTACCTAAAAATTTTCATATACCAATTGAAGAATTAATTAAAACAACCAATGATCCAAATTTTTCCAGTTACTCAATTACAAATTTATTAAAAATGTATCCAAAAATTCAAAATTCATTATTTGGTAAACATCCATATTCATTAATTATCCCACAACCAGAATCTTTAAAAAATTTTAATATAACACCTTCATTTGAAGAATTATTTGAATTTTTAGAATTTCATTTAATACCAAATGAAGAAGTTGGAAAATTATTAGATTGTGTTTATGGATATGATACAAATGAAGAAATTATAAGAACAAATTATACTAAAGGTGGATTAACATGTAGACATAAATCAGATAAAACCATTTTACTAGCTTTATATAAATTCAATAATACAGATGAAGTTGAAGTTTTTGGATATAATAAAGATCAAGAAGTTAAATTATTATCTCATGGATGTACTTCACCTTATTATGATGATGTAAAAAACATTTCATGTGTTTTCCTAGTAGATAAACCTTTAAATTTAGATTGGTTTAAAGATCATAAAGATGATAATTTTTTACATATACATTTAGGTATAGTAAGTGTTGGATTTGGAGTAATATTAGGTTTAATTATGGTTGGTGGAGTAATGGTTGGATTAATATTTTGTATTGGTGGAAAAAAGAAATCAAATCATCATCATCCATATTTAACCAAGATAAATGATGATGATGATAGTTTACCAAGAATAGATTCTGGATTTATGAGTGTTTTAACTGATGAAGATGATTATTTACCATATGATAGAGGTTATGAAACTGATGTTGATGTTTTAAGAACCGAAACTGATGCTTTATTACCGTATCATATGAAACGTAAGAAAAAATTAAGACCAAATAATTTTGGATCAATAAAAGTTGATAATAATGGTAATACTTTACCTCGTGATATTGGAAATTTTAAAAAAAATTTAACAAGAGAAAGAAATTTACCAGGAGTATCACAATTTTAGATGTTTACCAAGTGTTTCTTAATTGAAGATGTTTATAGATGAAACATTAATAATTTAATACATATTTAAGGTCCGAAGATCTCTTAGTTTCTGATTTTTGTACAATAAACTTTTTGAAAAAATATCGTGAAGAAAATTTCACAAATAGAAAATTCTAATTTCTAAAACAAACATCAACTATTATTGAAGAACTTACCAAAATCATGTCGGAGGAACAGCACCAACAGCATCATCAGCAGCAAGAGCCAACACAAGCAGTTCTATACGGAGGAATAATTGCAACAAACAAAAATAATAATGAACCAACATTAGAACAATTACAACAAGAAAGAGAAAGATTAAAAAATATTGATGCTCAATTAGATAAACAAGTTAATATGGAAGAAGAAGAAGGAGAATTTGATAATTCAACTCAATCATTTTTACCACAATCAACTATGGATTTTCAATTACCTCCTCATCAAGCTCCACAACCATTACAACAACAACAACAATATTCATCATCTGATTCTCAATCACAACAATCTCAATCACAAGATCTGAATACACAACAACAATTTTTACAACAACAAAACTCACAAAATCAACAACAACCACATCCTCAACAACAAGATTCATCAATACCTGGAACTTTAACTGATGCAGAAAGACGAGACCAAGATTCAAGATCAATATATATAGGAAATGTAGATTATTTATCAACACCATTAGAATTACAACAACATTTTTCATCAGCTGGAATAGTAAATAGAGTAACAATATTAATGAATAAATTAACTGGTCAACCAAAGGGATTTGCATATTTAGAATTTAATGATATTGATGGTGTCAACAAGGCAGTTGCAACTTTAGATGGTTCAATGTTTAGAGAAAGAGAATTAAAAGTTATGGCTAAAAGAACTAATATACCTGGTATAAGTATTCCAAGAGGTAATTTAAGAGGAAGAGGTAGAGGAGGATTTAGGGGTGGTAGAGGAGCATTCAGAGGTGGAAGAGGTGGTGGTGGTTTCAGAGGTGGAAGATGTGGTTATCGTGGTAGTAATCCAAGATTTAACCCATATTGAAAAGAATATGTTTTGTATTATTAGTATTTAATAAGAATTTTGATTCATGTTAATCATTTCAGTTTGATAATCAAAGGAATGATATTTGAAAAGTTAAAATAAATAATTGTAGATTGATCTCTATTGATAAACATACCCTATTGAGTATCTTCATAATTTGTCTTTTTAGTTAATTCAGATAATTCAATTTTATTATCATTAGCTAAACCTTCAATAACACCATCTAAATCTTGTTTTCTCATATCTTGTTGTAATTTATATTTACATTCAAAACTTGTAATTTCAATTTCTAATCCAACAATATTTTTTTGCATAATTTTTAAATAATTTTCAGGAGCTTCATTAACTTTCCATTTTTTTTGATTTGTTGGTTTTTTACCTTCTTCTTGATCAGCTAATAAATTTAATTGATTTCTTACAAATTCAAAATCATCTATTATTTTTGAAATACCATGAATATGAACACTTGCAAAATCCCATGTAGGTACAACTTTATGAGTTTCTTGTTTTGTGGGGTAATATTCTGGTGTTATATATGAATTTATAGATTGAAATATGACAACAACATTATCATTTGATTTTAATGAAGGAATTTGATGATTTGATTTTGCTATATGTGCTAATAATTTTTTTGATCCACCGGATTCATCAATTTTTAAAACAAATGGTATATGATTTGCTATAATTGAACCTTCATCTATTGTTATTATTGTAGCTAATGGGTAATTTTCAATTAGGTATTCTACTTCTTCCCAATTTTCTTTTAAATTCTTTTTCGGAATATACATTGATGATTAAATTGTGAATAGAGTGAATTGAATGAAGATGAAAAAGTAAGAAGTAAGAATTAAAATAAAAATTTATGAGACATAGACCAAATATTATAATAAACGAATCATATTGTTTTTGATTACTCATATAATATAATATTTATCAGACTAGATCTATTATATTATGGAATAGTCTAAATATCATAACTCTTTCTTATCTTTATCTTTCACTAAGTTCATAGCGTTTAATTCTAAATTAGGAATTATGGTGCGATTTTTTAGTTTGTTCTATTTTAAGTATGAATTACGAAGATTGTTAAAACTAAGGGAGTTAACACGGCTAAGCACGAGTCAAACTTCTGAGATCACTTTAATGCAAAGAACGTTTATTAATAATCTAATTATAAACCCATGTCTAATAAGTAATAACAGCATATGAAGCCAATATAGCTAAAATAAATGAAAATGAAACAACAAAATATAACCAAATTTTATAACCCCAATTAATTTGTGATTGACATAATTTTAAATAAAATAAACATGGTAATATAATACAAATTATAAAACAAATTGAAGCACCTAATATACCAATAATTTTTTCAAATTCTGGAAATAAAATAGCTAAAATGACAAATATTAAATTAACTCCAATTCTTATTATGAATTTTATTACTGATTTCAATGTATTTATGAAATTTGATTTTGTTAATTTATTTACTCCAGTTAATACATCTAATGAAGAAATTATTGGTTTTGCATTTAATGGAGTTTTAGCTAATGGTATAATACAAATTAATGCTTTAATTAGTGGGTAACACCAATTAGGATAACCTACTGTATCTAACAAATTATTTGTAATTTCATTATTACATTTGAAACCAAACATCAAAAAACCAATTATTGCCATTGAACAATCTGTTAATAAAGTTATAAAATATGTAAATTTTAAAGAATTTGTAAACTTTTGAGGATGTCTCATATCACTTTTTAGATTGGGAAAAATTGCATGTCCACCAAATGGTGCCATTAATATTCCAATAGCTAATAATAAACTCTTAAAATTTTGAGGGTACAAATTTGTTGGCATTATTTCAATTAATGAACCTGGTGATGTACTCTTTAAAAATCCACAAATTGTTACTATTAATGTAATTGATATAGTTGAAATTATTCCTAATAATGAAAAAATTGATAATACAGGTAATGGTAAAAAAGTAAAAGGAGTTAATATGAAGAAAGTAATAATTTTGTTAGTTGTATTATTATCAGTAACAACTCCCAAAGATGAATCACTAAATAAAATAATTAATGCTACACCAGCTCCAATTAAATCAATTGAAAAAAGGAGTGATATAATTAATTTTGCAGTTGATCCATAAGCTGCATATCCTAAATCTGCATAAGTCATTATTGTATCATCAGTATCCATTGATTTTGATAATAATGTAGCAGTCCAATAAGTTGTAATACCACATATAATTAAAATTGGTAATCCCAAAATCCATCCTGCTTTCATTAATCCCACAGGTAATGCTAATAATCCAACTCCTATCAATACATTAACAGAATTAAAAACAGTTTGTGGTACAGTTGATTGACCTGCCAACACGGTAACTATATTACCATCAGAATCTTCAATTTTTTTTAAAGTTATAATACTTGGAGTTATTGAAAAATTACTTTTTAAACTTGAAAAAGATAATTGAGGATGAATTTTTTTACCAATAGGTATACCTTGGCTACTGTTATTATTATTAAAATTATATTCTGAACCTCTTCTTGATTTTGAATCATTTATAGCATTTACAATATCATCATGATAAAAAACATCATTATTACTTGGTGAAATAATTGAATCAATTTCATTCATTGGATTATTCATAAATAATTGATTTCTTGAATGTAAATCATTTATAACTGTACTTAATCTTTCACCGCGATATGATGGAATCATTAATTCAGGATCAAAAGTTTCATCTTCTTCACCAATTCCTCCATTTCCATTTCTTGAAGGACTTGCACCACCATTTTCTACAAAAAAACTTCTCTTTTTATGAATATCATTATCTATTTTAGAAGCAGCAAATGATTGAGCTCTTGTAAAAGAATTTGCAAAATTTTGAAAAGAATTTGGACCTTTAAATGAACCAATTTTTGAAGAATCTAGAAAATAATTTGATGGCCTTCTTGATGATAATAATGAGGTAGATTCATCATTCTCTTGATTCATTTCTTAGTTGGTAGAAGAAAATGAAAGTTAAATGATCAGATGATTGACATTTCTGTAAATTTCTTAAATAATTAACTGAAAATTGATAAGAGAAAAACAAACAATAATAAATTTTCGATTTAAGTAATGTTACATAATGGAAGAATTGTTCACGTCGATGGAAGTAAGTGTCGGGGAGGGTTAATAGGAGAGTTGACTGAATCACAACCAGTTATAAACATACGGTAAGCTAAAAGATTGATCATATCATCCCTTCTATTACCCCTTGAATCAATGTATCCCTAGTTGAAAGCTTATCTTTGTTGTTCCTTTTTGACAGATCTCTTCAAATCTTAAAAATAGTCTAAAACGCGATCGTAAAAATAATTTCCTAATTCAGTAAGTGTAAGCCGCATTTACATGTAAATAATCATCTCAAACTTATTATCATTATTAAAACCACTATTAACATGCAATTACTACTCTATCTACTTTCTATATATCTATTGTATTAATATCATCAACTTTAACAAAATTAGTAACTTCTTTACTAGACTTTTTACCAAAAAATGGACTATCAGAATAAATATCTAAATTTTTTAAAATTCTTATTTGGGGATCACAATAACTTAATGCAACTAATAAAGTATAATAAGCATCATTACCAGCATTATGTAAATAACTATAAGGAATATTTAATAATCTTAAACATCCCCATAATGATCCACCATTTGATCTACCTATTTGATGTAATTGTAAAGTATCTATTATTTTTAAGTTGTGAGGTAAACTTATACCTAAATGTTTAAAATATTTAAATTCTGAATTTATTGAATGACCAACCATTATACCATTTAGTTTGAATAGATACTTTTGTATAATTTTATTTACAAAAGCTATTGCTAATTTTTCATTCATTATTAATGATGTACCATTCATATATTTATCTTTATGATCTGGTACATATTTATGACTTCTCTTGTGGATATTTTCTTCTATTATTATGTGGTATGTAATTATTTGAGGTATTATTGTGGTTGTTGTTGATTGTAATATAGCTATTCCTATTTCTGTAATTTTAGAATGATCAAATTCATAAGATTCACAATCTATTGCAACTAATGGATGAAGCTCTTTAATATAATTTGTTGATTTTTCAAGTAATTCTTTTGATTTTAATTCTGAACCTTCTTTAAATTTAAAATGATTACTTTGTAAATATTCATCTTTTGATATTCTTTCATTATTTAATACTTTATTTTTTAATTGTTGTAATTCATTTGATATTTTTACAGGTTCAGGTTTTTCATGTATTGGAAATTTATGATTTGAATCATATAATGTAGGAAGTGAAAAACTTGGTTTTCTAATTGATTTATTGACCTTATTATAACTTGGTCTACGAGGTAGTGTTGACATAAACCTTCGTATCATTAATTTGTTCTGTTATACACTTGAAATTTCTACTTCAAAAGAGACAAAATATAAACTAATCTTTATCACTTTTTACAACCAACAAATGATTAATGAAGATGTTGAAATTTTAAAAAATTATCCATCATTAGATCAACTTAAGGACATTTTACAGAGGTACCCATCACCTTCATTTTCAATAATTAGTGCTTTATTAAATTATACAATTCCTCAAATTTATAAATCTTTACCAAATGAGTTGCAACAAATTATAAATTCAAAATTTCAAACATTAATTGGATTTGGAAACTTGATAAGTATAATATCAAATTTAAAAAATGCAGTGAACTCTCAAAATGAATTGATTTTATTTATGAATATCTTACAAGATGTTGTTAATGATCATTTGTTATCAAATTTATTAAAATCAAATAAACAAGTAGAAATAAGAGAAATTGATAAATTACTTTTCAAAGGTCAATTGTTATCAGTTGTCAATGAAATTGTATTACAGAATAATATAGAGATAGTGAATCCTTATTTAAAATCTACTGAATCATATTTCAAGTATCTTATAAATTCAGTGCTTAAACTATACACATCATCTATCGAAGTTCCAGAAGTATTTATTCATTCCATTTTAAATTTCAGTAAACCATCATTCAATTTATTCTTTCAAACATTTTTCCAAATTCAGAACTGGGATTACTTTCTAAGCACATTCGATAATCTAAAATCATTTCAGAAAAAGGAAATAATCAAAAAGTTTTATACAATCTATTTAATAACAATTGTAAAAGAAAACAATATAATACCACTATTTAATATCCTAGGATTTACAAATATATATATTGATGAAAATTTATGTGAAAATGCAGTTCGATCATCAAATCGTACATTATTACAACTAATATCAATTATACTTACAAAAAATCCTAAAATTGAAAATATAACTCTTTCTCAAATTAAAAAATGGTCTGATCCAATATATATAAAAAATGAACCAATATCAATCCAAGAATCAAGAACATTTTTCATTGCTCAATTATTAGCTTACCAACGGAGTAGTGAATTTGTTAAGGAATTAACTAAGAATAAAATATGTTTAGAAGCAATAAGTAATAGATTATCATCATTTTCAAATAATGTAAAGGCATTAGGTGTAATATTGGCTGATTATATTTGTGAATTAAATGGTGATGAAAAAATTTTTAAATCTACTAATGTTTCAAATGATTTTGTTAATTTAATAAAAGATCCAATACCAGTTGAAAATATGTTGACTGAAGAAGCTTGGAGTTTGCTTAGTTCTGAGAAACCAGAATCAAATAACACTCCCACGAAACCTTCAACTCCAGATCAATTAATAGTACAAGACATAATCCAAGAAGATAATTCAGATGATGAAGATGGTTCATTACCTCAAAAATCTAAAATTCCAGATCCTATATATATCAAGGATTTACTTGAATACCTCAACGTAGATACAAAAAATTCACAAGCTTATGAAATGAGAAGATCAGCATTAAACAATGGTCCTACATTATTAAGACAAAAATTTCGAATGGGAAATGAAGTTGAATTTTATTCAAAAGATCTTTTGAGTAATTTAATTGGGTTAGATAATTTTTTTAATGATTCTGATTTTCAAGATTTGAAATTAGTAAATTTAGTAGCTATTATTGTTACAAACCCTCAAATAACTTTTTATTTCTTTGAGTTATTATTAACTGGTGATTATTCTTTACAACAACGTTTGATGATATTATCTGCAACTTCATTAGCTGCGAGAGAATTAAGAGGATTAAAAGATGATATAATTGTAAATTCATATACTAAAAAGGAATTTGCAACTAAAAAATTACCAACAAATTTACATAATAAATATATGCAGCATGAAACAAACTACCTAAATCAAATTGAAAATAATTTACAAAATTCATTAATGGAGAAACCATCAATTCAAGCACGAGATGAAATATTAGGTAAAGGTAAGCTAGTTAGAATATCAAAATCATTAACTAAAAAATCAAACAATGAATTAGAAACAAATACAAAACCAATAATCCCAAATTTTTTTAAAATTATAGGAACTAATTTCTTTTTCCCCTTATTAAATGTATGGTATGAATCAGGTATAATAGATATAGGACATTATTCAACAATATTTATAGCACATTATTTAAAGACATTAACATTGTTAATTCATGTATCTTATCCATCATCTACTCAATTAAATGATATGATAAAAGAATATTTATTATTAAGTTGTATAATAATCAAGAAAATTTCCCCCGAAGAAATTCAAGTATTAGAAAGTATAATAACTGGTATTTTATTAATTTTTGATATTAACGAAGGTGAATATCTTATAAGAAATTATGATAATGAAATTTTATTAATTACGACTTGGTTAAGTAATATATGGGAATCAATAATTGATGATAAAATTAAAAGTTTAGCTGCTGGTTTATTATTAAAATTACAAGATGTTACTACTAAATTTGAAAGAACTTTAATTGATCAAAATCAAGGTCTATATTAAGAATCTATTTACATATCTATTTACAGATTATCTAGCTTTACCTTTTCCTGCTTTAATTACAAGTACATCACCATCTTCAACAATATATTTTTTTCCCATTTTAAATTGCTTTCCAGAAGATTTTAATCTCATTTCATCGAATTTTTCAATTTTTTCTAAATCTTCCCATTTATATACAATTGAATTAATAAATGATTTTTGTAAATCAGTATGTATTAATCCAGCAGCTTCTGGTGCAGTACTACCTTTACGAATAGTCCATTGTCTTGATTCTATATCTCCACATGTATAAAATGAAATTAAATTAAGTGAATTTCTCATTGATTCTATAACTGATGGAATTATTGAATTATTAGATTCATCGGTCGAGTTTTCAATTTGTTCATGTTCATATTCTGCACTAAACATTATTAATTTATCATTTTTTGAATGTTCATTAATCCATTTTTCAACATCACTCCAAAATTGATTTTTTTGATTTAGGTACTCTTCTTTTGAAACATTTAATAAATATACTGTTGGTTTTGCAGTTAATAAATTTAAAGTATTAATAAATTCAATTTCTTCATCATTCCAATCACCATTAATAATCTTGACTCCATTATATAAAGAATCACTCAACTCTTCAAGAATTTTCAAATTTTTCTCTTCATGATTCATATTTGGTTTTTTTAAATTCTTTTTACTTTTTTCAATTTCAATTTCAATAAATTCTAAATCTTTTAAAATTAATTCATCATTAACTATCACTAAATCTCTAATAGGATCAACTTTATTTTTTTCAATATGTATAATTTCATCATTAACAAATCCTCTTACAATTTGTAAAATTCCATCAACTTGTCTAATATCATTTAAAAATTTATTACCTAATCCAGCACCGGAACTTGAATTTTTTGTTAATCCAGCAATATCCCAAATTGTTAAATTTGTTGGAATTTCCTTTTGTGAGTTATAAATCTTAGCATAATGTTCAAGCTTTGTCAGTGGTACTTGAATTATTGATTTTGTTGGTTCTATAGTTGCAAAAGGATAATTTGCTGGATTTCCTAAATTTGATTTTGTTATAGATTGGAAAAAAGTTGATTTTCCAACATTTGCTAATCCAACTAATCCAATTGATAAATTATTTGATGGTCTACCTAGATACTTTGTTGATACGGTAACTGATTTATTAGATGGTGGTTTTAGTCGTATTAAATTTGTTGTAAAATTTCTTATTATTTGCATTACTTGTAAAACATGATTTTTTTCAAGTCTTTCATATTTTAAGGTGATGATTTTACTCGTGATGATACAAAATCAATCATTTTATGTACACATTGAATACCGTGAGCTTGATCACACCTAAAAAGTCCAATTAAAAGCATTAGACCCATCAGATACAAAAATACATTCATTAGTATTAGTGAGAGGTTATCTTTTTGAAATATAATCAAACAGGTAGAACTTAATGATTTCTTGAACGCACAGAGAAAAGGCAGTTGTTTACTTACCAATATTGCATGATTTTAAATTGTACGCTGCTAAAACGATTTGCTGACAATCGCCCAAATATTGAATTTTTGCTCTTTAACTAATTGTTAACTAGAAACAAATCCTAAAAAATTTGAATAATCAATTCGAATCACGTAAAATTTTGCTGTTGATTGGAGGGAACATCAAGAATCAGTTAAATTTACTAAAATCAATTCACATCAGAGCCATGTCCATACGGTCGCACTTGCTGTTACAATTATAAATAAATAATTTTAATTTAAACGACTATATAAATTTTATGATAAATCAAAAGCAAATTTAGATTTTTGTCTAACTCTTTTCCCATAAATATAAAATAAGAACGGTACAGGAATCATGATTGCACCAAGACAACCAAGTAAAGTTGATGCCCATTGAATACCCAAGTTTACAAACATTTGTCTCGAAAATCTAAAATTTTTTGTTAGTAAATAGTTTATAATAAATGCAAAATTTCTGAACTTTGTAAAGTTTGTTACACAAAGCCAGGTTTCAAACATGTTTCAGAAAACTGTTTTAACACTTTCATCAACACTATCACATGACGATGATGATGAACTAGATTACATACAAAGGAAATGCACTGGCCATTGCCGACCTCATGAAAGTGTTAGCTGCCAAGGCTGAAGCAGCATATAACAAGTAGCAATCAATAATATAGTTGAAACAAGGGAGGAAAATCAACATCAATCCTGCTCCAATAAATGAAACACCAATAACAGGAGCCCAATAATTGGTTTTATAATTACCCGTCCAACCAACCCAGAACATACCAATGACGAAAACAAAACCACCAATAATCATTGGTGGCAAACGTTCTTCTGGAACAATTTTACCACCATTTTCAACAGTTTTTTTGTTATATCTTATTTCAAAAAGTATAAGAATTACTCCCCCGATGGCAGTACCAATTAACATCGATATATATGGTAATTCAGATACACCTGGTATCCACTCATATTTCGTAGTAAAAATTAATGGAATAGCAGTTAAAAACAAATAAAGCATCCCATAAATAAAAGAATTGTATAAACTAATCAAAAATAAAATAGGTTCTTGAAATAACATAATCATTGGTCTAGTTATATTTTTTTCAACAATTTCTTTAATACTTAAATTGATTTCCTCATGAGGTGCATATATAGCCCAATTACCTGTCCTTCTTCTTAATTCTTCTGCTCTTTTCTTTAATATGATTGGATGATGAGTTTCTTCTAATAAAAAGCAACTAGAAATAAAACTTGCAGCACCGATTATACCAATGATATAAGACGTCCATCTCCATCCTAAATATGATTTTGCAATAAATGCACCCATAACAGGACCAATCATTGGTCCACCAAAAAGGACCATTGCAAACAATGTGATTGCTGTACCTCTTGATCGATTATCAAACATATCCGCCATAGCTGCAGGTGCTACTACTAACGGTGCAGCACCTATAAATCCTCCAAAAAACCTACATATCATAATAGTTTGAATATCTTTCGCCGTTGCAACTGCAAAAGCAAATAGTGTAAAACCTAATGTACTTGGGATTAAAACAATTTTTCTTCCAAATAATTCTGATAAAGGTCCATAAATAACTGGACCAGCAGCAAATCCAAAAACATAAAGTGAAGTAGTCAAAGCTGCTACTGGCCATCCTATATGATAATTTTCCATTAATGAAGGTGCTGATGCAGAAAACATCGCTGAACCCACTGCGATACAAAACGCACTAAATCCTGCCACTGCCGTATATAATATTTTCGTTCGTAATGGCCAATTAAAAGGATGTGTTTCATCATCTGCTCCATCAAATTGAACTACATATGGATCTCTCGAACCTAAATGTTTCGGATACGGTCTACCATTACCCATTGGAGGTAAAGAAGTAGATAAATTTGATGCCTCACGAATCAATTTATCATATCCTGTTGTATTTCTCGAAGCTTTTCTTGATAAGTTAATGCTTGATTCAACAATTGAAACTTCATCATTCGCTGTATCATATCTAGAAAGTCCAGTCATATTTGTATTTTGTCTAATATTACTTGGTGTTAAATGAGTTGGATCTGATTCTTCATTTCCTATACTTTTTTCCTCGTCGTTAAGGTTTCTTTGATTGCCAAAATAAGCTGTAGGCTCTGTAGCCGCATCTTCTGTTATATCAATTGTTTTGTCATTTTGTACTTGATCTCGAATTGTTGATGATGAGCCATCTTCAGCGGTGGACGGAGCGGACATGATTTATTGAATAATGTGAAGCAAATTTAATGTTTTTTTAGGAACTGGGACAATTTTATAAAGAATGGTGTAAGTATTATTATTTCTATTGAATAGTTTAAAGCAAATTTAGTCTTTTTCTAGAGACCAGGACAATTTTATAAGGAATGAAGTATTTTAAATCTAATTCATTTTAGTCTTTAGTTATTGTTTACGATGGAAAGTAGGGTAAAAATTTTTATTGGTTTTGTTGCTACAATCGGCAATTAATTAGAAATTTAATAACATTACACAAAAGATGATTTCGGTTTTAATGAAGTCAACATCAATTGGTACTTAATTTTTCAGTTCATGTTATGATGCTCTACATTCGGATAATAAAGGCAATGAAATTAATATGTTTTATAGTTCAATCTATGGCTTTTTTTAACGGTTACGTAAAACTTCGGGTAACCCAAAATTAACCGAAAATCAAGCGTGAGGCTGGACATTTTTTTTTTTCTAGACTGTTTTATTTTAAAAAATAGAACATCGAGTTTTTCACTTGTCTTAAAAGAAAGCTAGCATTTTCCATCTAACCAATTAGAATTTTTGACTCTTTGTCAAAATTAATTGATGATTCATTAGCAAGTTAGATCACTGATCTATTCAACCATTAATGATAGAAACGACAATTGCATAGGCTGCAGATTGAGAACTATGTTTATCATTCAAATGTTGCGTTAGTTAAAGCTTGAGGTTAATCACCCAGCTTCTACAAGCTAGACAAGTGTTTGGAACTCAGTTGAATCAGATTTGCTCTATCGGATCCAAAAACACTTTAAATCGGATGATAGACAACTTCTGGCCAAATCCGTCGGTACGGATTTAATCGGATTTATTTATTTAAAACTTTATCTCCACGTAGATCTAAATTTTAACAAAGCCGATAAGTGGGACAAAGTCGATCATAAAATTTGTGAAATTAATTCAACCTTTCTTTGACTCTAATACCTATTAGACTTTATGTAAACATGTAGCAAACCATTATAGAGTTGAGTAATACTATGGATCTGCAGTCTGAGACTTCATGATGGAGAGTATTTTATTTAAATGTTTGGAGTAGTCTTTGTGTAAGTTGTATTTGAAACAATGACACAAAAAGCTATTTGTTTTAGAATATATAAACAAATATATAAACATGCTCGAGTATTATATAAATCTCATTCAAAAATCAAACTATTCTGTCTATTTATCTATTTAAGAGCAAATTTCGATTTTGCTCTAATTCTATTACCATATTTATAAAAAAGGAATGGAAATGGTATCATAATTAAACCGAAACATCCAATCAAAGTTGAAGCCCATTTAATAGTCAAGTTTGTATACATCTGTTTAATCACAATTGGAAAAATTCCTCCCACAGCTGAACGTATGAATGTATTACCAGCTAGGGCACTTGCCGCCACATATAGATAGCAATCTAGGATATAATTCATACTAGGAAGGAAAATCAAGATCAAGCCATTCCCTACGAAGGAAAGCCCAATTATTGGTACCATAAAATGAATTTTATCTGGAAAATCTCCTGTCCATCCCATCCAAAACACTCCAATGACAAAAGTAAAAGCACCTATCATCATAGGTAAACATCTATTCTCTGGTATAACTTTTCCACCAAGACCAGCAGCATCAGCTTTTTTATTACTATGTATCTCAAAATAAACTATTATTACCCCAGCAGAAAGAATTCCAATTAAAAGTGACAAATATGGTAGCTCAGCAACACCTTGTTTCCAACCATATCTACCTTCAAATATTAAAGGAATAGCAGTTAATAAAGCATATAAAATACCATAAACAAATGCATTATAGATACTCACAATAAAAATTATTGGTTCTGTGAATAATAATTTTAAAGGTCTTAAAATATTATTTTGAAAAATTTCTTTTAAACTTAATGAAATTTCTTCATGTGGTGCAAATATTCCCCAATTACCTGTTTTTCTTCTTAATATTTCTGCTTTTCTTACCAAAATTACTGGATGATGAGTTTCTTCTAATAAAATAACGGTACTCAATAAAGCCAAACAACCAACCAATGCAGAAATATAAGATAACCATCTATATCCCATATGTTCATTTATAGCAATAAATCCACCAATTACTGGTGCCAATGCAGGAGCACTAAACAAAATTGATACTAAACCACCAATTACCATTCCTCTAACTCTAGCTGGATATAAATCAACTAGAATAGCAGGTCCAACAACAAATGGAGCAGATCCAATACATCCAGCGAAAAATCTACATATCATTATAGTTTGAATATCTTTAGCAGTAGCTACAGCAAATGAAAAACAAACAAATCCAAAATTTGAAACAATCATAACCATTCTTCTACCAAATAATTCAGATAATGGTCCATAAACAACTGGCCCAGCAGCAAATCCAAAAACAAATAAAGAAGTACCTAAAGCAGTCACTACTGAACCAACATGATATATTTCAGACACTTGTTTAGCTCCTTGTGAGAATAATGCTGACCCTAGTGAGACAGAAAGAGAGGATATAGCAATGGGTATACTGAATATGATTTTTTTACTTAATGAATAGTTATGAGGATGTAAAGGATCATTTGCTCCATTATATGAAACACAATATGGTGTTCTATCTGGTAACATTGGAGGAAATTCTTTTTCAAATCCCATTGTTAAATCTTCATCTTGATAATTCTTTTTATGTAATAACAGATTTGTATTTGTGATTCGTCTTGATAATTCTCTTGATAATACTGCATCGGATTCATGAAGTGATAATTCATCTCCTCCAATTGGAACATAATCAACATTTGGAGCATAATCAACTTCGAGACGAGGAGCAAACGCAGCGTCTCTTTCTAAATCTATACCTTCAAATTCTTTAGGATCATGTAATTCGTCACTATCAAAGGTGGAGGATGTGTTGATGTACCCCAAGTTTGAAGGATTTAATGTATTATTTTGGTTTTCATGAGGAACATTGAAATTCTCAACTTTATTTTCTCCATTCGTCGAGGATATAGTGTTATTAGTCATTTTACAAAAGTTTCTTGCTTGACTGAAGTAGGTGTGAAAATACTCTAGCCGCTAAAAAGCTAATGAACCCCGCGTTGATTGATTATGTTACAACTTGTAAAAGTAGTAAGTCTTATGTTTGTTTCTGATGAAAGGTTGAGGAAATTTGTAATTTTGAATTGAGACGATGTGGTGAACTATATCTACTGATAGTTGATTTGGTATTTATGATAAACCTCATTAGTCATCATAATTTTTTTTACATTTTGGAAACAATTAAATATCAATAATAAAATATTTTATTAAATTATACTTAAATATTTAAGTTCGGATTTATTCATTTTCTCATGGAAAAAATATCAAGAAAAAAAAATAAATTTTTTTTACGAATTAAAAAATTGTAAAAGCCATTTAATACATTCGATCAGTTTTTAAATTGACTTTAAACGATCAGACTACCTACCGTTTGTGCATCCAACCCGTGAATAAAATGACTGATATGTTTGGTGGTACGCCGGTGCGTAATATCTTGACATGAATCTATCTTGTAATGGGCTTACATACGGAGTAAAACAGATTTGTTTACAAGCGCTGAGATTAAGAGTTTATGCATGTGCCAAACCTTAGTCCCTGAAATCAAGCGTTTTCATCTGAAAAGAATCGCTCAACAAACACTATACCCTTATTTTCTTCTAACAAGAGACTAACACGTCTATAGATTTCGTATTTTGACAAGCAGAACATTCTAAATAGAGATTTTACAATGAGACAGGCAACGACTCATATAAAGTATTTGCTCAAAATAACGGAGATATTATAAGGTAAACCCGAATATGTATGACAAAACTTTAACAACTTTTGATTTATTTACGAATTAGTAATCGTAAAAATCACTTCAATATATGAAAAATTGATGTAAATGAGCAAGTTAAAGTACTTCAATTGTACGGATCCGACTTGAGGGCTTATTATTGATTCGTTTAATGGCATCTAACTCCATTTCATCACCAATTATGATTTATTCTTTAGGAGTAAGGAAAAAGTGGTCATGACCATTTTTTTGAGACTTGAGGTACGTGAAAGCTCACTATTCTAATCAAGCCTGAATATTTAACGTTGTTTTATCAACCGAGTTTGATATCAATTCTAACCTAAATTTTCTTATCAGCATTTTGCGTTTTGAGAAATTTGTAATTTAAAAAATATGACCCAAACAGTGTCAGTCTTCAAAAATCAAAAAAGGTGAAAGCTCATATTTATGAAATAAGTGTTTAATACTCGAAATGTAACCTTTTCCTGGTATCATTGTTAAATTCGTTTATAAATCTGGTTTATTCAGATGTCGTATATGCTATATGTTTGAGCTGAGTGATGAACAGTTTTTACTGCTTAGTTGGCTAGATTTCTCTTAAGTATTTCATGAAGACAAATGTGACAGCTTTCAAAGCTCTTGCCATTATCTATGCAAATTATGTTGTGTCATAGTTACAAGGGCTGAGGAATTAGCACTAAGTTGTGTAATCACCTCGTGTTTTTTCTCTCACCAACTGTGTTAAATCTGGCACATTATGTTAATGTTATGTTCAATAAATAGTTGTCCTTAAATAATTAATTCTTCAATAAATCATTAAAAGTGTCTCAATCAAAATTTAGTTTTGCAAAATGAAAACCTAGTGAGAGATGATACCATTTAATAACCAAAGAACAAAATTATTTTGGAAATGCCGGAGTCTTCTTCAGACTTGGAACAGTTTTAGTATGACGAAAATCCTGAGTCCCCATCTGACAAAAGTTGCTCAATTTAAATAATAGAGAGAATTTAAGATAAAAATAACTTAGGGCAAAAAACCCTTTTAAATCAAAATTCAGTTTCATCGATCCGCATGAAAAAGATTTACAATACATTGTCGATCACATATTAATGATCGTCGTTCTTAAGGTTGAACCCTACATTCCACACATTAAGCAATACAGTGCCATGCGATTTCAACATTATTACTTTAAAAAAGAAAAAGAAATTTTGGACCGGTAAAACTAGCAAGAGAAGATGGCGTTACTATATAAAACTTTTCAGTTGAATTCAAACGTTTCAGCAAATCAAGTATGAGGTAAATCTTGATGTCACTGTATAAATGATCTTCGTTTCATTTGAAAATATTTTTTCTTGAAATTATGAACAGCGAATGTGTTGGTTAAGGTATTATTTAGCAGCTTAGATCTACATTTTTGTAAATTTTTTATTCTTTAGCCTTTTGCTGTTAAGGCTCGTTTGTTTAATGATTCAATAGGAGTCGATGACTATATGCAAATTTGGTCGCAGTCATTATAACGAATACTATATGTGGCTATGATGAAACTTTACTATGGGTAAAATAAATTCGAGACATGCAAAAAATATACATGAAATGAATCATGAATTAACTTCAAATTTCGACTGAATATTCTAAAAATGAATGACCAAAAATTTTAATTTGCTAAGTGATAGGTTTAGCTTATTCTTTTAAATGCACATTTTTTAGTCAAGATGTAAATCAAAGATTAATGCAATTATTTAATGAAGATGTAGATCAAAATTTTGAACCCTGAACAAAAAAAAAATATATTATGATTTGAGCAAGAACCCTTAAAAATAGATAGAAATAGATCTACAGGTCGGCTTTGTTCAATGATTACCCGAATTTTTTTTTGACTAATAGTCTAAAAGGTTCCGACTAAATTTTTTCAATATAATATAATTAAATTTGTAATTAAATGCGAGGTAATGGTTACAATATTCTACAATTTATATGGTGTATCAAAAAGTTAGTATCTCTTTCATTGAGCATGCTTTGAATGAGAGCCTGGCCGCTGACATCCGAGTAAATTTATGAATTTGTCATTAAGTGTTCGAAGAAGCAGAATAATTTGAAAAAATGTACGATCGAGGTACTGATATTAATCAAGTGTATTTCACATTGAGATAAATTTTTATTGTTTTCTATGTGAAAGGAATGTTACAGCCTATATTCTTTGCTTTTTATTAATTACGTTCATGGTAAAATACACGGTTATAATATTTTCTGAGATTTATAGGTTTAAAGATATCTGGTATTTATAATCATACCATTAATTTTGCAAACTGTAAAACTTTAAGCAATCGCATCAACATAACCCAAATTATACTTTACGATTCTAATGAATAAGGTTGTAATATTAGTCGTAGATTGAAAATTCTGTTTTTACTTTCAAGTTCTTGATAAGGTATTTCATTAATAATATTTTACTAATTTCTTGATTCAAATTTGCAATGGCAATTCAATTAAAGAGTAAGTTAAATAACTTAAAATTTCTTTTATGATATTAGGCTATAAATGTATGATTTTCCCCTTAAAACTTAAATTTTGAAATCAATTACTATATACAGGACCATGTTTCAGAGATCGTCCATTTAATGATTTTGACGATTAATTTAACATTTCTAATCTGCTTTTCAATTTATATTTCATTGTGCTAATTCTCCTTTTGATTTATACATATTTTAGGTATTGATGAATAATTTTGGATTTGTGCATTTAAATACTAGAATAAAATTTGAATCTGAAAATCGGACTTAATGCAAGAATAACTTGTGAGAAATTTCATCTGCACATCCACAATTCAACGATTATTTAATGATATCTTCAAACGTTCCTGCTTCGTCTCAATCCGAAATTTATGCACGAACACAAAATACATTTCAAAATTATCTTGATTGTTCTAGTGATTTAGTTAAATCTGATGAAAAATGGATTAAGATTTATTGTTAATGTGAAAAATTAAATCCACTTCGATGAAATAATCAAACCGAAAATTGATAATTCTCGAATCTTGTTAAATCGTTTGAACCTTTGAAGTTAGCTTTTGGATTTTGGTCAATAGTAAAACAGGAAAAGTTTGATTACTTGTAGACGTACTAATACAGTTAGTAGTGCACTTCGGTAGAAAATACCTATTTTGGAATAACGTTTGGTGATATTTTTGAATCTGAAAAATGACTTTATCATATGTTTGGGCCTTGAAAAAGCAAAACAAAGGACCAAGATTTTACTTCATAAGAAGCAATCTGAACTGAAAGGAATACAATAGTAGAACGATGCAGTAATGGCTGTCGAATTACTGTTCACAACATTACCGAGCTCAATTAGAAATAAAATCATTTCGTATTTACCCCAACATTCATTACTATGTCTATCACAAACAAATTATGAATTTTATCATCCATGTTTACAAAAATTGTATCAGAAAATAATTATATCAGAAACTCAACCGATACAACAGCACTCGAAAAGAGGAGTTGATTTTCAAAATAGCATAAACACTATAATTTCGGGGAGATCAAAATTTTCGAAAAACAAGAATTTAGAATTGAAAGTGATCAATGCCAGAATCTTAATATTAATTCAAGCTTTAAAAATTAATGTCGAGTTGATAGAATATGTCAAAGAGATTTATATTTTTGGAAACTTTAATGAAGAAATTAGAGATAGTCTACAAGAATTGATTGATATATTTCAAACTTTGGATATATGCCATATTTTTAATGCAGAATTAAGGTCAAACATTAATATGTCTCACTTGCAATTAAAATCAATCATTGTTGACGAAAACACAATAATTAATGGTCCGAAAAAGGAGTTGATAATAAGTGAAAATCAAAATTTGGATTTAACAAGTTTAACAAATATACAGAGTTTGATTATAGCAAAAGATAATTTCTTGGATTATTATAAATGGTGTGAAACAAATATTATAGGACCACAAATATTTTTAAAAAAGCTAAAGAAATTCAAACTCGTTTTCCATTCCTCGGATCTACAATTATCTGGAAATTTGATTTCTAGAATCAATTGGTTGACCATAAAAGAACTAGAACTAGTAATACCGTGTTCGAGCTCAGATGAAAATTACGTATTAGACTGTTTAGACTTAATACCAATTAATATACCGACGTTAAGAAAGCTTTCAATTGTTCAAGGTTCAGTTTTTGAAACTCATTCATTAAACGAGTCATTTGATTTAAACATTTTAAATTTCATATCAAATTATATCTCCAATCTATCTTATTTATCAATAAAACATAACACACCACAATTTGGTAATTTTTCAGATGGAGTTGAAGGAAATTATCATAGAAGATTTGAAACTTATTTATCATTACTACCTAAAATTATAACTAAATCCGAAAGTCCAAATTTCATTTTAAATCTACCAAATTTATTTCAAACTTTTGCTTGTTATGAACAAAATATGAATGCGATATTATGGAATGGATGTAAATGTGATTATTGTGACGAATATTTAAATAAACTCGATGAATTTTTATTTCGTCATAAATATTATTCAAAAAAATTAAACAAATATAAGGATTTGAATGTTTCTCATTTAATGTCGATCATAGCGAATGAATTAAATGAAAGACAAATTCAAGAGTCAAGTTTAACACAACTTGATCAATTATCATTCCCTCTATGGAATAATCTATGGGATTTTCATTCTATTCCAAATTCAAAAGATTTGAAATGTTTAGATAAACAAACTGTGGATTATGGAGAATATTCAGATGAGGATTTAATTGATGAAGAATTAATAGCAAATTGTGAGTTTAATTCAAAATTATATCAACATATCCCCAAGGCAATTAGTCATTATATAAATACAATGATTCAAGAAGTTTTAAATCTTAATAGAGGAAATGCAGAAGCAAGAATTGATGAATTAACTAATTTACAATTTAAAGATGGTGGTGATATAAATATTGATACTAAATTTAATTTAAGAAAAATTATTATTAATGGATTCATTTATAATTTCGGTAATGAAATTAATGGAACTCATTTTTATGAAGTCGTGTATAGTTAGTTAAGTTATTAATTAAAAAGTTTAGTTTCATTTGAAATTTGCGTTTTTCATAAGGCTTTTGTGCTTTTTCTAGGTAGGTTTGTGATGAATTAGTTCAATAGATACATTAATAATTTTGGAAATGAAATCAATGATACTCATTTTTATGAACTCGTGTATAGTTAAGTTACTCAAAAAGTTGGCATTTGAAATTTGCGTCTTTCATTAAGTTCTTTGTACTTTTTTTCTTGTAGGTTGATGATGATATTTTCCGCTTTATTAATTTCTACCAATATCGGATAAGAAGGTATTGCTAAACCAAAACTCATCAATTAAAATTAAAGTTTTTTAAACTCAAATGATTAACGGTTTTATTCAATTGATTTAAAATACTAAAAAAACCCTTTCTTAAAATTGTATTTGTATTAATTTTGCTCACTCGTATTATATTCGGAAAAAGTTGATGACTTAAAATAGAAATTTCTTTTGAGGGTTCATAACATGAAATTCTTCAACAATTGTTAAAATTGTTCGAAATTTTTTTCTCGAAATAAAAATTTTTATTGGAATACATGGCTTACTCTATATTCTTCAGATCATCACTATCTATGGGAGAGTCTATAGAAAGAAGTAGTAGTATCGGGGAGTTACAACCTGTATATCATCGACTATGAACTGTTGGAGTTTCTTATTTAATGTGGAAGATTTCTTAATTAATATGGAAGACCCTTTTTTCAATATAGCCTATCGAGTCTTGATTTATGAGTCTCGTATTTTGAAATAGAATAAAATAATAATTAATTGTGTAAGTAATAATACAATATTAGTAGGTGGAAACAATAATAGAATAACTTGATATAGAACATAACAAAGGTTCCATATAGGAAAACAAAGAAACTACAAACATATGGAATAGTTTCAGAATATACAGAATTTCATGTTACTAGCCCACCTTTAATTAATTGCTTGAAGAAGAAAATTAAATTTTTATAGTAATTTGCTAGCTTACAAAGCACTCAAAACCACTTAAAATTATTTTCCACTTAAATAAATGTTTAACTTCTTCCAGTAATAAATTTCGTAAGCTATTTCGAGGTAGATCCTAAGATCCTTAACTGAAAGATACAAACCAAGAATTGTAATACAAATCCTCTCTCATATCTCGCATTTCTTGTTGTAGTATTTGTGAAAGGTTAGTCTAATTTTATTATGATCAAGCATGGTTAAAAATAGAATGAAATTTCAGGTTTAATTTTGTGATACAAACTATTTGACATTTATTGATGAAGAACAATTAAATATTGTATTATTGTTTTGTAGGTATAACTCCCCATCGAAGGATATCAATTTTCGCAAAGGTATCTTTACTTAACTTTATTTGGTATTTGAATTTGTGAGGGTGGTTTAAACATTTTTATTCAAAACTTATTGTTTATTAACTCAATGGTCCAGCTTGCTAATTAGATTTTAATGACAATGCAAATTTCGTTTAATTTAACTTTATTAGTGTGGGGGATCATACAACTATTCCATTACTACATGTAACTCTCAGCCAAACTTTCTAAACATCTTATAAGACTGTCCGCCTTCAGGGTATCGACGGCTACTAACCCATCAAGTCGGCTTATTGCTTTAGTTCATAATCTAAACTAATTGATATTCCCATCCACAAAACTAAACTAAATCAACGACAAAACGGTTGAGTATGTCTAAACTAGACACAAGAATGTAAATTTCATTTGTAATAAAAGCCACTTTTTTTCTGTTTCATCATAGTTTTCGCAGATACTAAGCTCAAACAGTTTTGGCTTAAGATTGGTATGTGTCATTACTCGGTTTCATTCATCTATGCTGTGAGTAAAACAATTACATATGATTAGTATACCTTTCAATTCAGGATACACTATTAGATTAATGTTCACAAAGTTGAAAGACTAAACTCAAAAAGCTTAAACTTTAATTAAAATGACACCCGAATTAAAATATACCAAGGTGACATGAATTAGTTCTCTAATTTCCACTCAAAGACTGAAAATTACATGAGATACGCTGATTGTCTCTTACGAATAGTTGAACTTAACTTCAAACCATTCTTTAATTTAATCTTGTTAATTCAATCAATCCTAAGTTTAAAATTAACCTTTTTTTGTATTATTTTTAAAAGTCATGTTACAGTAGTGAAGATAAGCTCATAAAAAGTTTGAAGCTCAGAAACCCCTTAGTTTTATTTTTTTTATAAAATTTTTCTTTTATGTTTCATTTCAGATACATATTATCTATTTTCAGAAATTAAGGGAGTGAGCTATTAAGTTTATTGTACTTCTTTTGTGCATATACACTTAAAGATAGTTTAAATGGTTGTCGTTACTTATCAATTCAAATAAAATTATGGTTGTACTTTTACCACGTGTTTGAGATTGCAGTTGTTTCATGAGACTAGAAAATTTAATCATCAGGTCATAACAGGATCAGAATTTTGATTTCGTGTTGCAGAAGTCGTTGGAAGAAACTTCGCTGATAATTATAGCCTTCTTAAACTTGGTAAAGCTTTAATTCAAACTATTATGGAATTTGCGGGGAGCTCGGCTTGTGTTTTAAACCCTTAAAATTGATAGTTCAAATGAAAAAATTAACTTTAATCATTATCTTTTACATTCAATAATATCTGAAATAAAGTATAATAATCCTAACTTTAAAGTGTAATTTCTATGTGTTAGTATCATGATTTTTAATTGTCTCCATCATTCCAAAAATCTTTCTATAATGTACTGAGCTCAATTTCTTCCCAAAATTATATAAAATAATACGTGAGCTTGCACATTGATTTTTCGGGTCTGATGTGAATGAAAAATCTACATTCTGCAAAGGCTTGATTTATATCAGTATTGTCATGAGTTGTTTAAACATTATCTTATTCAATGTTACCCTAAAATGTTTTAAGCTCAGATAAAACTAGTTGAAACTTCTACTACCTTTTCAAAGAACTACAAGAAACGTTTTTAATGATCAAAGATTAATCCCGGTCTTAATATAGAATGAAACTTGATACATAAAATGTAAAAACTCAAACTATTGGCTCTTTACTATGCACAATGAAAAATAACTTCTCGCAATGTCGGACCGTTTTTCTTAAATTGAGTTGATGTATTATAAAAACTTAAATTGGTATTAAATTGAATACTTACATAGGTGTTCATTAGAAATTTTGTTGGCGTTATCTCAGCTATGAAAAGTTTAAATATGGTTGCAAATTTTATTTTTCCCCAATATTTTGAAACAAATGGTAGTGCGAAAAAAGTTTAAAATGTTTCATATTTTTAGGGGCCATATTAATTTACTGCTGTTTTATTTAATAATTTGATAGGAAGGTTAATCTTTTCACAACGAATTTTCTTGTTCGTGTCACAATTACTCTACTAAAGCCCTTTTTGAAGGGATAAGGTAGTATTGAAAATTGATGTTTAGTCGTGCGATGAAATATGAAATTAAACTTTGTCAGTCTCACGAGTTTTTTACCCTTGAAAAGCTTAAAATAATGTTGACAAAGTTACATGGGTTCAGTTGTACTTATTTTGAAAAAAATTATGCAAAGTTAAACTGAATGAATTAAGATTTTTCTACTTAGTTCTTATCTTTTGTAGGGTTCTTTAAATTTTCTTTTTTAAAGTTTCTTTGTATCTTGAAAAGTTTAACTTTAATTATAACGTTTACTAACTCGTTTCGTATGGTTTTTCAAAACCTTGAAATTTTATTATTGTTTCAAAGTGTCCTTGAGAGTAAAATGAAGTTAAATATACGCGTCGGCAAAATTATTTGACAAATTTATACGATGTTTGTTTCCATATTGACTATTATTGAATTTAAATTAGAATGTGCTTATGCTTAAATGCTTTAGATTTTCCCATCGACTAAAATAAGGTAAGCCAGGTATTCAAAGTACTAAGTGCAAAAAAGTAAGCGCATTTCTAATCAATCAATTAATGCAGAATTAACGTTATGTAGTATTTAGACGTGCTTACTCAACTTACTTTTTTTGGTTGACAGTACGTTTGTTAAAGTTTAATTCGAGGGATACAAAACCTTGAATAGTAAATTAAAAAAAAAACATCTGATTCTGAAACTTTAAATTTTATTGAGTACGGACTGTTTTATTCAAATTATGAATAAGCTTTAAAAGATGTATTATTTAGTAATAGTAAATGTACTTCAACTTAAAAACTATACTTTAATGGTCCTTGATTACTTATTACAGAATTATGAACATACTCAAGTTTTCAAGAAAATAAAAAAGTTTCTAAATATTTAAATTTGAAACGTTACACTGATCTTGTGTAAATTTCGTTTCCGCATATGATGTCATGATAGATTAATTTTTATTCAACGTTCTTGTCAATTGTCAGTTGCAAATAGTGAACTCAAAAGGCATGAGTCAGACGTAATGAACATAATGCAAAATCCTGCAAATTGATCTCAAAATTCTCAAATCAAGGAATGTATAGCTCAAGATCCAAGAAATTTTGATACGTAAATTCACTTTGATGGTTAACATGAAGTTGAAATGAATTACATGCAGCTCTCTTTTATGATTTTTTCTTCTTCTTATCATATGACTTTCCTGCATGCCAATAGTTATGCTTTTAGAAAAAGTACCCTTTTTTCTTCATTTCTCTGTAACGTAAATTTATGCAAGATGTTTCAGCTCTCGAAATCAGGATATCGTGTTTCATGTATACCAGATTTTTTGAAGAACAAATGGGTCATAATTAGAAGACGAATAATTCTATGAACATTAATTGGACTGGCAATTCAAAACCTTTGATACTCCAATGATAAAAAGGGTTGATTACAGAATTAATGACTAGCTACAAACTGACCTGCATTAATCAGTATTTAGAATATTACGGGAATCAAATTCCTGACATGTTTACACAATATTACATAAACTAACTTGAGAATCGTAAAAGACATCGAATTATATTCTACTGCTTACCTTTGCACATGGTTCATAGTTTAGACTTTAAACAATTGTTATCTGATGTGTAGTGTGTTACAATGCAACCATTGGATTAAGATCGTAATTAATGAAACTAACTCTGAACTGAAGGATGCAAGACGAACCAATTCTATAAAATATACTTATGAACATACGTCATATCATTAATGTAAGCTCAAAAGTACATTCAAGGAGTGTGATTTATTAAGGACAGAATTTTCTTGGATAATATAGATGTCAACTTGATTATAAATGATAAGTTCAACATCTGACTTTATCAATGTTTCAAAAAAAAAATGTGATAACACTAACTTTGAGTTTAAAAGATACTATTCGTAGATACGATCAATGATTAAATCGCAGCATATAAGGCTCGATCGTCTTGTAACCGAAAACATTAGGATGTATAAGTTTTATAAATTCGTATTTGGGAATTACCGCTTTAAATTTAAGTAAATCCTTTTTAAATGCAAATTCATGCAAAATCCTGCAATTTTCCCTCTTTCACCAAAAATCTTATTAGTCTACATCAAAAAATGTATTTTGATTTTATTAGATCTAGTCTCCTTACTACCATAAAAAAAGGTTTTGAAAATAATGTACTTGCATGATAATATATTTCCCTATAAAATTGATCTGTGATTAAGAGTGATGCGCTACAATCAAATGTCTCGTAAAACCTCGTAGACTTGACTGCTGTTAATTGATCTCGTTTGTTGCTTTACTGTTTGTAAGAGCATCCTGCATTTTTTCCTTTTAATTACCACGTTATTGAGTCACTTCACGTTGAAATGTAGGGTTCTGTTTGGTTTGGTTGTACCTGAGCTGAAAAAACGCGCATTCTTTCATCTTCCTGTCTTTAGTTTTAAAAAATATCCACAACTCATATCACTAAGGTCAAAATGATTTGTGACCTTTAAACTAGCGTCTTGCTACAATGATGTAGCTTACAGCAAAGTGAGTATGCTTGAAGTATAGTAGTGATTATTGAAGTTTATGTTTATCAGAGAACAATAATTCAAGGAAATATTATTTATTGTAAAAATGGGGGGTTGAAAAACTAAATTTTAATCGGAAAAGTGATCTCGCTAGACCTTTTTTTTTACCATGAAAAGAACAAATCATGGAGCGAATTGAATTAAACAATAGAGAAGCGAGTTATAAAAGAATAAACTAATTTAGAATTGTTGAATAAAGCATTATTATTACTATTTCACCATCGCTACTAACTATTAATTCTTTTAAATTCTTACCCATAATAATTAAATTTCTCGCTCAATTAAGTAATGAAGTTTCGCAAATTTCTTTTTTCGAAACTAACAATTTAATTTAAATCTAATTAAATCTAATTATTTAATTGACAATAGACTAAGTCTACTAACCGTAAGGTGACAAATTTGATGTATTACCTTCGATTTAATTATAGTTATTGTTCATTATTTTAGGGATAAAAGAAATTTTTCAAACGTTTATTCGGACAATTGTTCCTCAAATATGGACTAAAACTTGTTGGGATATGAATTGTGTTACCCTCTTTTTGATACTTAAATTCGCGACACTAAATTTTGAAACTTGCAATATTTATATGAACACATCAATTTTTATTACAGATATTGAGTAACTACAGTCAATATTAATGAGCAAAGTAAACATGTACTAACAATATAAACTCTTAAAAAAAAAAAGAAAAAAAATAAAACCAATTAACTAAGTGAAAACCCAAACAAGTAACATAAAACATTAAACTGAATAAAACAAGTAAAAGTACAAAATTTTTTATAACAAAATCGTAATGAATCATCACTAGATTTAAAATATAAAAAAATGAAAAACAAAATTGAAAAAAGCATACAGTCATAACATAAGGCATGAATAAGAATTGAAACTCAACCTTGTCTCTAGTAAGTTCTACCTGAATGTGAGGAGATTGGGTATTGATGTTGATGAGATGTAAAAGTCATGTATTGAGGTGGAGGAACTGGTTGTTGATAATGTTGTTGATGTATTATTTGTTGTTGTTGAACTTGTTGTTGATGATAATTTTGTTGTTGCTGTTGTTGAGCTTGAGATTGAGATTGAGCATCAGTCTGATCTTTTCTTTCATTACCAACTTCTTTACCATTATCAATATTTAAATTATTTTTAATTGTATCACGTAGATTATTAATACTTTCACTATTATCTTTATTTAATTGAGAATTATAATTATTATAAATTCTACTTCTTTTATTTTTACCATTTGTATGAGTTTTATAATGTTGCATACAATTGTCTTGTCTTGCAAATCTAGCTTCACATGAAGGCCAAGGACATTCATGTTTTCTTTCACCAGTATGAATTCTATTATGTCTTGCTAAATGACCTGATGTTGTAAAAGATCTTGAACATACTCTACAAACATGTTTTCTTCTTGGATCTTTTGGTGATAATGAAGTTGATGTAGAATTAGATAATGGTAATTTAGGAGATGTTGAAGTTGAAGTTGTTGATAATGTAGATGATGTTGGTGAAGTTATTTGATCTTGATATTGATTATGATTTTTTTGTTCTTGAAAAATTGGCGATGCTTGAGTTGTATTCGTAGACATTGTTGATGTTGTTATAATAGATTTAACAGATGATTGAGGTGAAGAATGAGGTATATCACCAGTTGATGAAGATCGTATTTTATGATCAAAATTTGTAGTTATTGGTGTTATTGGATCTATATTTGATGAAGTAGATGAATTTCTAAATGATGAAGTCATTGGTTGTGGTGCAACAAATTGTTGAGGTTGATATGATACATATTGTTTCTGAACAACAACATTATTAGTTGGATTTAAAGGTGGAGTAGGTAATCTATGATGAACCGAAGGTTGTGAATAGTAATTGTAAGGAGAAGTAACAACTGAATTTTGATGATGTTGGTGTTGGTGTTGTGAATTAGCAAAATTTATGGGTATTGATGAAGAAGTAGATGAATTACTATTACTTCTTGATTTGAAATGCATAAATGATGATTGTGTTGGAGTTGATAATGGTAAAGAAGGTATTGAAGTTAACAATTCACTAAAAGATGGTAATGACTGTAATTTTGGTTTAGATACATTTGGTTGAGTAGGTGAATTATGTAAAGAACTCATCATTATATTGTTATTGAATATATTTGAAAATGATTGATTATGATGATTTTTAATCATATAATATTTATATGCTTTATATCAATTAATAATGGTATCTCAAGTTTGAGTTTATAATTTAGTTTAATTTATCTTTAAGTATATCTGATATGTTTAAGTGTTTTATTGATTCTTCTGGTAATACTTTTTGAAGTTTATGATATCTTATAAATTATAAATTTTATGAAGGATATTTGATATTCTTTTTATATAAATCTTAAAATATTTAGGAAATAATTAAAAATGTATAATAATATGCATCTTTTTTTTTTGTAATATTATCTTTATTAGAAGAATAATAATAATAAATTACAAGTAACATTTTGATGTGTATCTTACTTTTTATTTTAATTTTATTTTTTTATTTTTTATTTTTTTTTAATTTTTTTGGTTAGTAAGAAAAATAAACTTTCTGACACAAAAGTTAAGATATAATTATAAGAGAAATAGTACACAAACTTTATTTTTTAGTGTTATTTTATTTTACATAAGATGCATTATAGCTTAAATTAAAATTTGTACTACCTATTATGTGACTATAATATGCAGTACATTTATAAGGTATGCATAATTTCTTATTAGCTTCTTTTTATATATTCTTTTAGTTAATAGAGTCTTTACACCTCTTATTTTCAGGATTCTATCTTATATACACTACTCCGGTTGTTCTTTATACTTGATAAACTTTGTGTTTTTATTTTAACTTAATTTAGTTAATAATATATCAAATTTTTTATCTAAGCTTTAAGTCTAAACTTTAATAGTGATGTAATTATATGTCTTTAATACGCCCTTGTCTGTTGATCGAAGTTATCGTCATTGATTTTGCGATAAATAGATCTGAATGTTGCCAGTAATATATATGATATCAACTGTTCATAATCAATTATTTTCCAAAACTGATTTGACTTAATCTTTCATTAGTTTACTCACTCATAATCTAGTAAGGGTATATCATGTGGTTTCAAACAGCTGCCTGGCCATTTGAAGGCTAGACTAAATTTGGGCCAAATGAAATGGTTCATAACTTTACTAGTTCAAGAGTTTAAAAATTATTTAGTGTAACGTCTTTTAAATTCTTATATAAAAATGATCTGCAATTTTTTAATTCTATTCCTTTTACATACTATACACACATTCAATCGCTGATCAATTATTGTTAACTGACTTGATTCATTTTTTTAACAGTTTATACTTTTCTTCGGTGAAAATATAATAATTATGAAAATCATTTTTTAGATTGTATTTTTAGTTCTCTGAGGTCAACATAACCAAAGAAATAAGTATTTAAAATTATCTCCTTTTCCTCCTATAATCTAATCCACCCACGTCTTGAATTATATGATATTTATTTGATGTTTATTTTTGTTTTGATTTATTGATCTGTCATGATAAAATTTAACCATATTAGGACATCTGTTTTCTAATGTTTAATTTTTTAATCCAACTTGCTTTTTTTGATTCATGAAAGTAAAGAGGGCTTTAAGAGGATGGATTAATTAATTAATTAATAACTGATGATCTTACGGTTAAATAGTACTCCGAGATCGATCTTAACTTTAATTCACCCAAATTGTGTTTTTTCCTTATCCACAATGCCATTTGTATATATGTTAAAATTCATAACTATAACGCTAATCTTTTCAATTAACTTTCCAAATATCGTATAAATCGCGATAAATAAATTCAAAATAATGGAACAAAGAAAAATTAAAGATCTAGCTCGTACTTTCGTACATATTTCGAAAAAATGTTTAAAGGTTAGAAATTTAATCTTATTGTTAAGATTGAAAAGTTTTAAACAACAAAATGAAGGCGGTTTTTTGATGCCGAACATTAGTGATGATAACGACTTTATGAGAATTTAAATCGAGAAATTGGAAGACGCGTTCTAATAATGGTTACGAAATTACTACTTTTCAAAGAACTCCTAAGGCACACCAATTACAATCCACGTTTATTTGATTATCATGACAGTTTGGATAATTAAGAAGATCATTACTTCAATTATTTGATCACCTTAATTACATGCAAAATAGAAAGAAACAATTATAATTATAAATGAACCCCTTAATAGTTACAAGGCGGGTAGATCATTCAAATTGAAGAGGTTTTTGTTTATTTGACAATTTTGACAATCTTGTAATTTAGTAGGATTGATATTTCTTGATCTTACTCTAGGAAATCTTGGGGTTTGATTGTAGTCTTAGCTGCAATATTTATCATTGGGCCAAGAAGTGGAGTTGAATTTATGAGTTCTTGGATTCAAATTGTTATTGACCTCGCAAATGAAACTTGTTTCTCTAGGACAAAAACTGATTAAGTTTGACTATACCTTTGTAAAACATTAGTGCTTGGTAGAACCTCTTAAGTTCAAACAACACTTTGTAATTACAGATCTGTATATTCCAATAGAATTGTAAACGTTTCCATCTAGACTCTTGAATAATGTTTTAACACAACATAAATTATTTTAAGGTTTGCCTTGATATATTATAATTCATTTTTGATCATATGATCGATTCAATTTGCGCCTTACATTGGTCTATATAATATTTCAATCCAATTACGCAGTGGAGTTTAGGTGCTCATTTAATGTTCATTCAGCATTAAGTTGCATAATTATAATATTTTCATTGGCTGCAAAAAAAGGAAAGAAAAAACAAATCTCGGCCCATGAAACCACAGTTTTTTTAATTCAAGTTTCATATTAGATCTTAGTGCTTGCATTATCACTTTATGGTAAGTCAAAACGGTAACCAGATTATTAGAAGTAATTTTCTTATTCTGTTGTCAAAGACTAGTTGAAGTAAATCAAGATTTGCTTCAATTTGATGTTGACAAACGTTGAAACAATAGATTGAAAAAAAAAGAAAATAATAAGATCTCGAATAAGGCGAAAAACCGTATTTTAGATCTTTACGTAGCTTATATTCCATGTACACCCTATCGTCTCGTAATGATAGAGCTATATGGTCGTCATCAGTGATTTTTTGACTAAAACTTAGAAAATAGAACTCCGTCAGGTTATGAAAATTTACTGTTGGTCTTCTGTTTCATATCGTAATCAAAATTATTATTATTTTTTAGGTGTTGAGGTTGCCTTAAATTATTTTTTTGATGGGTTCACATAAGCTTAATTTCAATCCCAAGGCGAGTGACATTTAAAACTTACAGTCAAGAAGTATTGTTGCGTTATTACATAATTTTGCATCAACAAGATGAAACATCTAGTCACTAACATCAACTGGTGTCATTTCATTTTGTTGAGTTTTAACAAGATGAACCAATTTTTTTGTGTTTCGTAAAATGTTGTACAAATCTTAAATTTTTCGTAAAGCTTAATTAAAATATTCTACGAAGTTCAGGTTAATATGATATACTAATATTTGCGCTCCTCAAACAAATCTATCAGTTACGATGATTGTACAACAACTTTGAAGCTCCCAACAATTTAGTTCATGAGTGATTCAAATAAATAAAGCTTGCCAGATTTAATTAATTTTAAAGAATTATCCCTATGTAATTCACTATGGAACTCCGGTTGATTTAAACAAACAGAAATGAAAAATATTGAGACATCAATACATTATAGAAATTTTATCTTCTAATGTTGCACCTGCCTAAGCTGAATATCCTGTCTTTAACTAACAGGCGTGAAATACATTGAGTTGAACACATATCAAACACTTGCTATAGTTTCCTCCACTAAAAAGTTTGCAGCCAAAAAAAAAAAAAAACATACTCTTTTCAACCGTAACAAACAACAAAAAAGAAAATCATAACTAAACAAACAAAGCAAGCACTTACATCATAAAGTAGAAAAGAAAAGAATGCGTTAGGTATTTGTTCTATAGTTCAAAGGGATTAGAAGTTCAAGTGCAAATCAGTAATGACAACAACCGAGACACGTAGAATTAATGTATTTTATAAAAATTCAAACGTTTATACTTGACAAATTTTTTTTAACTATATGGAAGATCCCGATTTTCTATTATACAAATGAATCTGCTCTATAACGCAATATACTTATGTATGACAAGTAAAAAAGTATTCAGGATTCAATGGTATGAACGTTTTATTTATATTATGCATAAAATTAAAAAAGAGTAGAATCATTTAAATACATTTTATTTTCTTTTTATTTATAATTATATCAATCTACATGATGCTTAAGCCAACCTTTGAATTTGGAAGTCATCAAGGGTAGGTATTAGAGAGGATGAAAATATTACACTAAGTATTTAGTGGGGATGGAGGTGGAAGCGCAAAATATTAAAATTATCACCTGAAACAAAAAGTGAGTAAATTACTGACTCAACATAGATAACAATTAAATATTTTGTCATTCCAAGTTATCGTTGATTATTGTTCCGATATCATTTCTTATAATCAATCAAACTGAATCAAATAAATATATATCATAAACTTGGGTATTTGATTTTAAAAAGTCCTTTCAACAATAGATCAATCTTGAAATTATAAAATCTTTGATGAACATAATTCATCAAACGGTTCTAAGGCCTAACTGCAAAAGTTGAAACTGCCTTGCAAATCTTTAAATCTTTAGTTGATCCAAGTGAAAAGAAATTTTATTCTATTGTTCTATCTTAACTAATGCACCTCTATTATTCTTACTCTGAACTTAGCACGCAGATTCTAAAGCGCTACCATGTTTTTACTTCAATGTTTGATTCAATTATATACTAATAATTATATCTTGCTGATTATAATTGAGTGTATGTAGAGTTTCATGCATAAAGACCTGTCTTTTTACTTAACAAAAATATCACTTACTAAACACCATAAACGATTTCTTTTGAATAAGAATTGAATTGTTTAACTTGAGAGTAAAATTTATTTTTTGGTAAATATAATTAATTTTCCCGCAATTATTTTTTTATTGTTTTTCATTATATTTCTTCCGATATACTTGTTTTATATTAATTGGTTTTATGGGTTAGTATAAAAGCAAATTTCAAATCTAATCAACCATTTCTACAATTTTTATATTCATTAAT